TTTATACATCATGCAGCTTTTAAATTATCATCATCATCAAATAAAAACTTTTTTACTAATAAAGCTTTAACACTATAAGCTACAAAATAATAATAAAATAAATAAATAATAGGGGATATCTTTAATGACAATTTAGAAAATATTTTATCAACAAAATTTTTGTGCTTCAAAGTCATTTTTTCTAATTATTCAAAACATTTATTCAAGCAAGTATTAATTTAAGACATTTATTCTTTTGAAATATCAATTATATTGAAAAGAAATGTCAATAACATATTCCATTAATTTAATAAATATCTCAAGTAGAAATCTAAAATAACAAAGCAATGTTTTATGTCATAAATTTAAGGCAAAATTTGCATTAATTATTTTGCAAAACATCTGCAATAGATAAATAATAAACTAATTTGAATATATATTTAAAGATAGAAAATAAATTAAATTAAAGGATAGATAAATATATGATTCATTAACATTAGAAGTAATTTTTTGGTGTAAAAAGTCATCAAATTAATAGGATATTATAAATAACTGCCGAGTGGCATCATTTATCTCTCATTATATACTGTAATATTAAGATCAAACTTAAAACCTTTTAATTATAGTTCCAATAATTTTTTTCCCTAAATCAGGACAAGTATTTAATTAAGCTAAAATACATTATTCGTAATATTTATTTGCACTCATACTTCAATTCAACTCTTTCAATTAACTTTGTAATTTTCAAAGACAATATGTTATTATAATTGAAAATAAAAGTAACACATTACCTTTATTATTTTTCTAAGATAATACGCTATTATCTTTGAAAACAATGGTAATGCATTATCACTGCTAATTTTAAAGATAATAAATATAACTGCTTATAATTCTTCACAAAGGATAATAGCTGTTTAACATAAACATTTATTTTAAAACAATCATAACTTCATTTAAATATTTTATATACATGCTTTTAACTCAAAAGTTTGCAAAACACTTCTAATACAGGCAACAATTATTCTTAAAAAGATATTTGAAATGTTCCTGAAAAATATGAAACAATTTAATAAATTTATTAATATTTTTTCCCCTGTGGTCTCCCTTGAATTTATAAATATTAATGAAATTCATAGGTTCTACAAACTTCCCAAGAGAAAAAAAAAACATGGATACATTCAAGACAAACAGTTAAGATTGTCTGAAACAGCAAGACTGAAAAAACAACACATTCACATTTAAACACATATTTGAAAGACATGTAATCGGAAATGAATGCTTATCCACTACAAAGAATGTCATTCACTTATGGGAATTCACAATTAGTGATTGCACTTCTAAAGAAAAATACAAAAAAAGAACAATATTGACAATTTTCCAATAAAATTAATTCAAAAAGTGCAAATAATTTCTAATAGAATGTTTTCTTTTTTTCAAACTACACACATGAGATTCAAGAAAAAAAATAAACAATTATTTTTAAATAAAAAATTATAAAAAAATTCAAAGTTTTAACTTTTAATTAATTTAATTTTATGTGATTATATTTTCTGATTTGTAAGACAATAGACATCATTCAATAACAAAATGAAACATGTAAGAAAAATTAACTGAAATACGAATAAAAATCTTGAATTTATTTTAAAAGAAAGTTTAATAATAATTTTTTAACATAATTTACTTGAAAAAATTGGTGCTCTGGGAAGATACTATAAGTAAATTGAGCAGGAAACTATTGCAAAATGGAATTAAAACATTCATAACATTTAATAAATCACAAATATAACAATTTACTGCACTTATTGCTAGAATACAAGACCTTACTGGAAACCATTCATAACATTTAGTGCAAATTTGCTGCACTTTTTGCTAGAACACAAGACCTTACTGGAAACCATTGATAACATTTAGTGTATATTTGCTGCACCTTTTGCTAGAACATAAGACCTTACTAGAAACTATAATTTTTAACCAAGTAAATCAGAGCAAAATCCATCACTTATTCCTAGTATCCCAAGCCAAAAAGTATTTCAGAAAGATATTAATTATTCTTGTATTGAAGCATAAAAAGCTCTGGTCCTATTAAATTTCATTAAATTTTGGTGAGAAATTTTCTTTTCTTTTTTTATTTAATGCCTTGCACTACGCTGAAATTCGGAATAAGCCGTGTCTAACATATGCACCCGAATGTTCACGAAAAGAGCCTAAGACAAGAGAGATAGACAGAAGATAAGAGATTAGGAGACAAGATATAAAATGCCTATTCGTAAAAAGAGCTCGTTCAAACGTTCTTGTCCAGCCTGAGATTAAGACCACAATAAGTATCGAGATAAGAACTTCTCGTGATGTTTATGTTTGCCCCAAAATGTCAATTACAAGCTAGACTAGTGATATTCATGTTTGACATGAAATTAAGCAACGAGCCTAAATTTTCATCACGATTTAGACTCGTAAGAATAGTGCAAGGGGTTAATGTAAAGTTAAACTACTACAGAGTGTGTAGCCAAATCTTTCAACAAAAAATAAGCACCTTTCAAGCACTAAAAATATTTTTAAGCACTATATACATTAACAAAGTGAAACATAATTTTCAAAGACTTTACATGATCATGATAAAATAACTATTTTCTGACAAAGAGCCTTTTTCTTGATTATATTAGCTACCATAAAAAGATCAAGAGATTTTTCGGTTCAAAGAATGAGGGTGGAAAATGAAGCCTGAAATTGAGAATATCTAGCAAAATGCAGCAGACTTACACATGAGAGTGCTAGAATCTCAAAGAACTCAGCTCAGTAGACGCACATGCGGACTTGCAAGTAAATAAAATATGTAACATAAAATATGAAAAATAATTGCTGCTTTCATAGGTTATGGAACGACGATAGGCCGAAATGGATTGTGGTTGAATGAATTGTGAAAATGTTGAATGTGAAAAGCATGCTTTTGCATAATACGTGCAAAAAATCGACATGGTAAAGAAAAAATCTCTTTTTTGAAAAGGAAATATCAAGCACTTCTCAAAAACACCCAATGTAAAAAGCCCCTTTAAGGGCTTTAAAAAAACTCAAATCGAAAATAAGCACCTTTAAGCACTTTTTAAAAATGCTACGAGCCATGTACTATATTCTTTTCAAAATTTTATATTTGATAGTTTAATTTATATAGGTAATTAGGGAATTTTATTTTCTATAAAAAGAAAATAATATTTTACATTTATAGGTCTCCAAGTTCAAACATTAAAAATCTTTAATTGTCGACTCTGAATTCAGTCTGAGGATAACAGTTTGCTTACCTGGCAAAAAAAACCTTTTTCTCACATGTTAAAAATAAAACTTTTTTACAAATTGCAAATTATTTATAAGGTTGAGCACAAAAAGTAGAGAGTAGAATCTGGCATAACCAGTAAGTTGGTCTGGAATTGATTTGCAAGTCAAACAAAAACTTTCTCACACACGGACTCAAATCTTAAACAGCTTCACACAATATATACAACACTTTGAATTGATATGCACTATCATTTGCTTTGCTTTCTTTTTGGAAGTTGCAGATTAAGTTTATGAGCACCACTTTGAAGGAAAAAAACATGAATTCTATGCAGTAAATGAGCATTCATTTCAATCACAAAACATATCACAAAGTTTGTAATATTTAGAGTACAAAAATATACAAATGTGTTCGAGATGGAATGTAAAATAGTTTTGTTTCACAACTGCAAATCTGAAATATGAACAGCATAACAAACTTTATACCAGTGTTTAAATATATGAAGCTCAGCCTAGATGTTAAAAGAATTTTGTATACCAATGGGCAGCTCAGTCAAATGTAGTACACTCAAAATTAAATAATTTTACAATTTATTAAATAAGTTTATTTATCAATATTGTACACATAATAAAAAAAAAACTAGAGAGCATATATACTACATAAATGATTTTGATACTTTTCTGCATAAAGTGCATGACACGGAACAACTTTTTTTAAAAAACATGTAAACTTATTCTCATTATACCATAGGTGTTTGATATAACTTAACAAAGATAGAAAAAAAGCAAAAGTTAATTAGAAGTTACTAAAAGCAGATTTGGTTACTTTTTTTTTAGTGTTTTAACCTATAATCAAAAAGAATAACACACCATTTGACTTACGTAAACCTAAAAATAGAAAAGGATGGTTTTTGAAAATCATAGTTGACTTTAAAGCAAAACATTCTTTGACATCATAGACATGCATTATTATCAATTAAATTATACTGACGCTTTATCTATTTTGATAATTTAGTTACTTTTGTAACAAACTATTGTGTATCAATACTTTTTAACAGCCCAACTGATTTTAGAAATGTGAATTTCATTCAAAATTCGTTCATTTCAATTCATTTAAAATGTTTGAATCTATTTCATTTTTTATTTCATAAAGCAGCATTAGGATTTTTTTTTAATTTTTAAAATTTTATTTAAGGTTTTATCCCTTGCCTCTATTAGAAAGAAGTTTCTAAGAAATAATAATTTCATTAAGGGAAAAACATGAACACATAAACCTATGTAAAAAATAAGACTTGCGTTAAGTGAAAATAATTAGAGATTATAATGCAAAAGCAAATATCATTCAGAAAGTTATTGTGACATATTTATTGTGAGACTAATTCATTAGTCATAGTCTAATGTGGGAAAAAAAATAGAAGGCGAAAGCACAGTGCATAAGATGACAAGAAAGACAACATCTATATGGAGTTAGGAAAAGGACAGCTATGTAACAAGATCGCCAAATAGTTGATCAGCATTAGCAATTTGATGAATAGAATAAATTTCCTCAAACAAATTAAGAAATATTTATTTTTTAAAATAATTAATAAGGTCATGCCTAAAAGTCGTAACATCTTAAAATCGCGACATGTAAAATCTATGAACTGTCATACAGGTAAAAAGGTTTAAACGAAACTTTATTTTCCCACCCAAATGAAGTGAGAATGAATCACTACCGATAAAAATGTTAAGCCAATATCTCGTCTATTAGCCATTTGTTTTTGTAATAAATGCCAAAATTCCTATTAACACCATGACTTAGCTTCGTACAATATAAACAAATAATGAACATAAAATTTTCTTTGGCCAAATGAGTCTTGTATTGCGCATATCAAGACTTACTGAAGCAGAAAGCTGCAGCATCAGGATTTCAAGCGAGACGCTGTAGTAAAGAGTTCGAAAGGGAAAAAATGGCATCAGAGAACATGACTAATGGACTGAGAACATTTCGAGTTGCTTTTGCTTGGCTTTCAGCTCCTGAAGGCCTTCGTGGTATGGACCATAATGGATGGAAAAGATGAGATGGGATTTCTCCAGCACTTCTCTTGTCTCTTCCACTAGAATCCTGAAAATTAAAATGCGTAAACGGCCAAATAATTTTAACGAAACCATTACAAAGAATTTGTATTTAGATCAGGGTTGGGTTTTTGCCGTCAAAGACTGGTTTTTGACATGACAGTGGTAAAAACCATGTTTTTACCGGTAAAAACTGTCAAAAACCTACTGTTTTCCTTAATTTATAGCATATAGCGGACAATATATTATTTTCACATAATTGCCTTTATAAATGAATGTTGTAAATGATTGAAATTGATTTTGTAACTATATACATGTATTCTTATAGAAGGATATACATTCATACAGAAATATTGAAACTCTAAAAGGATTTCCCAGGCTTTTTCATGTCTCATTTCTGTGTAAAATATTGAAAACAAAATTGATAAGAAAAGTTTATTTTATGAGGCTTCCTTTTTATGTGTACATGTGTATCTCATAGCAAGATCTTAAGAATGAAATTAATCAATCTTGACATTCTTCAGTAATGTAATATGCCAAACAAAATGATGCTTGGAAATGTTGAAATTTTTTTTTAGTATCCTAATATTTTACTTCAAATAGTATGTTTTGATATATTCATGTTGGGAAAATGCAAGAATCTGTTCTTAAATATTTTTAACAACTTTTTTTCTAATTTTATTGCCCAAAAAGGAATTAATTTTAAATTATAAGCAGTTAAACTCAAATAAAAATACAGTTTTACCAAAACTATGGGTTTTTGACAGTTTTTGACAGAGGGTTTTTTGACATGACGGTAAAAACCATGGTAAAAACCGCCATGTGTCAAAAACTTGCCAACCCTGATTTAGATATAACAAGGTGCGTAGCCAAATCTTTCAACAAGCAACTTTTAAGTACTTTTTAAGCATTCAAAAATATTTTTAAGCACTATATACATAACAAAATGCAAACTAGTTTTCAAAGACTTTACACGTTAATGATAAAAATAACCAGTTTCTGACAAAGAACTCCTTTCTTAATTATATTAGCCATCATAAAAAGACAGAGAGATTTTTTTGGTTCGATTTCAGAGGGTGGAAAATAAAAGTCTGAAATTGAGAATATCTTGCAAAATGCAGCAGAGTTACACATGAGAGTGCAATAATCCCACCGAACGCAGCTCAGTAGAGGCACATGCGGACTCACAAGTATTTCATCGAACATGTAACATGATTGGTGCTATCATACATTATGAACTGAAGGTATGCCGAAATGGATTGTGGTTGAATGAATAGTGAAATTGTTCAATAAACCAATGTGAAAACCACATTTTTGCATAATATGAAACAAAAATCGACATGGTAAAGAAAAAAAAATCTCATTTTCCAAAAGGGAAAATTAAGCACTTTTTAAAAACACCCAATGAAAAAAGCACGTTTAAGGGCTTTTAAAAAACAAAAAGCGAAAATAAGCATCTTTAAGCACTTTTTAAAAAAGCTACGCACCATGTATTCAAAATCATCCAATCCACGAAGGCGTTGATTATGCCATTGCCGGGTCATCAGTAAACAAATTTAAATTATACAATCCTCAGTCATTATATGTTCTTTACTCCGATTACAGTAAAACTATTAACTATTTTTGCTCAGATTAAAAAAAGAAGGGAATTAATTTTTTTACATTAAGAGACTCAAGTAGATGGTTTAAATGAAGCTCAACTCACCTGAAGTCTTGGTCACTGGCAGATCGTTCGTGATAGGATTGAGCAAGAGCATTGATAAGTAGATCAGAGTATTTCTGTAATTCATTACCATACTCTATACTGTATACCCCAAAGATGTGCTCAGTTATTGTGAGAGTTGGCCGCAAATACTCCACAGCAAGCATCATCTTGTCTATTGAAAATAAATAAATGAAAAGAAAATGTTTTTAATTAGTACAAAAATATTTAAAAAGTAAAATAAATTATTTTAAACATACTTTTTTTAAAAAATCCTCATAACACAAACTGCAATGACTTTACCAGCAATATGAAAGACAATTTAAGGGTTTTTCAAAATTTTACATTAAAGCTTGGTTTAAATTCTTCAAATTAAAGGAGGAGGGGAACCTGTATATACCTTTGCAATAAGAGTTTCAAAATTGGATGTGATTAATTTTATTTGCAAAATTGAGGGTTGGTAAGAAATAAATTTGTTTAAAAAAAATGTGATGGAGATTGAGATTTTTTTTCTCTTTATAATATTTCAAAATTTATGATTTTGAAGTTCATTTAAACAAGGGTAAATAAAGTTTTAAAAAAAAGGCAAACAACACGCTTTATACTTTTAAGTTGGGATTAGGATAGTTATTAAGCAAAGCAAATAAAGCTATCTTTAAAATGGAGAAAAAATTCTGATTATAAATCACTTAAAATTTTCTCCATAATATATTTTAAGGAAAAAGCAAATTATATAGGACTATTATGTGAAAGAGGGAAAATAGATTTAATAATGAGGATAAAAATGAACCAAAAAAATAAAAATAAATGAAATTATAAAAAATCCTAAGTAGGTAAAACAATAAAATAGTATATATTTTAGTAAGAAGCATAAATAAACACATATGAATAAATATATATTGGTATTTCCACAGTTTAAATTTATTTTTGGCTGATTTTTACATTATCTCTAGTTTGTAGAAAATAGACAAGTTTAAATTTCAATTTGTGAATAAAAATAAACTTTTAATGAAATAAATAAATTTCTACCTAATGAAGCATAACAACATGCCAACTGATCTTGGACTTCAGAGAGCTGTCTGTTATACTTGTACATGACTTTTTCACGAATTTTGTAGCATTTCTTTAGTCTTTCAAGTGCATCTTCAGAAAAAAAGATAAGAATATTATAATCATCTTATTGAATTTCAAAGTTTCATAATGTCTTAAAATAAATAATTTTTGTTAAAAAAATATAGCCTTTTAATCATAAAGCAAATTATGTAGCTTCATTGAATTTTTGCGAATTATTTAAAAATTTACCCTTTTTTTCATTTATATGAATAAATTTATTAATACAAATTTCAAATTTTGTCTCTCAAAACTTTGCTAATTATAAGTAGGAAGATACAAAATATATAATACATTAAAATGAATTAGTTTTAAAATTTTAAGAGTAAAACAAAATATTGATTTGGCCAATTATTTAAAAATTGTGATAAATTTCTTTCATTAATTTTATAAATTGTACTAGCCAATTAAACACTTCCCAATTTCGACCAAACATCGTTTGGGTACTTTAAAGGGGGCCTTCCTTGTTTTGCCCGTGCGTTGCTTGTGCGACTGATTTTTTTTACTCGATTGCAACGATTTGCCAGAATTTTTTCTTTCTTTATTTTACAATGTTTCTAACAGATGGCTCAGGTAGTCCAGTAGAGGTATGATTGCAAAAGGCTTTGGAGCTTTTCTTTTACGTGGGAAAAGGCGTGAATTTTGTTTTCACTAGCTTAGTAGAAAAGCCAACTTTAAACAAAAATGCAATTGTTTTTGAATTAAAAATTAAAACTATTTCATAAAATCAATAACTATAATAGTTTTGACTCTTGATTTGAGTTTATATATTCGATTTTAACAGAAATTTGTTTATCAAAAATATGATTTTTTGACCCAATTTGCCAGAAAAAAGACGCTGTTAAGCGGTTAACAATGTTAATCCATTCGACCACTTCTTTCAACAATGTACAAAAACCCGAAATTAATTTTAAGAGAAAAAAAAGCTAAAGAGAAAATACACAAGCAAATATCTACACAAGACAGTAATTCTGGAGATTTTCCTCACTAAAGCAGTGAAATTGAAAATGTAAAACTTTTTCTCTTTAGGAATATTTTTTTCCAAGATAGATTTTTCTTAAAATTTCCTAGATTAAAAAAATAAAACTTTTAATACATGGACCACATCACACTATTCTTCTCCATTTTCAGTACAGATGACATGACTATTTCGGAAAATAAATGAAAAACAGAACTTAAATGTCACACCTTTGAAGCTACCCTTAGCAGCAAGTTGCAGGCCTTGCACATAAAGGTCATGAGCAGTGAAGACTTTCTAGAAAGAAAAAAAACATCAAACTGAATTAAACATTGTCCACAGTTCAGGTTTTTTTTTTATCGTAATAAATGAAAATAAACTCACTCTTAATGAAGTGGTGCAGTCATTGGGTTTATCACAATCTAAGCACGAAGCTTTATTTGTAGAGTCTGGTGCTCGAAGTGGACCACTACATGACGGACATTTTAATGCCTAAAATCAATTAAAAAACACAGATAACTAAAACAAAATCAAAACTAGAATGACAAATTAAGGTTCATTTATTGGCATTAAACCAGGGTTGGCAAAAAACCAAAAAACTCGTTTTTTTGTGTGGCTTAAACCAGGTTTTTTCCGACATTCTTTTTCCAACTAATATACATACTAAAAAAATGAAAATTACTTCCACGAAAAATTAAAATAAATAACAAGCTTGTTATTTATTACAAAATGGTTTTATAATAATAAATAACAAGCACAAACCACACTAAACAAACTGGTTTTTTTAAAGGAAAAATTCATTTGGTTTTAACCATGGTTTAAACCATGCATTAAACAATAAAAACAATTATAATAAAAAAATGCACTCTGTAAGAAAAAGTGTCTCTGTTAGATTCTTGACCATACAAAAAAATAGACAGTTGGAGCTAAGATGTGGAAGATTTGACAGGAGAGCTGAAACTACTTGTAGTTAACAAACTTTTTGCTGCTGGAACTGTCTTTGTCTAAAATCATAACTATGCTAAATATTGTTTTAAAATTATTTCACAGTGTGAGTAGCCAAATTTTATAACAAAAAATAAGCACATTTTAAGTGCTTTTTAAGCACTATATACATCAACAAAATGCAAAATAATTTTTAAAGACTTTTCGTGATCATGATAAAATAACTAGTTTCTGCTGCACATGAGAGTGCAATACTCTCATCGAACTCAGCTCAGTAGACGCACATGCGAAATAAGTATTTCATCAAACATGTAATATGATTGGTGCTTTCATACGCAACGGACCAAAGGTAAGCTGAAAGGCATTGTGGTTGAATGAATGGTGAAAACTTTGAATAGAACAATGTGAAAATCACAGACGCTTTTGCATAGCACGAGGCAAAAATCGACATGGTAAAGAAAAAAAAACTCAGTTTTGAAAAGGGAAAATTAAGTACTTTTTAAAAACACCCAATGAAAAAAGCACCTTTAAGGGCTTTTAAATTATGAAAGTTGAAAATAAGCACCTTTAAGCACTTTTTTAAAATGCTACACATAACACACCCTGATTTCACCAATTTTTTTATGCGAAGCTCTTCCAATTGTGACTTGAGACAGTGTTTTCATTACAGAAAAAAAAATGGGAGAGAATTTCTCACCCTCTCTCAAAAACAGGGTGAGATTCCCAAAAGCTAAGTGAGATTTCAGAAAATTAAAAAAAGACACGAGTATGCTTAGAAATTTTTTTTTTTAATTATAATGCATTTTTAACATCTTCTAATTTCTAAACCATTGAATATTTTTGCTGCATCATCATATGGAAAATGTTCTATATCTACTTTTTCATCAGTTATTCTCATTAGGTTGCTCAAATGCTCATCAGTCAATCTGTTACAATATTTTGCTTTCATTCGGCTTTGGGTGCTTAATGACCTTGCAACAGATGCTGAACTATTCGGAATCACTAATTAAATTCGTAGCATTGTGCACACACTTTCCTATCCTCTACATCTACCAGCATAGGCTTTTCAATTATTTCTGTTATAGAATAGTGAAGTTCGTTGAAGTTATTTCCATGTTCATAGTTCTTGTTAGGTATTCCAGCATAGTTTTCAGACTTCCAACTTTTACAAATTGCTGTAAATTGTCGGTGAGGGAGTTTGGTTATTCATTTACAACTAAAAATAGAGCTAACTTTAAACAACTTATTATGAAGGACTCATTTTTTTCTCAAGACTTGTCGTAGTTGTTTTCATGTCTGTTTCAAAATGGCGGAAGACAAAATTTTTTCCAAAATTCGAGAGATTCGCGCATTTTAAAACTGATTAATTGAGTGCGCGAATTTCGCGCGTTAATCATTTTTTAATGCAAGAAAATAAATAAATATGCGAGATTCTCGCGCTGTAGTGAAAACACTGCTTGAGAGTTCGTTGTGGTACCGAAATAATCTCTAGTACCTTCAGATAGTTTTTCTTTTTCAATGTGACAGGTCAAAAATGTTGCATATGGACAGCTTTATATAGAAATTTCTTCTCATTACACAGAAAAACCAGGGAAGAAAACCACAAATGAATAATAAGATGCCAGTTCACACATATAAAATATTAAAAAAATATCTATATTAACTTCTAAGCGGCTTTCCAAAAACAATATTTGTTAAAATGTGCTTCTAAAAATATTTACTTGAAATCTTTGCTCCCGTTCATCTTCATTTTCACAAGAATCGCATTCACATGTAAAAAAAAATTCTGATNAAGTACATTCCGAGAAAAACTAAAAAAAGAAAAAGAAATCAACAAATATTAAAACAATTAGTATAATAATTTTAAGAAATGAATGAAAGGCTTTATCAAATATTTTAATGATGCTTAATATATTACATAGTGAGTATAGTGCAATGATAGTGAGCATTTATCAATTTAACTTAACATTGAATAATCTTAGCTTCATGTAAAATGGAGATATTTATCACTTATTTCCTTAGAGCATCTAGCAGTGACCAGCTGGTCTGCCTACACTAACTCACTGCTTAGTAGCCACACACATTCAGTGTGGGTAGAAAAATCTCTCAACAAAAAATAAGCATCTTTAAAGTACTTTTTAAGCACTCAAAAAATATTTTTAAGCACTATTTACATTAACAGAATGCAAAATAATTTTCAAAGAATTTATTTAATCATGATAAAATAACTAGTTTCTGACACAGAACTCTTTTCCTGATTATATCAGCCACCATAAAAAGATAGAGAGATTTTTCTGTGCTATTTCAGAGGGTGGGAAATGAAGCCTGAAATTGAGAACATCTAGCAAAATGCAGCAGAGTTGCACACGAGAGTGCAAGAATCTCATCAAACCCATCTCAGTAGATGCAGATGTGGCCTCCCAAGTATTTCATCAAACATGTAAAATGATTGGCGCTTTCATACGATGTGGATTGACGGGATGCCAAAATAGGTTGTGGTTGAATGAATTGTGAAAACGTTGAATAGAACAATGTGAAAATCATGCTTTTGCGTAATACGTGGCAAATATTGACATAGTAAAGAAAAAAAATCTCATTTTCGAAAAGAGATAATTATGCATTTTTTAAAAACTCCCGATGAAAAAACACCTTAAAGGGCTTTTAAAAAACGAAAATCGAAAATAAGCACCTTTAAGTACTTTTTTAAAAACGCTATGCACCATGGTTATTTAGCATTAATGTCTATAAGGATAATTATTACAATAATTAAAAAATATCACAATAAATTTTTTTTAGTTTTTTCAATTTAGCACAAAAAGATTACAAGTTCCATGTTTTGACAGCATGTATAAATTTAGCTTGAGATATCAGTAAAATATTTTTTGTGATTATAACAAATTAGTTTATATAATTAATGCACATAAAGATGATTCATTATGAATGTGAGCAGTATCAGAATTAGTATCAGCAGACTTAGATAAAATGAAAAACTTTCTGCGAACACAAAATCTCAGTTAAAAAACTCTCTGCACACATTAATTAACTCTTGTAACTAGTTTAAACTTTTTTGTCGCAACCTCATTCTGACAAGATTTGTTTGAAACCATGATTTTTTAAAAATATATAATTTTTAAAGAATTTTATATTGATTTATACTACAGAAATGAGTTTGGTAAAAAAAAAAAAAAAAACACTGAAAATAGAAAGCCAAAAATGTTATGTGCAGAACCTTTTTTTTAAATAATTGAAAAAAATGCCTGAAATTTGAGCAAGAAAAAAGTATATGTAGTAAATATTAATCCACAGAATGTTATCATCCTTTAAATAAAAATGTTGATGCGAAATTTTATTTACTTATTTAAATTGCATAAATATGAATAATTTATTTCAAAATTGTATTAGTATGAATATCAACGTTTCATTTTAAAATCCTGTGAGCATGGATTCCAAAATATAATTTTTAAATCACTTGAACACGAATCATAATAGTGGCTTTTGAATAGCATGAATATAAGATGCAATATTCGATACATTATAGTGAAAATACGAAACATGATCTGAAATCGCAATGTGATTTTAAATCATGTGAATGTATCAGCATCAATTACAAAAATAATCACCTGGATATAACAGAGGGATTGCACGAATGGTTCATGAGACTGACAGTGGGAAAAAGTCCAGTGGCGATTTTCACTTGTTTCTGGTTAAGAACAGAAGTACCACTTTGAGATGATGTTTGCAATTCTGTTATAGCATTGGCATTGCAGATCAATTGCAGAATATGACGCAGTATCAGTCCACTAATAAACATTTCCATAGCGGGTGGACCAGTCGGCATGTCGTTCTCTTCGACTGAATTTACAGAGAGACGAGAATGGACGGGGCTTCTAGATTTATGAGTTGGCGTGGATGGAGCAGACCCTACACGGCTGTTAAGATTGCAGCTGATGAGCCTTTCGCGTAATGTTTGGCTTTCTAAGGTGGCGAAATAGTTCATTCGATCCAATAGCATCAGCAAAAGGAGGGCTGTCTGAAAAGTAAAAAGACAACAACAAAATAATTTCTCATGTGCATAACAAGCAGGGGTGATTGTGGCAAATTGAAAAACCCTGCAAATTTTATGCGCGAAAAATCGATATCAATTTATATACCATACATCTTTCATACTTAACACAATTTTTTGAACTAACATTTATAATTAAATTACCTTCTAATGCAAAATATAACACCCCTTTAGCAACTAATTCAAGAAAAAGCTTACTCTAACAATAATCTCGATATTAGATTTCATAATCGTGTGAATATTAATCGTGATATTGGATTTTAAAAACGAGAAAATACAACTTGCGATATTGAATTTTTGAATCCAATCAGAAAAAAATTAAGAATAAGAAAAGTTAAGATAATTTAGTCAAGAACATTTAAAAAAATACAACACAATGAAAACTTTTATAACATACCATAAAGCTACTAATTTAAACTGCTGAGTCGCACAAAATTTTTAATTTATCTTTCCATCCAAAGAATTTAAAATTCTACACTTTTTAAAAGATTTTAAACATTTTAAATGACATTTGAAAGAAAATGTATCATATTGAAAGAGAGCAATGTGAAATATTTATAACTTGAGAAAACTTAGTAGACTTAATATTTTTCATGCTTTTTTAATTTTAGAAATTTTCATCTTTGGACAAACCAAAAATTTACAAATGGGCAATCAAAAACAGATGGTCGAATTATATTTTGGAATATACAGTATTCTCTTTGATAACTTTTCTCTAGTAAAAACAATGAAGTATTACCAATGCATATTGAAAAGTGTCGTCTGTAGGCATGTCATCATGGGCCACCAGATGATAAACTGCAAAGTAATCATTTCTGTATTTACCATCAGGGAAATCAAAGGGATATAATGAGGTTGAAGACTTCACTAGCTCTTCACGATTTTCTAAGATTGAGAATAAAAAATACATTAAATTATCCAACCGCTCCTTGCATCCAATAAAACATTTCAAAATTTCTATTAGCATTTACCTTGGAGAAAATCTAATCCAGTGACTAGAATTGTCCTGAAGCTTAAATGAGCGATACCCACCTAGAAAGAGAATAATAGAAAAACTTTAAGCGAAAGTAAGTTGTTTAAAACAATGTCTTTAAACTCTTATTAGGAATTGAAATAACCTTAAACAATGAGACACTTTTTTCTAATTGCTTTAATAAACTCATTTATTAGAAAATTAAGAAAAGTTTCCCCAAAATTACAAGTTATGCTAGCAGGAACAGGTTTACATAGGTCAAACCAAATATTTATTTAAGAATTTCTTTCTTATATTCAGGATTATTTTATAATTAACAATTATGACTGCAAAAAATTTTTAACCTTTTTTTGTAGTGGATACTGTTAAGTAGATTAATTAAAACAAATAGAAGTAGAGCTCGAAATTAACGGTGATTTTTTAGTGCAGGACCACTAAATTTTGACTCGGTCTAACAAAAAATAATTATTAAAGGTTTCCGGGAGAAGCAATCGATATTTAAAAAAAAAATTTCTATGCTATTTTGGTTTTATCAGTTTCATGTTTTAGTCTGTGTTATTGTTATTAAATAATTTATTACCTCTTCATAATTGTGGACATTTCACATTGTTTGTATTGTAATTTTTTTATTATTTACATTCCCTTCATTAACTTTTTAAAAAAAAGGTTAATTGACGTGCATAAACGAAGCAGTGAAAATGTGTACAGACAAGTTACTGGTGCTCTGTACTAAAGAAACTATAGTTAGAATAAGTCTGTACCAAAGAAACTATAGTTAGTATACATGTACTATAGTTAGAATAACATACTCACCGAATGCAATAGGTCTAAATTACCACATTCCCATTTGTGGTATTTCTCCCATGATAAATCAGCACATTTTTGGGAGCAGTAACGAACTTGTGAACACTGATGACACCTAAGGAAATTTAAATAATAAAGTCATATTGATGACAATGACATAAACAGAAATTATAGTTTTGTTAAAAATCATGATTTACAAGTGAATTATTAATAATTCAATTTTTGTTGCACATAAAATGAAAAAAATGAGATCCATCACATCCTGAAAAAAAAGAGCAATTGGGAATTAAAGGAATTTTATCAGTGAAGTTACCTCTGACTTTTTCATTTTCAGATAGTAAAGTAATCATTTACTCTTGTAATTTTATCCAGCACAGAGTTTCAGTTGAAGCTTGAACACTTTGGATACTTTGTAATTTATCAAAATTATGATTGTGAGATTTGTTATTTACAAGCTAAGTAAATCACACAAGATTTTCAAAGACAAACAAATTGTTAGCAGAGTTAGAGGACGTCCAAAACTTTGATGGTTGGACTCCATCAGCACGGATCTTAAAACAATCAAAGTAATAAACTGGCAAAAATTTTCGCTAAAGAGAACAAAATGGAGAAATGTTTTAGAGAAGGCCAGGGCCCACCCTGGGATGTTATACTGATGATATTGGTCACAGACGATATATATACTTACCAATTCTAAAAAATTTATTATGAGAATGCGTAATAAAATTTTGTTAAGAAATTTGTTTTAAATTATTCACCAAATATCACGTATATGCAGATAATAGATTCCCGATAACACGAGATGGACAGGATAAGTCTTACCTCATACTAATTGAAACTCGAATTATCAAAACCATTAAATAAAATGTAATGAGTAAAGCAGTTTTTAAATACTGGTATAGACAAAAATAAACAATGAACCAGACAATCAATACATAACGTCAGTAATTTTTCTCCTGACTCCCACACTTACCTTGCCTTGTAGAAGAGAATCTATGACAGTTTTTCAAAGCACCTTTTGATCCATAGGTTGAACAAAACTGCTTTTCTTCCTTTTCCAAAGTCAATGCTTAGTGACAAAAATATTGCACAGAACCCATCAATTTACCCTCATTTAAATGTGAACTCACATTGTCATTAAGATGGCTTTGAAAGTGTGAAATTTCTTTCACATGTTGCTCACTATTTGGGAGTTCTTGATATATAGGGGTTTTCATGAGTTATTTTTAACATATGCCATACACTAATGAAACTTTTTAGGCACCAATATTTAGCTAGTCACAAAAATATTCAATGGATAATATATCAAATAATATTTACTTAAGTTATTAGTTGAGCATTAAGGAGGCTATTTTGACATTAAATAAAGTATTTTACACTCTAAACTTATTTAAAAGCCAATATAGGTCAAAATGTAAAATTTAATTGCTTTAGTGACGTGGTGATTTTCTTAGTGGATAGCAGTATTTTGAAGAGCTATGAAAATGACTGTAAAATTACATAAATAGAAAGCGGATGTGAAGAAATAAAAGTAACTTACGGAACTACAGCTAACGATTTGACATAACAGTGATGGCAGTGAGATGGATAATGAACAGGCAGCAATACAGATGAATAGGCTTCCTCCACAAACAGAGTATCACCAGGTGATAACTCTCTGTTAGCCTAAAACATTGAATATCACAATGATATATATATATATATTTCTAATTTAAATAGTGAGTGAATAAACAATTTAAAAAATAATAAATAAAAGTTAGATCATTTTAATTAGATCTTATAATTGTTAGATAATTGATTTCGTCTATAAATTAATCGTTTGAGAACATATGTAAGCATTAGAACTAAATGCAAGTCTGGTAAAAATTAATGAATAGTTTTTATGATTCCTGGTTGCTAAAAATTAAGCTACTAAATGGTGTGTAGCCAAATCTTTCAACAAAAAATAAGCACCTTTTAAATACTTTTTAAGCACTTAAAAATATACATAAGCACTAGATATATAAAAAAAATGCAAAATAATTTTCAGTGACTTTACATGATCATGATAAAATAATTAGTTTCTGACAAAGAACTCTTTTCTTAATTATATTAGCCAAAATAAAAAGATCGAGAGTTTTTCGGTTTAATTCTAGAGGATGGAAAATGAAGCCTGAAATTGAGAATATCTTGCAAAATCAGCAGAGTTCCAGATGAGAGTGCAAGAATCTCACAGTACCCAGCTCAGTATACGCACATGCGGATCCGCAAGTATTTCATCAAACATGTAAAATGATTGGTGCTTTCCTACAGGCTAGGGACTGATGGTATGACAAAATGCATTTTGTTTGAATGAATTGTGAAAATCACGTTTTAGTATAATGCATGTCGAAAAGCAACATGGTAAAAAAAAAAATTTTTTTTTGAAAAGGGAAAATTAAGCACTTTTTAAAAACACCCGTTACAAAGCATGTTTAAGTGCATTTATAAAACGTAAATAAGTACCTTTCAGCACTTCTTAAAAGCGCTACTCACCATGTACTAAAGCTGGGGGGGGGGAGGAATTGCATTATAAAGCAACAAACATAAATATATTTCATGATCTTTATGGAAAAGGTATCAACAGTAAAAAACAAGGAGTAAAAAAATTTTTTTTTTATTTTTTACCCAAAATCCCTTTATCCACCTTTCTAATTATTGCATGGATATTGAGCTTGAATGTTGTAAGGTTATGAAACTAATACTTAGATTATTTCACCAACATAAGATTGTAAAAGGGAAAAAAGAAAAAAACATGAGAAATTGAAAAAAAAATTAAATATATGTTTGAAAAAAGTTAACAAGACTATTTTATATGAAACATATTTTTATTGCTTAATATTTTCAAGTACACTCGAACATGAACTTACCACAACAAACCGACCCTTTGTTTTATCATTCTTAATGTCTACTGCACATGAAGCATTGTCAATAGAATGATTGGAGCCATAGCTTAATGGAAGAATATGAGAACGTACTGCCTCTTTTTCCTCATCTGGCCTGAAAAGAAATCAACATTTATTATTTAGAATTTTATAACAGACTAGAATAGCAACACACTCATAACTCAAGAATAGAAAAAGGAAATGTTTTCATACAATAAATAAAAATAAATAAAATACAAATAAATAAAAACTTTATTTGCAATGATATAACATTATAGATAGATATTATACTGACAACAATACACAACTTAATCAGAATTTTTTTAATCTTAATGTAATGATCAATAAAATGCTTTTAAAAAAAAACACTCTTTTTGGGTTAAAAATTATTGTAGATTTGTCATAAAATTATGTAAAATTTAAAAGTGAATTGGAATGATCAATATGATAAATATGAAATTTGACAAAAAAAATTTATGTTTAGTTCAGTTTTATTTTAATATAAGTTAAAAAATTAGGTGCATCACGAAAAAAATTTCTTCTAAATTTTAAGTCAATAAAAAGTTGTCACATAATTACCAAATCTTTTTTGAGACAAATTGAAAGATTTTTAAATCTCCCAGTCTATGCTAAAAGCTTATTTTTTTGGAAGGGGGATTAAAACATAAAATTTTAAACTAAAAATATAAAATAAAATTTAGTTTTCAACTTCAAAAATGTAACATGACAATAAAAAACTTAATATAATCATACACATCAAATTAAACAATTAAGTCTCCTGCAATCTATATAAAAGCGTCAATTTAAGCCATAATCTACATAATAACCAAACCTAAAGATTGGGTTGAAAATTAAAAACATGCATATTTCGTAATGAACAATGAGATTTACCAAATATCAAATGCTAAAATAGGAGAATACTCACGGCTTCATTTCCTCAACAGCTTTTATTAAGGTTTCTACATCATTTTCTTGGCGAGCTGAAAAATGACTATACATTAATTAACGTGTTGAAATAAAATGTATTGTTAAATAAATTAATCATTTTGAAATAAAATGTATTGTTAAATAAATTAATCATTTTGAAATAAAAAATTTATATTTTAAATTTTCTAAATAAATATTTTAAAAAATTACAATACTTAATGATATGACAGCTTTAATTTTAGAAAATAATTAACTTCTATAACCATTTTTAAACAATGTTTATTTGGAACTAAAATAAAACCATTCATTAATGAAACAAATTATGTCAAAACATTTAAAAACAATTTTTTACTATAAAAAGAAATATTTCAAATGTTCTGTTAAATTTTCGTACATTAAGCGAAAATAAAAATAGCAAAAATTTAAATTTTTTTTTTTTCACAAAGCCTCATTTTGCCAATTTATTTAAAAATTGGGAGGAAATGATTTAATATAACAATGATGATAATACTCCAATGGTCTTTTTTATTTATTTAATTACTGCTAATTAACAGATTTTAAAAATAAATTAATTCTAATTGTTTGAGTAAAAATTCATTTAACAATACGCACTGAAAATGTATTTTATAGCAAAATTGCTGTTTTAACAGAACGAAGACAGAAGTGTCATCTTTCAAAACTAGCTATCAGGAACCACACAGTACAAGTACAGTAACATAGAAATATACAGTTAACATTTACAAAATATATTTATTGCATACTTTGTTATGCAATACATATATTAACACAATTTCAAGAAAACCCAGGCTTAAAACACTGGAATACTTTATTAAGATTATTAGGTTATGTTCAAATTACTCAAGATTATTTGCTAAAATTGTCAAATATTGAGGAATTAAATATTAATTGTTACTGTGACTCATATTTCGCTGCTAACTGGGATGACAGAATATCAGTAGGTGGTACAATATTGTTTTTGGATAAAACTCTGATATTCTGGAAAACTTTTAAACAAAAATGTGTGAGTCTATCTACAATGGAATCAGAGTGTGTGACTTAAACTGACGCTGCCAAAGAGGTAATGTGGATTAAGCGTATAATAGATGAGTGTGGAGAATTAAATTTACAGCGTTTTCATCATAGAAAAAAAATGGGTTAGAATTTCTCACCCTTTCTCAAAAGCAAGGTGAGATTTCAAAAAGTTAAGTGAGATTTCTAAAAACTAAAAAAACACTAAAACTCTTTAAAAAAAATTATTTCTTTGATTATAATAAATTTTTAATGTCTTCTATTTTTTAAAGCATTGAATATTTTTGGTGCATCATCATAGAAGATTTTGCCTTTACAAGGTATTTGTCCATCTTACATAAGTTCATAAAAAATGTTAACGTCTTACATGAAGAAACCTTACCTACGGTGAACATGTGATTGTAGAGAAATGTGCTCTGAAAGGGGTTCCGTGGTTGTGTTCTGTTGTTCGAAAAGGTTCTAAATAATACTGGTAAATAGGGAAGCTAGATAATGGGGCAGATGATAAAAATAATGAAAGATCTAGGAAGAAAAGTGAAACGGATTTTTTTCTAAATGGCGTAATTCGAAGCTTTTTCCAAAATGCAAGAAATTCGCGAATTTTGAAAATGATTTATAGAATGCGCGAATTTCTCGCGGTAATCATTTTTTAATGCGAGCAAAGAAAAAAATATGCGAGATTCTCGCGTTCTCGCGCTGTAGTGAAAACACTGATTTAAGTGATTGTATTATATTTAGTGACAATCAATCGGCTATTAGTTTTTCCCAGTCACCTTTTGAAAATAGTCGAACCAAGCACATTGACGTAAGAAAAAACAACATACCACACCAAATCCTGTTACAGAGATCGTCTTAAAAAAGACTAAAAAAAAACATGAACATTAAAATAGTTAAATAATCATATATATTATTACCTAAACGCTTTGGATCCAATGACGCTTCTTTTAAAAGTTCCACCGACATATTGAAAGCTGAAAAATAAGACAATCTTTAAATTCTCGGCATTCTGCACACAAATTACTAATAAATCTTTTTTTAAAAAGCAATATCAAAATATTGTACTGATATTAAAAAACAGTAAAAGGACACTTATTGAATATAGAAAATTTATTACCTTCCATAGCTGCATCGGGCTGATTTAGTTTCATGTAGCATTGCCCTTTTCGTTGAAATAGCTTAAATCTGAGATTGATGGGATAATTGTAATGAATCGCTCGATCAATATCTAATAGACATTCCTGCAAAAATTAAAAAGCATTGGTAGGAACTGACAATGAAAGCATCCAAAGTAACAATCTCCAAATAATTTGAATTTCCCTCACATGGATTTCGAGAATAGAAATTAAGATGCGAAAAAAAAATTGCACATCTCTTAGAAATACAGTCTAAGTTCCTTAATATACTAAGATCCACCTGCCATTCCAAACACACATTATTTTAACGTCCATATTATTCAAGCTATTATAATATAACAACCAAAATTTTTATTCATTTTCATTTAATTCCAAGGAAACCTCTTCAAAAAACCTTTTTTGTGCTTCCAAAACAAAAATGTTTCCATTGAGAATGAATCACTGGAATGGATAGTAAAAAGTATGGAGAAAATGATTTAAACTCTAAACTCAGTGGTGCGACAGCCCATAGAGGGCCAAAGCCTACTGTGTCCATCTCAGTTTTCTTGACCTTGGGCTCTTAAGTGCAGGAGCAGATGTTCCGGTTTGGTGGTCAGCCGAACGCAAAACCCCCACTGTTTAGTTCCCAAGCATGCTTGGTACACATTTATCGACCCATTGAAGGGATTCAGCCACCGGGCGCAGAAAATGATTTAAATAACTATTTTTCTTTATGTTACTTCTCAATAAAATTATTTCTCTAGAAAAGAGAGAGATGGACCACCGATTCTTAACCTAGGTAATCATAACTATATTTTATGGTTAAAAAGATGGCAAAATACTGTTTAAATTCATTATTGAGAATTGAAAGAATACATTGTATTCTTATTCATGACCCTGGTATTTTTTTTTATTCATATTTTTCTTGTTTGAAAACTATATTCACTTTTTTTGTGAAGTGTTGTGATAAATGGTTTAATTATGAAAAAGGTTAAAGGTTGCATTTAATTATAAAAAAAATAAATTATTTTTTATTATTCTCTAATTTGACTATAAAAAGTTTTAAATATTAGGACACGAAGAATTTTATTTCTATTGTCTGCAATGTAGGTGTAAATGATAAAATTTAAATTTAAAAAATATGTATATTAAAGTGGCTCTAAGAAAAAAAATTAAAAATATGTCTTTTTAAAATATTTCACAGAAACTTTATGTGGTTTTTATTTTGATGAATTGATCATCATTTTTATCTCTTAAATATTTATTTATTCATATTTTAATATTTTTCTGTATATTTGATTGTATTTATAAACAATACTTTGCATAAAGTAAGCTTAAAAGTACTATAAAAGGTTACAAAAGCAGTACACTAATCAAGAAATGTAAATCTCTCTTAACCAAGTACCTCATTTTTGTGTAAGTGAAATAAAGCAGCCGATCGATTACCATATCCCAAAGCAAGTTCTTCAATGCGGTTGTCAGCAGAATCTTCAGATTTTGGAAACGGTGCAGCAAGAATGCTCTGAAATTAATTTCATAATTTACTCAATCAATTTTTTGACAGTTTTCCTAAATTTAAAATAAATAATAAAGACACAAGTGATTATAAAGAAAGTTTTGGGTGTTGAAATCTTAAGACTCTAGCTGCACTGAGTCAAATATAACCTTATTTGGATAAATAAACGTCAGTGGCCTAGTTTTGGGGACAAAATCCCCTTCGAAATTATATATTAGTTGATTAATGAACTATTGTATGGTAAATAGGATGTAAATATAAGAAAGTTTTCAAGATTCTTTTTTTGTAATTTAAACGTTTAGAGTACATAGATGAATATTAGAAGGAAATAACAGATAATCTCCTCGAACATTACATTAAAACTACACCACTGGAAAGCATGCATGATGATTGAAAAAATCTTGAGAAACTTTAAATGTCCAAATTCCTAACAATGATGTCATCATAATAAATAAAAATAAAAAAAATAGCATCGAAATGTTTATTCTGGCAAAATGTTAGCATTCATGCAAAGCAAGGCTTTATTTTTTCTAAAATCTGATTAGGTAAAACTTTCATTTTCCTTTTCAAAAATATGTTTAATCCTAGAATGAAGTTGTTTATTCAAAGATTATCTAAGCATATTTTTAACATTTTTGAACATAGTTCGAATTTGAATTAGTTTGAACTTTGGTTCCCAGTTTAAAAACATTAAACTGAATATTTCTAATATTTCTGAATATTTTTATAGCTATCCTAAAACATGTATTTCATTAAAAAAAGCAAATAAAAAACCATCAATAAACCATCATTGCTCATAATAAAATACAAAATATTTAATTTCATAATAAAAAAAAAAAACCAACATCTGGCTATGTAAAAAATAAAGATTTCATTTAGGAAGCATTAAAAAGGAGCTTTTAAAAATAAAGACTGGCTAGAGGGCAGCCATAATTCTGGGTAAATTTTACTGAAATATAAAACTAAAATACTTTAATCATTAAAGAAGAATTTAAATACCTGTGTGTAAAATTCTACAGCCTTTGAGTATGATTTCTCTTGAAAACACTGATTTCCTTCGACTCTTAGTTCATTCGCTTTTTCCCAATATTTTTTATGTCGAGATGAACACATGATATTGAGCCACTGCTGAGCCTTATTTCTATAAAATAAAAGTTTATTACAGTTTGCTACTTGAACCAAAAAAGATATTTGCATTGCACTGCCAACATGAAAATCTAGTAGATTTTATAAAACAATGCAACCTGTCAAGATGACCATTATCACCAAAAACTGAATTTATTTCAAAGAACAAAACATTCTCGTAAGAATTCATTAATCATGGAGAAAGGTTGAAAAAAACCTGGGTTATTATTTTAAAAAAGGCCCAACCCAGGTGAGTTTTGTTGGGCTTAATTGGTCTTTTTTTAGTTTAATTGGGTTTTATGAGGTTTAATTTTTCTTATATATAGTAATATACTATTACTAGTATACAAACAGTGTTAATAATAGTGGTAGATTAGATAAACTTCATGGAGATTAAGGCACAATGATGAACGACATGGTGGTGGCAATAGGGTTACCTACTGCCTTTGCTTTCCAGGCAAGCTGGTACTTAATGATATGAAACTGTGGGATTTTCAATAAAAAACTTTAAACTGATTACATTACATAAGACTTACTTTAAACATTATTTAGTAGAAATACTTATTTAATACTCAAGCAATCAACTAAGGAAGAAAAATATGTTTTTATAAGGATTTTGTTTAGGATTTTGTTCAGAATTTTGCAACATTTTTTTAAAAAATACATGAAGGTTTCTCCTTACTTTCTTCACTCACCAACCACCACAATAGCTTACCTTTCATTATTTTCTGCAGTTGTATTTTTTAAATTTATTGCAATTTTATACAAGTACATTTTGCTAATATGTTAAACGCAATGAAATGAATGATTACTTGGATTTCTTTCTAATATAATTAACTGTACCTGAAAAAAATGTAACTTAGGAAAATAAAATGTGTGGCAAAATAAGAAGAAATAAAATAGAATTCATCTATTAACAATGTATAATGATAATCTTATATCATTACAATAATTCAAATAGGTAATTGTTTTTATCTCTCTGAAACTCAAGAATTAGGTTTATTTTTAAAAATTAAAATATAAATGAAGCTACTTGGTATCAAATAATCCCTATTTTTACAGTATTTTTTTTTTCTTCTCTTCTATATTATGAACAGTTTTGGATGTTTTTAATGGCATTTTTTGATTTTTGTTTTAATTGGTATTTTTTGAGATTTCCCTTTAAAATCTGGTCTCCAGTTAAATGTCTAAAAGCTACAATATCGTAAATGATTACTTTAGCAAGTTTTTCTAAAGGAAAACTAAATTTTTCCAAACGATTGAAATTGTTTCTTGGGTGCCACTGCCCGTAAATTGCTGAAGCTTGTTAATTGTTTTTGGTGCAGATTACAAATCTTTCTCCCAGAAGTAAGTCCTACAATTCTTTCTTTAACTGATAGGGGAATATTTCTGCATCATAAATAATAGCCAAGCAGCCTGTGAGAAACTATAAATAAACATTACAGAAGGGGACCAACTTAAAGGGCTTCATGAAATTATTCCTAGATGTTTAAAACAGAACCAAGTAACCAGTAAAGTTGGTCTGAACTGATATATCATAAACAGGAGAAATTGATATACATTTAATCAATATACCTTTTTTTTGTTCTTTGCATTAGAAAAAGTAAAAAATGAACAGTTTCATGCAAATTCCCTTATTATCTGAAAAACCTTCCAATTTTACAATAGTGAAAAATACAATATAAAATTTAATAACATAATTTAGCAGAAAAACTTTTGCTAATTAAACTTACATACCTACATAATACAAACATGAAAAACTCGTAATTTAATATCGAAATCGGGGAGGGGATTCTAATAAAGGGGAAAAAATTGTTATTCAATTTGTGAATAAAAAAATTTATAAATAAATTTGGAATAAGGGAAAATAATATTTATTTCAAATAAAACTGAATGATTCGACACCGAATGATTAACTAAACAGAAGATTGTTACCTAATGAAATCATCTCTAAGACAGAATTCCACTCTGTCTTCATTGTTCTTTAATTTAGCAAATCGTACTAAAGTCTTTGATTTCTTGCACCGTACAGTAATATCATCAAGTACATCTTGCCAGCATGTGTAAGCCGCCATTCGTGTTACCAAGAAACGTTCTGTTTATATTTTGAAAAGGAACATTTTCCATACTGCGAATTTCTAGATCAGACTTTTAAATGCTCTCAACATTATTGATTGAAGTTTAGTTTCTTGTTCAGAGAGGGCACTATGTAAACTTCGCGTTTGTCACGTTTCGTTTATTTTTTAATCAATAATTTGAATTATTGCAATAGGCCAGTTTTTACACGCTTTATTTTTGAGTAAAATTGAACTTCTTGATTTTCTTTTAACATTTGGTGGTAGTAGGTCGGTAGGTGCTTTATTTATACCACCATAAGCTGCACTATGGGTTATTGGCGACGGTATAGGAAACATCCCTGAGGATGATTGAAAGACATGCCATCCAATTTTGATCCTCTGCTGACGGGATGGTTGTCTCTCCTGCTTTGCAGACCGGCGACCTGAGCTTGAAGTTGAGCACTTCAAGGTAAAATGGTTTAAAGAGGTCCAATACCGCGCACTCTTGGTCCCCACTCGCCTACTGACTGCACTCAGTGCAGTCAGTAGGCGAGTTCTGCAGGGTAGAGTAATGCTTGACTTCGGTGTTCTGCAGGGAATCGGTTTTGTGCAATCAATCCATATTGGGACAACATATGGTGGAAAGGTCACTAATTAACATTTATGAAGCAGTCATACATGCATGCGTCCGGAACGTCCGGGTCCGGAACTTGGTCATGAAATATTAAATTTGGGAAACTAGCTTTTAGTAATGATTTGTAAAACTCATGCGTTGGCATACTTAGAAACAACTGCTTCAGATGGCGCCAATCTACGGCTACTCTATAAAGAACTTCTGCTTTCAACATTTTACCAATTGAAGCTGTTTGAGCTAACTATTTTCATCAATTTATGTTTTGTAGAACAAATATAGAGGAAATAACAGGTCATCAGTACTTTGCTAAAAAAGAAATAACAAAAATAGCTTTAAACAAAGTAGACAAGAAAATGAATGTATATTGTTTATATTCGCCACGAATTGGCAAGTTAAAATTCTATCCGCGGGCAGGATAAAACCTTCTGGCGGGCCGTAGTTTGCCCATCCGTGATTTAGGTGCTCCAGATCTGTAATTTTGCTTGATAAACTACGTTTTATACTATTTTGACTACATTATAGTATTCTTTTTAATTACATTACGGTACATTATCTCTCCACTGCTATAGTCTTATTTATCACGCAAAAATATAGACCATTTGGGTCAACGCATAAGTAATTTTTTTGTGAATCTTATTTATCAAATAAGTTTTGAAATAGTGTTTTAACATTTTTCAATGCTTGACTGGAGTTGACTGGAGTTGTAAATATCCTCACTGATTAAAGAAGATAAAAAAAAAAGTACACAGTTATTAAAGAAGATAAAAATTTTCTTCTTTATTACGTAGAAGCCGAGCTTTCGAAAATTGTTGGAAATATTGTCGAAAATATCGCATATATGAATTCGGAGATGCTTTTTTCGTATCGAATCGAACTTGAAAACTATTGTTAAGAAAATATATTCCAAGATGTTTAGAATGTACTTTACTTCTTATCGTAAAAATTTTAATTGATAATTAAAAATTTAATGAAAAGTTTAGTTCCTGACCAAATAATAAGTAAAGGGCACCAACATTTTCATCAACTATAAGATTCGTATTACTTTCATTTTAATAAGAATTTCACTAGTTTTTATTAGTCTGCACAGAGCTGTTTGTTTTATACGCCCCACACATCTAGACTAAACAGTTTCTTGAATGCGTTGTAGCTACTGAAGCAAAAGTAATTATTGATTCATATGCAGAGTGTCATTGATTTGATTGGGCCATATGTGTAAAAATCGAATTATTATATAAGCTTCATTAATTAGCATGGCACAACCTTAAATAAAGTGCAAAATTAAAATTTTTTATTTATTGATGTATAGGGTCCATAAAATTTTGAAGGCCAATTGAATGACAGAAGATAATAAAGGCTGTAAGCCGTTTTTTCTTTATTCTGATTCTGAACACATTAAAAAGTAAATTGGAACAATAAAAGACTCTCAAGTAATTTCCCCAATGTCCAATAGAAAAGTTTATTTTAGAGATTGATTTATTTGATTTCAGAAAATATACTTTTGGGAAAGGAAACCTTTTAAAAGTGACAACCATTTCAAGACCAACTGCAAGGTGGTGGTTGGTCACTATGTATCCAGCATTGCTTACTGGCAGCCTCTACTTCTAAGACAACCTGAAACTCATCAATTAGAAGCTGGGTAGGCTTTAAGCCACTTAGTAGCACCACAACTCCTTTTTTCCCCTTGGTATATCATAGAATTTTGATCGACTTTGGCAAGAATGGGTCAAATATTAAGGTTGATCGATTTTGTAAACTGAAAGTTTATTACACCAATAATTAAAACAAAACACAGCATTTTTAAAAATTTATATTTAACAGATTTAAAAAATACAACAATTTCTAATAAACACTGATAACTTTACAATAAAGTAAAATGAGATTATAATACTGGTAGGATATTATCCATCATAACTATTAAAACATAAATAGTTAGGACATGATCAGATATTAAAACCCTACAAATTACAGGTACTAATATAGTCTTAAAATATAAAACAGCAACACCAGAAGTTCTTTAGAATGCTTGTCCCTTTAAATTGCACAAGAAAATATAGGTAAAGTTACAAAACACTTTAAAAAATATAATAAAAGAAATTTACTACTCTTTCACAAAGAAACTACATACAATAACTGTACATAATAAAAAATATGGGATATTAAAGATAAGATAAAGATTGGTTTTGAGTCACAGTTACCCGGAGTAAAAAATAACGGGTACATATTTCAATACAGAAGTGGAATGTTCAATTAAACTTACAACAATGGCTCAACATTAGCAAAACTATTACCTTTCAGATAACATTATATAGAATAACATTATAAACTATTCCTTTTCAAACAACAGATATTTTGAAGGCCACCTTACAATCACTGTTTTCTTTACATTAATATCAGGCACTGTGAAATACGAGTGGCTGGAATCTTTGAAACGAACAAGTCTGAGGCTTAAAAATGTTTTAGTTAGATAAAATTATTATAAATAGTGACATGCATAAGTTTATATTCATGTCTTTAATCCAGAATTTTATAACAGGAAACATATTTATAACAATAGAATTTATTATTATAAATTAATTTTATAGCTGTAAATACTGGATAATAGCTGGCTCAGTTTAGGGAAGTCAATGGAGAAAATGACAAGATTGATGCATCCAAAATGCTATAATTTTTTAAGGTATCTACCACATACTTTTTGAGACGAAAAAAAAAAATTCACAAAAAATTTGCAGACAAATTTTTAGTTGTACACATATATATTAATTAAAAATATTGAGAAAACATGGAAAATAATATAATGAAAATCAATGAAAAGATAAGAAAAAATATTAAAATAAAATATTTAAATTTCTTTTCCATTTAAAAAAATATTAAACAGCCGGAAAACAAAATAATGAAAAGATATAATCTAGTCATCAGCTCACACAATCATAACTGCAAAAAGGAGTGCTTCTAATATTGTATTAATATAGCCAAAGCAAAATATATCAATACAATAGTATGAGGCCATATTAATACAATATTAGAAAGCACTCCTTTTTGCGGATATAATCGTCGTGAGCTGATGATAAGATTATAAATTTTCATTATTTTATTTTCTGGCTACTTAATATTTTTTTTTAAATAAATTTTTTTTTAATGTTTTTAAAAATATTTTCATTTTTCTTCTTCTCTTTTCATTAATCTTTATTATATTATTTTCCATTTTTTTCTCGATATTTTTAACTTATTTCATGAGTTCTATATGCCTGCAGCTTATACACAGTTAATAAAACTTATTATTTTTCTTCATTTTTCTTTTTGTCTTTATTGAGCTATATAAAACAACATAAAATCAATAACTTAAAAATACATAAAAGTATTTTTCTAAAACTTTAACAATGGAACAATTGGTATAATGCAATAGCTACCAAATTTCTGACACATAGAAAACATAATTTTATTTTCTATTTAAATTAAAATGTATAAAAATTAATTGCTCTTTTTTTTAAAAGTAACTCACATTAGCTACACTAAATATTTTTTTAAGTAAATCATTATTTTAAATTATAGTCAAATTTAACTTGTAACATTTATTACATTTGCAGGAATATAAACTCATTTTAGATGCATCAGACAAATATACACTGACATACCACTAGGTATTAAACTCTTTGATTTAACAACAATCTAAAAAATTTTATAGGAACTTTTTTAAATTTGGTTCTATAATTATATATATTAATATAAGGAAGACTATAATTTTCTAATTCAATCTCAATAAATGGAAATAATTTAAATGCCATGAGAAAGAATTCAGGAATTAAAAAATTTGAAAATTTTAATTAGCATTTTCTTTAGAATTTTTAATAACTTTTTTAGAAATTTTTCTACATACACTAGCTTAATATTACTGTAGTCATTACAAAAATGAAACTATTAGAAAAAATGAGAGTTTTAGTTTGTAATTAGTTATTTTTTTATTATAATGAATATATTTAGAATTAATTTTGGAATTCTAAATGTGAAAAATTGATAAAAATCCTCCTGAAAAATTCAATTTTTACAAGTTAGTTGTTAGAAAGAAATTCACAAATTGGCAGTAAGAAACTTAAAAAATAATTTTTGTGAGTGGAAATTAAGTGCGCAAAGAAAAAAAAAATTAACACTTCTGAAATCATAAAATTTGCAGTTTTTGATTACTAATTCTTTCTACACTGGATGTAAGTTTTAAATACATTAAAGTAAACAATCACACGAGACACATTTTACATGATATAAAATTGTAAAATAGCAAAATTTTATCAATTTTCTAAAAATATTAAATAAATAAATAAAACAAAAGATGTAAAAATGGCAAAAAAGCATTTTTGTTTCAAAAAATAAATATGAAAAAAGTTTTTTTAACATCAAGCATTTTCGTATAATTTTTTCTTTGAAAACAATAAAGGACATTACCATACAACTGTACCAGTAAAGAAAAAAATTTTTTTTTTCCTGTCCACCATTACGGACATATTTTGAGTTTCATCTTTTAATTATTAAGAAGAATTTCACTCATTTATCAAAAGTTCTTACAATAAAATATTTCAATTATGTAGAAGCCAAACTAAGCCATAAGGCACAAATAAGTTTTTGACAACACTTCAATAGATTAAAATTATTATATTCTCAAAAATAGTTATCCATTCACAACACTTTATAGAGCTCTTATAGTCAGCATTTAAAATAATATTTTTCTCCTTTGGTAAGCTTTACATACATACGTAAGCACTGAAAATGTTTCGCAAACTTTTTAAAAATATCTTAATTCAATGCAATTTTACAGACAAATAGGAAAATATTGTTTGGAGAAACGAAAATTAATCAAGGTAAATAGTTGTCTTTTATTCACATATTAAATAAATATTAAGTTTTAGAGTCAAATCTAAAAACAGAGAGTAGATATACGACTGCAAAAGGTTAAGAGTCAATACAATAATCTAACAGTGAAAAGAAATACATTTGCTATAAAAAGTTAAGTGTCTAAAAAGGATTGTCTAGACAGTACACAGCAGTTTTTAATGAATTATGCCATGTTTAAATCATACATTTACTAAAGTTATTTACTTAAAAGCAAATTTAAACAATTGAGTGTAGAAATCAAAAGCAAAGAAAGAAAACGAAAAAGAGAATACTAAAATTTCCTCTATCTCATTATCTAGTTTTACATTATTAACAGAACTTTTTTTTAATCTCGTTTAATTATGACAAATAGATGTCATAAAATGCCAAGTTTAAAAATCTGTTGCACAGTTAGAAGCCACTGTGATTACAGCTTTGATTACATAAGATAAATAGAAGATGGCTTTTGCCATCGAATAAGAATGCTCTGTGCAACTGACAAAGTTCATATAACTGCATTAATAGTCAAAATAATTACAGAATATTATGTCATGTTATCAATAGGTATAATATCTAACTTTTTTAACATAATTTATAACTGAATTTTATATTTAGTCATTTAATTTTTTTGCTCATATATATGTTCAATATATCTTCATCACTGAAATAGACATAAAACAAAAATCGTTAATTATTAATAGTGAAATAGATTTTATTTATCTAATAGAATAATTAATATTTAATTACTTTCACTAGGAAATATGCAATGGTTATTATTTGCAATACCAATATGCAATACCAATAATCTATTATTTCATGCATACTGGATTCAATTTTATAAGATTTGAGATACATAGACATTACAGCAATAAGAGTTTCAATATAGTAAAGAAAAAGTGGTATCAAAATAGTACATGAAAGTCTAAATATTCATTTTTCATCAGCTTTTTAGCACACAGGCAAATTGATTTTATATAGTTAATCATAGGTATTTGACATATAGACGATCTGCCTTTGACTATTTTGCAGGAGATATTAGTGTAGCCTGCCCCCAACCTTTAACATCCGTCTAGATTGCAAACATTTTTCATCACTGTTCCATTAATATTTATTAACATTTTAATATTTTAACAATTATTAAAATATAACAATACTTCCCTAAAGTGACTTTTATATGTTCAAAATAACGAATAGTATAAAAATATACATATTTTAAATTTTAAAATTATTAATCGCAGAGAAGCATTGATTATCTAGCATTAAAATATAAAAAAATATTTAGATATTTTAAAAATAAAATACTTATTTCATTTGTCAAAGTATTATTATGCATTTCCTAACAAATTCTGAATATGAAACTTATAGGTTAGAGTTTTATTTAGACATAAGAGGGAAATTTAAATCTGCCAAAATAAATAGCCGGTCAGTTGCGGCTTGACTCTGTTTCCAAGCCTCAGAGTTATTATTTAAAAATGCTGTCAACTGATCATAATATCTGAACACATGCAGAAACCCATAACATGCCTCTGGGGGCTGGAGGATTGTTTTAAACAGTAAGTGAAAATGTTAAGTTTAATTAAAATTTCTAGTTTATATTTTTTTAACCTCTATTAAGAGTTTATTGTCACATTTTGATTATTTATAACCTCAATGATGCAGGTTCAAGCTCAACTTTTGAGACAAAAAATGAATTATATCTTAGAATTGTAGACATATTTAACATTATGGTGAGAGTAATACACAGCAATACAGAAGATTTTGCTACTAAGCTTGTATGAGGCCATTTTTATGGCAAAATACCGCATAAATATTAGAATTTATATTTTAAAAACAGAAATTGGTGAATTTGCCTATAATCGAGATTTTTTTTTATTAGACTTGTAAGTTCAACTAACAAAAGAGAGATTAAATTATTTTTTAAATTACATTGCAGTTTTTTAGTTACTAATAAATAAAATGGAACTTTTCTGAAATTTTTTCATAGCTATGCTAGTAATACCATTAATGAAAAATATTTGTGAGCATATATATCATCCACACAAAACTGTCTTGTCGTGAGAAAAATTTATAAACAATCAACAGCCCTGTTCATCATTTTTATAAGCATTAACAATGCAAAACAAAACATATGTATTTTTTTCATGCAATAAATATTTAATAACAACAATATGTTTAAACAAATAGTGAAAAAGAAATTAAGTTAACAATGGAGAAATTATATAGAGGATTGGAAGATTTTTCATTATTACAAATTTATGAATAAACTAAAAGATCATCTTCTAGTTCAAAAAGGAATTTAAGTTACCTTAACTAATTGATTAATTCGCTACTGAAATTGAGCATCTAAATATTTTTATTGTATGCCAAAAAATATAGGCATATCATAGACCACCATTTATATGGATGCTGATTAATTGTATAGTCTAATAGATCAGGTCGATCAAAAACCACACGTGTCAAAGTATCAGCTATTTAATAATCAGCAATAAAATAAAATAATTTCAAAGCTAGTTTTTTTATAAGCTCCAATATATTATTACACAATCAAGAATAAAATCCTAGGTGCCAAGGGTATTACGAAATTCAACATTTAAAGCTGATTTTATTACTGCATTATGTAATAGCTCCTAAAAAATGGGTTTTTCATTTTAGAAATAGAAATTTTTCCAACCTGTGAATAAACATAACATTTTTCTTCCATTGTTACAAATGGAATTTTCTTTTGTATCATTAACAGAATTTAAAGAAAAAACACGTAGCAAAATTGAAAACTTGTTCTTAAAATAAGAAAAAATACATATAATACAAGTAAACAACTAACATGTGATAAGCACAAAAGTATAACAAGTAACAAGCTTTGTGTAATAACAATGTATAATATTTCTGTTAGCAATAAATTTTTACTGTACATCATATTTTATTGCCTTGTGAAAAATATAGGATGATTTGTTTTGATTTTAAAGTTCTTTACAAGAAAAAAAAATCAAACCTCAATGAAAATTATTTATAGAATCAAAATTTGGCATAGTACCAAACATATCTGATAAAGCTGCCAACATAAATACAACAAAATAGCACTGATATAAAAGTATATAAACAAAAGTAGTACAAATTACAATAATCAAAATAATAAAATTTATGTACTAAAAATTGTGATACAAAAAAAAAAGTATATTGCAATGCAATAGGCAGCCAATATTGCTGCAACAGAGAAAAATGTACATTTTAAATAACAATTTATTGCAGTAACAACATTTTTAGAGAAAAGGCTCTAAAATTACAAGAGAAATAAAATCACTGGGATTGATGGAGTATAAATGGCAAGACTAGGGGTGTCTGCCTCAGGCAGATGATGAACTGAGTATTTCAGGCGTAGAAGTTGTACCGTTGCTGGGTGATGGGCAATGGTGCCATAGGACTTATGTCTTCTTCAACTGGAGTGAGAGGCTTCTTCATCATGCGCTCCAAAGTGGCAAGCACTAAAATAAATAAATTAGAGCTACTTAAGAATCAAAGAAAAGCAAACATTCCAGCAGCTGATATTTTGTTTGCATTAGCCAATATGAAAAATGGAACAGCAGTGCAACCATTTTGGAACAGAAAAAATGTGTTCTGGAGCAATAATTTGATTTTAATAGCGGATTAGTGCAAATAATTTTTATATTTGGAGTCTCATATTGCGCGTAAAATTACATTTCTGAACAGATATGAGCATATAAATTTACAGTTTATACAACATTTAGCAAAGCTTGAAAGAAAAAATGCGTTACTAAATAAAAAGAATGTTAGAAACACAACAAAGAATTACAATGAAAAAATTTACTCCACAAGTTTCTTGCACAAAGAAAGTCTAAAAACTGATTAAACCACATTTAAATCGAAACACATTTTTAATAATTAAATAAAAGGAACATGCATAGGTTTGAAAAAATAAAAAAATTTGAGACTTAATTTGATTTCCTTGCTAAACCGCAAGATTTACCGAAAAAAATTTCCACTTTATTTATTGCTTTTTGGACATTTCCACATGGTTTTTCAACTTCTGATGTTTTTAATATGTCATTATGACACGCAAATTTAAAATTTGAGTAATTACTTCTGGAATCACTCTATTCCATCATAAATCAATATCATTTGATGATCGTTTTAAACAACAGTAAATGATTTTTCTGTCCATTTCCATGCTGTTTTTTAAATTCCTTGTGTATTTTGTGTTTTTAATGTGACAGGAAGAAACACTCATTGCAATTTTTCGCCCTGAAAACAGCTGCACTTAAAGAATTACTGCATAGTTTACACTTTGCTATTCTTTTTTTGTAGCTCAACCATGATATAAAATCAATCCACAATTGCTAAAACTTATGCTTCACAATTAGCTCACACAACATCACTGTTTTGAATAAACATTTCTTGAATGGGTATTATGAATTCAAAACAAAGAGATTAAAAGACAAAACTCAATGCACATAAATATTCGAGGTAAGACATTTCACTACTTTTTTTTACGAAAATATTCAAGTTTTGGGTTAAAGTATATTAAAACATTGGATGCTAGTTACTATTTTTTAGGTGCCGTACCAAGATGCAACAATAATTATAACAGAATCACCAGACATTCAAGTTTTGAGAATGGGTGCATATTTTTGAATGCTTGAAATCAGTAAGCTTTGTTCATCTTCATATTGTTTAAAAGAAATTAAGTGTTTTTTAATATTAAGTAGAATACCTCTCTGGTTTTTTATATCAATAATATTAAGTGAAAAATTAACAATTCTATTAAGTTACCAAAATTATGAATTTCATGATGAATTTCCATTAGAATATTCAATTTTTTGTCATATGTTTTTTCATTTATACATCAATTTATATCCATCTCATGAAAGACAAATAAAAGGTGTTTCACTGTAGTTAGTTTTAATTACAAGTCTGTTAGAACACATTTTATGAACTTTCTATAGTCAAAATTAAAAGACAGACAAACTTAGACTAAATTTACTGAATACAAATAAAGTCCTCAAAAGGTTTTATCACTTGATGAAGAATATGTTTTTCTTCCTTTATATATACATATAAAAAAAAAACACAGTTTATAAAAAAACTCCTTTAATTTATTTATTAAATTAACACTGAGTTTTAAATTTTGGAATTATAAAAAGGAAATAATTCTAATTAATAGTAATAACACGATTACAAAATTCATCAACACAAGATTATGTAAGTAGACAATTATTTTTAAGACTTAAAATTACAGTTAGAGAAACTAAAATTCAGTAAAAAAATGTACATAACAAACCTTAAGATGTTATCTAATTTCCAGGGCTACATACATTTGCTGAAAAATAATTAAATAAAATTTTTAAATCATGCAAAAATAATAGAAACAAATTCTTTTCAGTCAGGAACAAAAACAAAAAGTAAATAATAAACAAATGATTACAAAAGGGTAAATTATTAAAAGCATAACTCTTAAATTTCAATAAAAAAATATAATATGCCATAATCAACAAATATATAAATTAGAATACAAGAAAACTTGTTTATATTTCAAATAAAATAGAATTAAATTAAAAACTTGGCAAACATAGTCCAAAATAACATGCAAAAACAGTTCTTCAGTATAATCCAAAGTATTTGGGACAGAACCTACTTCTGCTAATCAAAATATTCATATTTCTCAAGGAAACATATCTTTAATTTACTTTATTCAAAAAACTTTGAAATTTGATTTTTTTTTTAAAAATACATTGCCATACAGTGTTTAAATTTAATTTTAATATGATCATTTAATAAATGTCTTTTTGTAAGAAAAACATTAATTTTTTCTTCCTCTTTTGTACTACTACATAGAGTACTAATAGGTAATAGTACTCCTTCACTTCCTTTTGGAAATAAACCATTTGTACAAAGCATCATTTAATTTAGAATTGTTAGCTGATTTAATTTAATTAATTTTTTTTTGAAAATTTTAAAAGAATTTCTCCTAATTGCATTCACATAAAACTACAATGCTATATAATTTTTTGCATAGGCAACATAATATGCTATCTTTTAGTAGAAGTGATGAAGAAGACAGTGTCTAAGATAGTCTAAACTTAATTATAGTATATTATTCATAATGAAAAGTCAGATAAAACAGCAAATTGAAAAAAAGATTTCTTTAAAAAAATAAATAAATAAACAAAATGCAACCCCCTAACAAATTCTCTATTTGTTACTTACATAAAATGATTAATTATAGGATGAAAAGCAGTAAAAAACAGTTATTTTAAATACCTCGTGTACAGATGAATTATGACAGTATATATTAAAATTTGAGAAACGAAAATTAAGTGCTTGTGTGTAAAAAAAAATTAAAAAAACTGGGTTAACTGAGACATTCAGATGATCAAGATTCTAAAGCATGTAAATAATTTCTAAATTTTCTAGAAGAAAATCCATCAAAATTCTACATAATTTCTTTAAAATCAAGTATTCAATTTAAGCTAGAAGAATTATACAGTAAAGGTACCCCAAATTGCCTATCAAATGTATCTATTTTTATGGGTCTTACTGCCTTTAGAAACATTGCTATGAGTACTTCGCACTCATATACTGAAAATTACTTTTCAAACATTATATCAGCTACCCTTTCTTAAACAATGTTCTGTTCATAAATTCGTAAAGTATAATTTAGAATGAATAAAAAAATGTTTTGAAGGAAATAGCAGTTTTAAATCCATGTTAATCAGGCCAAGACTTTCAAAGGGTCTCTTATGAAAAATCACGTCAGTTATGTACACTGTATTTTTAACTACAACAACTGCCAAATGTTAAACCAGTATAAATATTGGAAAATAAAAATAAATCTACATAAAAATTTTAATAAAAAATTAAGGTTTAAAGTGTATAGATTTGGGCCATCCTCTATCAATACTTATAACTGCTTGTTCCTAATATTCAAAAACTAATAAATCTCTATAAAAAATTTTAATAGAAAAACAGGCATGTAGGTGCATAAATTTGGATTGACATTTACAGGCTACCATTTGCATAAAAATTGGTGGCTAAAACAAAATTATCGGGGTTCTTCCTTTTTACTACTCAAATATATGATTGACTAAGATTTTAATGGTTATAGGACAGGATAATTGGGATGAAAAAAATTCATTAAATGGCTATGATTTGTATGTTAATTTTAATTCATTAATATGTTTGCTAATTATTTATTTTTGTACCATTTGCATTAAAATAATAGCTAATGCATTATAATTTTACAAGAAAAACTTTAATAAAAATTCAAACAGAACAGAAATTATGTAAATTTTATGAATGCATAACATCATTAATTTATAAAGATCAACCAACATTTTATCAGCAATTTTTGCTAACTTTTTAATGAAAGTAAATAGTGTTAAATATCAGCATACAGTTTTACACTCTTTTTTAGTCTATGCTTAAAGATAAGAGATTAATAGTTTAATAGATGAGAAAACAATGGAAATCAGATGTTCAATTCTGCAAAAAAGAAAAAAAGACATACCTGCAACAGCTTTACTTTTTTCAACTACCTCTCTTGCTATAGCTCGATTCAAGTTAAGTAAATGAGCTCTGTTCCTCTTTTCTTCACTCAGTTTTTTGTGAATAGCTTCAGGTGACTTACTTCTCTCTTCAACTACATTCTCATAAGTTGCTCTGTAAGTAAATATACAGGATGAAATCTATTTGTAAGTAAAGCAACATAGTTCATCTATTAAAGTAGCGAGCTAGAAGAAGCTTGTCACCGAGGGTTCTGCAAGGGACATTTTTGGTAGATTGCATTAACACTCCAGTTCAGTAACTTCGATTCCTCTACTGAGCTGATAAACCAATTGTAAAATTTTTGGTTAAAAAAGTTGGCAGTTTTTTTTGTTAGGTAACTCACAGTAAGATTTTAATTTTTTTTTCAATCACCTAAAAAACAGAAGCTTTGTAAGATTGTCCACCACTATATTAGAGTTATAAGTTATTTCAGAACATTTCATATGTCTTGATTGGTCTGAATTTCAGATTGTAAGATACTTTTGAAATAAATATATATTAACTTAGTAGTCTAACAGTTCATGGAGGGCCAAGGCTTACTGTGCTCATGCCAGTTTTTTGACCATGGGCACTCGGTTGCAGGAGCAGATGCTCCCCTTGGGTGATCTCTGCCGAATGCAGAACATCCAGTGTTTAGTACTGACTCATAGAAAAATAAATATAGATGCAGAAATTTTTTCCCCCCACATTTGATTTAATGAGGATACTATACTTAGCATGGAAGTTATTTTTTTACAAAGTTTTCAAACTGCAAATCAATTGAAAAATTAAAGTCCTACTTATATTTATTTTTATTACGAGATTTTTTGTTTATTCTTAAAAAAATCTGCTAATTTAAAAGCATCTTTCCTTTGGTAGCATCCAGTTAAATACTTTTGAAATAAAGAAAGAAATTGATTGGAATTAGTTTAAACAATTTAAATAAAAATTACATATAAAATTACAACATAAGTTGTTTATGTTTAATAAGTTTAAAATTTATAGAAAAAGAGCTATAATTTTTTTAAAATAAAAATTTGATACGTCTCAGATTAATATATTTCAGCAATGGGAACTTTTAAGAAATTTAGTTTCACTTTTTATTAATGGAGTTTTTACAGATAAATTTTGAAAATTTTGTTACAGAAAATTTTGGAAATGTAGCATGATATTTGAACTAAAAATGTCAATAATTTAGGGCATTCCAAAATATTTAACAGAGAAAAAAAAAAAAAAACATATCAATTGCTCAAAAACCATATGAAGACAAAGAAAATAATTTTTAAAATTTCATATTTTTTCCTTAAAACAAGGTAGAAAGAAGAGAAAGTATTCAAGCAGCCAAAATGACGAATCCCAGATACACTTAAAATTCTACATTATTATAATTACAAATTAAAAGATGGAGACAATTACAAATTTTTTTATTATAAAAAAACAACCTTTTTCTTAATTAAAAATAAACTTACGTTGTGGTTTCTGATAGCATTTTGCAAATATTCTCTGCCTTTTGACTTCTTCGTAACTTCTCCATCGCTGATAGCTGCTCTGGTTCTACTTCAACATATCTTTCAGGGATTTCAATTTTCTGAGGCAACATCAACTAAAACGAAAATAAATTAAAAATGCTCAAAACAAACATGGAGCAATTTTAAATACATTTTAATGTAATTAACAAGGCACTTATTTTTGAAAAACTTTTAGACAAAGACATACCTCACGTTCAATAATATTATCATCAAATACATCACTTTTCTTTATTGTACTTCGCACAATGTCTGGAGTGTTTGCAGTTCGCAGGCATCTTTCCATATCAACATCATCTCTAGATCTAGGTCTATCCTAATTTTATGGAGGAAAGAAAAACATATATCAGCATGTGAATTATAGTGATTTTCAATTTAAACTCCTGAGACAGTAGTTAAAGAGCAGGAGTTTAAATATTTCTTCCCTAAACATTTAACATATATATTATAAGTCTTGAAAAATAGAATTTCAAAATGTAAGAAATTACTTAGTTGGTGAAGAAATTAGGAAATTTTAAGATAAATTAGGAACAATTTTAACGCTCATTAATAATAAGCTTTGTATTTATGAGCTTACTTCTTTATTTAAAAGTTTGTGATATGTTTATTTTCAACAGATTACAAAAAATTTAAGCATTTATTTATTCTTAAACTCAGGAAGATATTCCTCCTCCATTTATACGAGACGAAAATTTATGAAAAGGGAAACAAAATCAAGCATGTTTAAGAAGACATTTTATTTTTAGGTTTGCAAACTTATAAAATATGAAATGCCTGATAATGGGCTAACAACGCAATCTGCAAGGAAATGAGAAATAATTACTCCATTAAGTTGGGAAAGAATGGTTAACAGCGGATCTTTTTCATTTTAACTAGGTTTATTGAATTCCTCAAATTATTTTCTTTTTAAAGACCAGATAATTAAGAGTCAACATTGGCTAGATTGCACTAATGGTATAAATATGAAATTGTGTTATAAAATAATCGGCGTAGAAAAAGAAAAACACCAGCTGACTTACAAGAATTCTGTTAATTTAAAAAGAGTACTTTTTCTGAGAATTATTTTAAAAGATTTAAAAAAGAATGAATAATCATAGCATGGATTAATATAATGATCGAATTTAATTCCTAGAACCTGTGTCCGAGGTTTGAAAATTGTAGATGTTAATGTTCTACCTAGTAATTATTCTTCATTAATTTTTTTTAAAACTGTAATTAAAACATATTTATTAAATGTATGTATTTTTTTAAAGTATTAAAACGAGACTCACAATAAGCAGCATGAGTGATTCAATAATACAATCACTAGTAAACATAATTTTTTGTTTTTCTAAATTTTATTTCTCTTTTGTCCATTAGAATTTGAAAGAAAGATAGGAATATCACTGCTTTCTTGCATCAATCAAGTTCAACTATGTGTCAAAATAAATTGACAGAACAATGAAAATTTCCCTGTATGAACTTCTATGCATTTCAAACTAAGTATTTTTTACTTTAAGCTAATTACAACTGCTTTAGATAACTATAATATTGCTATAACCATGGACCTCACAAACATATCTACTGTAAGAAATATATACATTTTGGTATACATAGAATTTTAATTACTGTTTCTAAATTTACAATTTATATTTACTTTCAATTAACAGGAAGCACGACCTAAAACTGCTTCCAACAAAAATGAGTGAACAAGTTATGGTTTGGGGGGGGGGGGGGGGGNAACTTACTTTGAAATATTGTGAAAACTGAGGATCAAGCATATACTGGTATCCGCTGACAGTGTAATGCCTTCGTTTGGAGCGTTTTACAGGATATGCACGATCTTGACTATTATTTGAGGTAGATCTATCTTTCACAGATTTGGCTGCAGTTCCAAATAACCGCTCATGAGCTGACTGGGTACTCTGAAGAAATGAAATTACAATATACTTTACATTAACTTCGACTAAGAATAATTAGGATCAGTGCAGTAATAAAAATGTATTTTTTTTCTATCATTTAAAGTTCTTAATTTATAAACAGAAAATCAATAAAATACAGAAACATTTTCAAAAACTTTACATGATCATGATAAAATAACTAGTTTCTGATATATATTGCAGAGAAAATTGTGAAAATCATGAATTTTTTGTAATTTGGAACAACGATCATTACAGTCAAGAAAAAATCTCTAAAAGATAGAAAATTAGGCACTTTTTACAAACCCTGAATAAAAAAGCACATTTAAGGCCTTCAAAAAAATATAAATAAAAAATAAGCATCTTTAAGCACTTTTTTAAAACGCTGCGCACCCTGTGTAACTAAACAAAAGATTGTAACCAAATATTTTAAAATTTTTGCTGCCGATCCTGCGACAGCGTGTGATGAAATTCTTCTTAGTAGTTTGTATGAATAAAACAGATCAAGTAGTCGCAAGATGTATAGTATCATCTAACTACTTGGGCAGAAGATATGATATTTTCGCCCAACAATAATGTACTGTTCATTGAAATAAACTTATTGCGAATTTTAAAAACCAAAATGGTTGCTAATAAAAGAAAAATTAATTTTGAAATTATTTTTATTGATTACAACTTTTCAAAGATAGATACTGCATAACCATCTTTTTGCAGTTGGTAGTGAATGTGTTAATCTAAGCGGTAAAAAGCTATGTTTTTTCAGAGCAAGTATGTTTCTGCTCTTTTAAAAAATATTTAAAATACTGTCTTCTCAACAATAATTGAAATTAAAAATAAATAAGTTAAGTACTATAGGGTGAATTCTTAAGAAAATTGCTTCATTGCCGTAATTTTAAGTGTTGATCATTTCAAGGCCAAATGATACTTGAATATAGTTAATCATTATTTCGCAAGTTGAACTTATATTAGAACTGCATTTATGAACTTTTTAACAAGAAGTGCCCAAAAAGGGCTATAAATAAAAAGATAAATTTGAAATTAAAATGGGTATTCAGTCAATTATACATAGTTTGTTGTACTTTGAATATTAGTTCTTAAAACAATATGGTATTAATCTTTTTACAGTGCGGAATATTTAAGTTTATTACGAGTTAACATAAAATTCATTGTGGCACCCAAATTTAAAAGCAGACTTATATTTTCCCATTATTCTACTCAGAAAAGTTCGTGCATTCTGAAATTTTATGAACGAATATGTTGAAAGAGAGGAAAGTCAAACATATTGAAATAAGAGAAAGTTAAAACCTACCGACTGGCGACTGTTATTGGAGGTTAATAACTGGATAGATGAGGGCCTTACAGCAGATGGTATGGTGACTTTGACTATAAAAGTTAACTTTGGTTACTAACTACATAAATTACTTTAATACAATAAACATGCAAGATATAATAATACATTTTACAAGAGTATACATTGTTATTTAGTATATATTGTTAAAGATAAATTCTTTTTAAGAAATGGCACAAATTCCTCTAAAACAGTAAATTCTTTTTTAAGAAATAGTAAAAATAAGAGAATCACAATATAGTTAATTTTTTTAATACAACATCAGAAAAAAAAGGCAAATGCAATTTTTATTTCAATGAATTTAAAATGACTGATTTCTATTTATATTTGAACATCACATGCAGTATGTCCTGTAATCATTGTCCTTAATGTAAATTTTTAAAATTCCCATAGGTCATGGTAGCCCAGATGTTAGAGAATCAGAATCTGGTCTGAAAAAACCAGGGTTCAATCCTTGACTCGCACCTTCCCGACTTAGAACTCGTCAAAAATGAAGCAAAGAATGTTAACATTAAGTGTCACCAAATTATATTTAAGAGAGAATACCTAAAACAATAACCCTCTCAAAATGTGATTAATCACTTGTAGAGAGGCCAGGACTGAAAACATCAAAATAAGTTGGACTGCTGGAAGAAACACTAAAAGGTGATTATTAGAAACTTCTTTTTGTTTCAACAAACAATCTTAATGGTTTAATTGTTTTTCATTCACTTTTCTTACTAATGATTCAACAGATTTTTTGTCATTTTTATTTCTTTTTCATTTAATTATTAACTTTCAACTCCTGATGTATTTTTAACTACTTCAATTTTGACCACAGATTCTAAAAATATACATTAAGGGCAGTCGTAACAGAACACCTTAAATAGTCATGGCATTTATTTTGAGAAAATTAAAATATACTAATTAATTAACATCTTTTTACATCAACTAATTTGTTAATTGACCATACACAAAAATAAGATAAACATAATTTTAATTAGTTAATTAAAACATTTATTTTGAAGCAATCAATCAAAGGAATAAAATGTTATTACAAGTGGACATTTTATTGAAAATTAAAGTAGCTTCTTTTTCCAAAATAAAGGTTTTTACAGAACAAAAAAGCTAAAAATGTATTGAAATATATACAAACCATCATCAATATCTAAATGATCATCAGAGGAGAGATCAGGCTCTTCAACCACCCACACAGATGACTGATCATCATAAGTCACACGTTTTTTATCCCTCTCACGGTTTCGTCTTTCAGACTGCCTTTTCACAATCCGAACAGTTTTGATTTCAGAGGGTTTTTCTTTTGGAATAATGCCTTCAAAAAATAAATAAATAAAGTTAACACGCATAAATCTATATTTAAAAATGTTACTTGATAAATATCTGTGAATGTATAAGAATTATCAGGAATGCATGTTTTCCATGGCCCATAAAAAGGAACAAAATACAATAACTGGAAAGATCTTTTTTTGTAAATGATAAAAAAACAATATTCGAGTTATTTCTCTGCATATGAACTATTAGAATGATAATACTTGTTATACTGTGGGATAAGTTTTTGAAGTCTAGTATCAAGTCTGAGTCTGCCACCTGGGAATGAAGCCAGCATATCTCAGTTGTCTACATACTTGTGGGAAAGTTAGAAGCAAACTAAACTGGTTTTCTTAAAAAGAAATTCAGTTACAGTGTTGGAGTTGCAATTCATTACTATTCAACAAATTCATTACTGGATTAAATAAAGTTACAGGACCATGAATTTAACTGTAGGACATGAAATCTAATTTAAGATAATTAATGATAAAGCAATTAAAAATAAACATTCCTCTAATTAAATTAATGTTNGGCTGAGTCTGCCACCTGGGAATGAAGCCAGCATATCTCAGTTGTCTACATGCTTGTGGGAAAGTTAAAAGTAAACTAAACTGGTTTTCTTAAAAAGAAATTCAGTTACAGAGCTGGATTTGCAATTCATTACTAGACTAAATAAAGTTACAGGACCATGAATTTAACAGTAAGACATGAAATCTAATTTAAGATAATTAATGATAAAGCAATTAAAAATAAACATTCCTCTAATTAATGTTTTTAAAATAAAATAGTATTGTATTGGTTTATGCGTTCTCAATTATCTTCACTTACTTAATTTATTGAGTCAGGGTTTTGCCAAAAGAAGTTTGATTATTTAATACAGTACAGAACCCATAATCCGAAAATCAGAAAACCGGAACGAAATTCAATAAATTTTCCCGCCATTTAAAAAAATTTTTTTTTTTTTTCTTCACAAGATTTTAGGATTTTTCTTTTAAAGATGCTTACCATACCATCATTTTGGAGATAATCATTACTGTATTACTTCATCGTTTTTTCTTCTTTTTAAGATTATTTCCAAATATATATATATTTTTTAGTTGGGTTTAACAATAAAAAAAAAACGGCTTTTTGTAGCGATTCAGAAAACTGGAAAAATTAGTTATCCGGAATAGCGATGATCCCGATCGTTCCGGATAATCGGTTCCCTACTGTAATAATTAAACTTCTCAATAGCCAAAAGAAAAATCAGAATTGCTGCCTTAGAGAATATAATTTTGGATCCCAAACAAAATTTAGGTGTTTCCCAAAAAATGAAAAAAATTGAATGAATGAATAACTCTTAAAGTGAATGAATAACTCTAACCATAAAATCGTTTCATTCTTTCATCAGCATCATTTATGTCTTGCATTGAACACTGGTCGGAGGAAGACACTTCCAGAACACAGTTTTCATACAAGTTCAAACTTTCAGAGCTCAGACCTTTGCTGGTTTCCTCAGATGCCTAGAAATTAGAAATAGTTGTGTCACTAAAATATAACAACTGCATGAGAATTGAATTTTTTTAAATCAGTGTATGTAAAATTTAAAACTTAGTAAATTAGTAATTTTTTTAAAAATCTTATAACATAAATAAATAAAAAAGAAAAGGAAACCATACACTATTAAATTCTTCAGCATTTGCATACACAGGGATATCATCAAAATCCTTCTCATGAAGATTGGCTAAGTCTCTAATGTGCATCGTGTCCAAGTCAGTTTCCAAATATGTGCTGTGTTGTTTTTTACGAACAGGAAGAGGGGCGGAGCCTAAACACAACATAAAGAGAAAGATATATTTCACAGCACAGTTACGAAATGTATAAATGGAGCCAATATCTTACGTATTGAACTATAAAGAAAAAGCCTCCTGAGTATTTTCTCTCATTATATTCAAAGTTTATATGACATATTTGTAAGTTTTCAGAGATGTTATTTTTGGGTGATAAAATTAATTATAATTTGAAGAAATGAAGTCTTTGTCCAGTTATTACTAATAAACAGTTTTAGTAGTTTCAATTCACTATTAATAATGTTATATATAATTATCTAGTGCAAGTTTTACAGTGACAAAATTAGCAATATGTTCTAACAAAATGCTATAACAGCTTCACAAAAATCTTTAAGTTCTGTTTGAAGTTTTGTTCTCGTTGAAGTTTTTAAATTTCTATTTGGAATTAAGCTTTGCAGCAAAATTAACTTATTTCAAATACAGAAACTGCTTTCTGAAAATTATTTATGAAAAAAAAGTCATAGAGAGTTACAAACTTTAGTTTCCAGAGTTTAAATCAATATTCTATACAAAATATCAAATCTTTTGCTATAAAAAAAAATTTCCCGATAAATTTGAAAGATTTGGAATCTTTGGAAACAAATATTTTTAAGGTATTTATTTAAAATGCACTGACAAAGCATTTTTTAAAAAGGATAATAGAATAATTTTTGTGAATATAAAAAATAATGAGCTAATAATTCATTTTGCATTTAGAAAAAAGTTAAAATTCAAACCTGCAACTCCAGTAGGACTAGCTCTAACTTCCACACCTTTTCTGGCTTTCCTTAGGTGAGAATCTTCTTTGTCATCTGAAACAAAGAGAGGAAGAATATATTGACAAACCAAAAATCATACACATAATAAAAGTCTCAATTTAGCATTACATATGTATAAAGCTAAACAATGTGAAAAAATGCCTTGTTTGTAATTTTTTATTGTATTTCTATGTTTCTTTATTTCATTGTTGTTGTTTCCAATGACACTTGGACAAGCTAAGTTATCCAGCCATTGGCCTTATGAATTAAGCCAGGAGTGACAAAAGAGCAACGTTAGGGTGAAAGGACAATTTAGTTCAGCTCTTTTCAAAGTGTGAAAAATATTTTTACTAATAATCTAATGAAAATGTGTTTAATATATTGATCATATAATTAATCATGTGTATTTTTTTGGACGTAATTCTAAGGTTCTACAAAGGCTCATGTCAAAATTAAAAATTTCAAAATTAATTTTTTTCAAACACAATGTTTTTTTTTATAAACTTGGATAAAAAAGACAATTATTTTGGATTCTGGTAACAAAAGATCAAATCGAACTAGAAGAGATCAAACTTTAATCATGACCGTATAATAATAATAATAAATATATATATATAATAATCCAATTCATAACTACTTTATTGACATTGTGTGGTAATAAAAAAATATGATTTTTTAAAACTAAAAAGAAATTGTTTTTTTTTTTCTAAGAAAAAGTTTATAGCTGAGTTTCAGCTATTGTTTATAATTAAAGTTCAGGTATGAAAATATCCAGCTGTTCTCTAAAAATGAATTCTGCATTTAAATTTTGATTAAGATATTTTTAGTTATTTTACCATTTAGAAAAGACAGCCTAAATGACTACTACAAATTTTTCTTTAAGTTATAATTAACAATAAAAAAGCTTGGACATTAAATTTTTCATAAATAAGAAGAATACATACCTAAAACTGCAGTGGGACTAGCTCTGATATCTGTGCAACTCGAAACAGTGGGATGTGATTCGCTTTTAAGTTTTTCAACTGTATTATTTATTTCTTGTCTGTGGTTTGCAAGTTCATCCAGAACATTCTGTACCCTGCAAAGCTCAGCTTCTAAATCAGCTCGATTACGCTGTGATTTCTGAGGCAGGAAATATAGCATTTTAATTTTTTTCAAACAAAGAATATTTAAAAATTACTAAAATGTTTTAATGAGTACACCTTTACACATTGGATAAAATTGTAAACAAATTTTAATGCTACACACTATTTTCTCATTTAATAACATAGAGAAACTAGCTTTTTTGATACAGGAAAGCCAGCTTCTGAGACTAACGCTCAGAGAGTCAACAAACATAAATTAAATATCTTAGAAACATTTTTAAAACTATAAATTAAATTATATTTATTAATGATATGGTAGTGAAATTTTTTGAGCTAGACGTTAATGCTTTAGTTGAATATTATTAAGTAGCTATTTAAAAAGCAACAATATTAGACATTTTCAGAACTTTTATTTAATTTTAGCACTTTCAACACGGCAATGACACACCTTTGAGCTCCCCCGCAGCACTAAAATTGAAACAAAAAGCAAATTCCTAAAAACTTGTTCATTTAACTTTAAAAAATAATAATCAATTGCAATTAATAACCATATTCACTAATCAAACAGTAGAACATATATTCCTGGAAAACGAGCAATGTTGTTTGTAGCAATGAAAGAGTTAAGCAATAACACTGAGAATATGATACTTTAACTTAAGTTATTCTTTCTTAAATACAATTTGCATAACTTTTTTTAAATCGATTTTAAAAGTTAATTTTTCAATTTCAAGAGGATAATACTAAGATAAAACAAAATTGTTCAGGTACCTACTAAATTTTATTAAGAATTTTTAATATGTTTGACATAATTATTGGATTTCTGCTTTCTACAAAAATTTATTTTAGCAAATGAAATTTACATTGCTCCCTTTAAACAAACATTTTTGCAAAGAAATTACAATACCAATTACAATGTTTAACAAGAAAATAAAATTTAAAACAAATAATAACATTATTTTTTAAACATAGTAATGTAAAAATATGGATTGTAATAATGATAGTATAATGGAATACCATTTCTGAAGAGCCAGTTTTTAAGGCTTCCGTTAGTATTTGTCGAAGATGCAAGATATCTTTTTCCATTTGATCATTTTTAGTAGCAGCATCTTCAATTTTCTATGACACAAGAAAAAACTTTTAAATTATAGAAATCAGCATTTTTAAATGAGAATAAATGAGAAAATAATTTTAATTCTTACCTTGGCACTGGTGCTCAGTAGACGTTTCACACGCACCAATTCTTTCTCAATCATTTTCTGTTGCTTCTTCAATTTCTGCAATTCAGATGGCCTGTCTTGATGATCTAATATTTTGTTACGCATTCCTGATAGAGTACACTCTAGCATTTCCTAGATAAATAGAGATATAAAAAGAAATTTAAAAAATTGTATGGCAGTGAAATACAATTCATGATTGATATTTCACTCAGAAAATTTGTGTAAAACTTACACACATTCATTAACATAGTTTCAGACAAACATGATAGTCAACCATATTTAGAATATTAATAAAAAAAAATTATTTAATAATTCCTATCATTTTATGCTTTGTAACTTAAAAACACTTCTGTTTCTAGACCTAGATTATAACTGAAGTATCTTTTCACTAACTGTGTAATAATAAAAACAAAATTTTTGTTAACTTAAAAATATATCCATGTCTTTCCCTTCGATAAAAATGTGTTATTTAAATTATGAAATATAATAAAGCATTAATTTCAAGTTAAATACAGAAAAAAATAATACAAATAAAATTTTAAAACAATACACTGTAATATATCACCAACGAAATTCTAAAATGTTATATCTATCACGTATTTTGGAATTGATATGCACATCAGTAACTAATTAAAGTATAAATGAGTCTAACTAATTGCAAAACACATTATCGTATGAAGTGGAAACATCAAACTTAAGGATAATTAAATAAAATTTGCACTAAATTTATAGCAAAGAAAACATATAAATATCAAACAGAGTTAAAAGACATATCAAACTTTATGAAATTAAATTGTCCTTTAGATTAAATAATCTGGGGGAAGATATTATGCATAAAATTACATTTTACGTAAAGCTCTGAAAATATTTGGAATTCATTGTCTAGAAAATGTACAATATTATAGTACTCTCTATTATTTATTTTTTGGTTGCCTCGAATTAGAAATTAAATATGTTTTCAAAATAATTTAAAGTTTTAGCACTACATTACAATTTTAAGTAATGTAGCATTTGAAAAAAGTTTAAAAAAAGATATACATTAATATAATTTTGATCTAATGGTCAGATTTTCCTTCTTTTAGGTCAAGGATTGCAACAACAACAAAGGAAAAAAAAAAAAGATACAGATAAAAATAAAAAGTTTTTTTTTTCATGGGTTAGAAAAAATTAGGAAGAATATTTTTATAAGCAAACTTTTTAGTTCATGATGTTTATGTTTATAGGTTGCTTAATGGAAACTGCACTTGATGCACTTAAACTTTTCAGAAGAGATTCAACTTATTACTAATAGATAAACAGGTCAGAAAATATATAGCATTTTAAAATGTTAAATTTATCCCGAAATAAAAAAGTAAATATTAATACAAATATTCGTATAGAAATATCAGTTCAATCAACAAGACTTATAACTTAACAAAAATTAAATAGTGAATGCCTCGATAATAAACAACAGTGAAAACGCCATCTAACCTCATCTTTACCAATCTATGCACTTAAAATTGCTTTTGATGCAGTTTTAAATATTTTGAAAAGGACCTGAAAGAAAGTTTTTAGCAGTGGAGCTATTTTTCAACATCCTTGAAAATATAATTAAATTGGAAAATGCTAAAAAAAATATTAAAAAATGGAGAATTTGAATAGCGCCATGACAGTCCTCTATCTACACTGTAATCTCATAACTTAAGTAAATTAATTACATTTTCTGAAACAATAAAATTGCATACCAATAAAATATAACTTTAAAAAAATATTAGATTATAGCTCACCTTATCCTGATGTAAAGATGATATACTATTTGTTTCATACCGAAGCCCTTTATCAAGACTATATATTTCACTAATACGCTTCTGAAATTAGAATTAAAAAATTTCCATTAATATACACAAAGTTAGCATATTTACACTACAAACATAAATAAAATTTAAATTTTACAAAATTATTATGGTAGCAATAAAAACATTAACAAATTATCATAGTTATTTCCAGTTTTACTAACCATTTATTCAGTGTTTGGATTTTTGTAGTTATTTACATCTACAATTGTTTAATTGCAAATGTAGTTAACTGTAGCTACTTTTTTTTAAGAATGCATTGACTACAAACTACTTTCGAAATTTTGTCACTACTTCACTATTTTCAGGAGACAAACCTAATTTGCACCCATGTTCAAAATGGTTCTGAATAAAAAAATTGCCTTATATAAACATGAGGAATTATTAAGAAATATTTATTCATGTTCATATGAGCCAGCTTGTTATTCTGTATTATTTTAAATTTGTTTATGAATTTGTTCTATCAGCCTTCAACATTTTGTGTCTTTCTCTATAGTGAATATTTCATTTCAGGAATACTAGGAAATAAAAGTTTGCAATTTTGTAAAAACTATGAACTTTTTATAATTTAAGAAATAAAGTACATTGACAAGCACAGGGAAAATATGTTCCCATCCATTGAAATAACATCTATGTTTACAAGTGTACATTAGCGTTTGAAGGTATGACCCCAATGATAAGCTTTTAATTGTAATGTCATAAAGGCTGTCTCATCAGATCCACTAACAGACCCATGAAGATTTTTTCCAATCAGAATCAAAAAATTAATTGCATTTGAACCTTGTTTCTTAACTCAACTAACAGTAACAGTTAGCCAGAAATTGCTATAAGATACCGTTCTTTTTACTACGCATTACTCAGCACTACCTTACCTTTTTTAGAAAGTAGCACAATACACTACCAACTACGAAGAAAAGTAGCAATTACAGTAGTTTTACTACTTGCAGTGAGCTATATCCCACTACTGCTTTTACTTTATTCTTTTCTGCAATGACAAGTTAATTCACCAATAACATCATTAAATTCTTTAAGATAAATCCCATGCTATGATTGATTTAATTTAAATCATCACAAATTGAAAATATAGTTTGTATTGTACGGACTTTGATACAAATCATGAGTAGTGTTGGGGGAGAGGAACAGTGGGTGTATGTCGCCCTAGAAGTCTCAAAAAATCGCCCTCACTATTTTAGATCTATTAATCATTATCAATTTAAATTCACCACAGTTGAAAAATAAGAAAGTGATAAAAATAACTGTTTTTTGCAGATATTTAGCAAATATAAGAAACATTTTTTCACATGAGTGAAATTTAGAGAATTGTTATGACTGAGTATTTCAATTCAACCTTCCTTGAAAACTGGACACCAGCGATACAAATCTTTTGACATAAAACAGAATAAATATTGATATCCATATTTATTTATTATCATTATTTTTTGTTTTACATCTTTTATAAATTAGAATTTTGGAAAGCCTGGCACATGACTAATGAGAATTGATTTTTTTAAATTTTATGCAATAAAACTGTTACAACATATTTACCTGCAAATTACTTTCTTCTGCAAGGAGTTGGCTCAAAATATTTGACTCTGGCACGTGATATGAACTGTTAGTTGTTTGAGAAGGTGGTGCTGTTTCTTCTTCTTGAGAAGTATCCTAAAATACAGAAATGAACAAAATAATTAAATACAGTCAAAATTCTATTACTTCAATGATAAAAACTTGATTCTTCAATAATTTGAAGTTATTTTAAATCCTGGTAAAAGAAATCTAACTTTAGCTTTAATTTTTTGCATTGCTCAAAGTTAAAAAAAAAAAAATTTTTTTTTTGATAATTCTGAAACCTTTTTGGTTCCCTGAACATTAAAACTCATCAAGTAGGTTCAATTTTACTTATTTATTTTTCTTTTAAAAAAGCTTTGTTGAAAAATAAATCTCAGCCAACTAAGGTTTAAAAAAAATCACTAACTTTGATAGGAAAATTCCTCTAAATTTTATTATATTTTTATAGAAAGAAAAATCAATTACCACCAAATTTGACATCTCTTATATCCCTCTTTCAAAAATTTTGAAAGAAAAAGATAAAGGCAGGGGTACCAATTTTTCTAACCAGATATCAATAATCAGAAATACAATAAGACAAAAACATATACAGTTAGAGTTTAAAAATCCAAATTAGAGCAATTTTAAGCTACATATATTACTTAATTTCATATAGGCATATAATATTTATATAATTATGCAATAAATTACTATTCAATTAAAAAAGTAATATTTAAAGATATAAGTACTAAATTAAAAATTATACAACACTGAAATGCATAACTTTGTTATAAAATGATAAAATTAAATTAATAGCTTGAAATCTATGTTCTGCTTTTGATTAAATTAGAACAAGCCTTTATTGATTTTTATCACCTGGTATTTGAAGCACCAGAAATTTTTGCTCACACCATTGCAGATTTGAGTTTATTTTCCTTTGCTCTTCTCTAAAGAGAGAAGATTAAGTTTCAAAATTTCATAACTCTTAGAAGTCAAGAGAAGATAAAAAACTTATTTTAAACAGATTATTACGGAAATTTAAAAAAAAACATAATTTAATATCACTCAACAATAAGACAGATATCCTGACCTTGGAAATAGTAATAATTACGGATAAATCGCAATAGTTAGCAACACAGCAAAGATAAAAACTAATAGAGTTATTTTTGCCTGTTTTCATGCTAAAAAAACTCATTTTAGTCAGTTTTAGAATTAGCTCAGCTTTTGGTTATTGGCAACATTTTAGGTTTCTGATGACAATTCAATTTTTGAAGTTTTCCTGTACATAAATGTAAAATTAGTGTTTGCTTTACACCAAGAAAGAAAGTTATCATTTAATCAACAATTTTAATTTCTTCTCTTTCATTTCTTTTATTTTAGAGCTATTATTCAATCTTTTACTTGACCATAATATTTTTATGGTCAATTAATTCAATTTGTAAATGCTATGGTTTAGTTTCAATTCAATTCCTAAAAATTCAAAACGTATACACAGTAAATTCCTTTGTTTTAAATTTCTTAAAAGTGCACAATTACAATATTTAAGCAAACTTTAAAACAATAAATAAATGACTGTAAATCAGTTAATAAAAAAGTGTTTCAACTTGCCAACAAAGGAAGAGAAAAACTTCTTCTGTTGCTGCTGCCATATAAACTTCCAAGTTTCACCATATTATCAACCAATGAGACTAAAGGCTGAGTGACATCATACTGATTTTCTAACATTTGAATCTGCTTTTGAAGATCTTTACTGTTATGAAAAGTAGGTTGATATGAGCTAGAATTTAAAAAATAAATAAATTATTTCATAAAATACAAAAGCCAAGGCACAGAAAAGTATTCTTAAATTTTATCAAGAGAATGAATGAAATTTTCAACAGCATTCTAATAATGTATTGATTGTGTCACATGCAAAGTGATTATGAATAATGTATCTATTATGTCTTATTATTTGGATTTAAGTGCAGACAGTTGTTTGTTTATACTATTATCTTTACAAAATAAAAATAAATAATGAATACACAGGCATACTTATAAACACATGCAGAAACAAAATATCAAATATGGTAAGTAAGGTAAAGCATTCGTGCAACAGCCATTAGTCAATCAAGAGGGTCAAGAATTTCAGGCTACAATTCGGGACCAACGACTAGATGTAGTCAACAATGAGCAATGTAGTAATCATTGTGCAGTTACTTCTTTACTTCACAGACAAGCTGATAACTATCAGTTTGAATTTGAGTAAGCTAAGATATTACAAGGGATAGTCCAACAAAGCAATAGCTCTAATTAGTGCCTAACTCTAATGCTCCATCAGAAGCAATATTGTCAAAAATATACATATAGAAAAAAACCAACAAGATTTAAAGGCCTTCTATGACAGATAACTTTAAGATTTCAAATAATATGTTCATATTTTTTTTAAAAATACAAACTTTCTTCATTACACAACTTCTTAATTATTTTCCTACACATTTTAAACTAAAAAACGCATTTCAGTTCCTTGTGGTCAGTATATCAATTGTTAAATAACATGAACATTTCTTTTTGATATTTTAAAAGGCAAAGAAAAAGTAATAATATGAAATAAATACTTAGGCATTTCTTGAAAATGTTTGATTTGCTTCTCCAATTTCTCCTTTGCCCTGAGTATCTTAGTTTGATTTCTTCTCAGTTGAATCAGCAATAAAACTAATTCTTCATGCTAAGAAATAAATATTATAAATATATATATAAACTTATATTTTTATATAAGATAATTACATAGTTTGTCTAAAAAATAATGTCACTCAGTCAAATGTTGCTGTCGTTTGACAAGTGCTGAAAAGTACAAGTTAAATGGGACCAAAGGCATGGAGCACAGCCATGGCCACTCATAGAGGGGTTTGCCATTGCCTCAAGAGTATTCAGTCAAATAAAAAGCATGAATTGATCCAATAAGTAGAGCACTTAAAATAGTTTCTTCCTGGATTTATAATTTTTTTTAATGAGATTACATGGCACCATAGTAGGCCTTTTCTAAAATGTTCTTTAGAACCTTGGTGCAAGCTTTTTGACTATACCAACTGTCCTAAAATGATGGGAGTTTTTAGAGACTGGAATACAAATTCTGGGGCTATATCAGTACTTTAGGGGTGTTAGGGATCCATTAGCATAATTTAATCAGTCCATATAGAAGGTGGATTGGCATGATTGTTTTCATCCTGAAGTTTCCTATCATCTGCAATTATGCGGAATGTCTGTTGGTTTTGCCATTAAATAAAAGTTCAAATAATACTCTGAGCTTAAAAAAGCAGCTGCACACCTCACCTCAAATTTTCATTGCAGGTTTCATACCTGACCTTTTTATAGCCTCTAAGAAATGCTTTGTGCCATCAGTAGACTAGGCTTTTTGATAAAGAACCATCACAAAATGCCATTTTTATCATGGAAAAAGTTTACAATACAAAAATTGCCAAGTTTCACACAGATTAAATGGCCATCCATCAGGACATGACCACTAATAGGGGAGTTATGAGTGTCACAAAAATGTCTTTTCATGGACAGTTGGAGATAACTGAGAGACCACAATCATAAAAGGTGACCGCCCCATTAACCAATTACAACCAGTTTAGGGGTACAGGAAAAAGCATAACTTTTACAGTGACATTACTTTGTGGATACACTATGTAAAACAAATATTCTTCATAATTAAATTTAATTTTATTAATTAAAAAGGATATAACATTTAAGTGAATAACTACCGTTTTTCCAAGGAGATCTCCGGCTGAAACACTCAAACGTTTTCCTTTGCACATCAAACCCTCAGATTGCTGCACGAGCTTACGAACATGAGCTGGCTGAAAAAGTCAAACTTATATCAAGAAAAAAATTTAAATCATAAAAGAACTATGCTACGTTTGAATGAATGAAAAATAATATTTTTTATAAACAGGATAAATATTAAAAAAATAATTGTATTACCTCTTTTTTGTAGATTTCAGATGATACACTCTTAGACAATTCAGCAATTTTAGCTCTAGTATTGAGATTATACATTGGGTTGTCAGAATCCAAAGAAGCTATAAGCACAATAAACATTTTTAAAAAAAACGATATAGACCGATTAAAAAAACTTATAAAAATGTTGGATCAAAGAAAGCTTTATAAAAACCAAAAATTTCACAAGATTTTCACTGAATAGAACCGAAATAGTATCTTCAATTCAATTAAATAAAAAAACTTCAGATAAGTTTAATACAGATAATTAAAACAAAAAGTACATAAATAAATCTTTGCACATAAAAAAGCAATCTAAAAACTTAATTTATGATTATTACCTATAGATATTTTTAGGTAAGAATTTAATAATAATTTCTTTGTAATTTGTAGTACATGTGATGTTAATTCTATAATTTTCTAACACGGGGATAAAACTTTCTGTCACTTTAATTAATTTAATCTATAACAATTCTCTATTACTTAAATTTTTTATACATTTATATATAACTTAGTACGAGTAGCATAATAAATGCAACATTAAATTTTTTAAATATTAAAAATTTGAGTTGTTAAAATACTTGAAACTACCGTAATTTTAAAACTCATTACGTATAATTTTGAACAATAAGATGGAGGATAATAAGTTGGAAAAAAGTGGATAAACTTTGTTGAATAGACTGATTTGACACTTTCTTGTGTAGGCTACGATTTTAGTATTAAAATATTACATTCTCCAAATATCAGTTAATATATCATGGTAAATCCGAATGTCTTTTGAAAATGTTTCTCAAAAATATATTTAAAGAATGAAATTATTTAGTCACAGTCTGCATATTTTTACTAATCCTTCAAAGAAACGTTGGTAATCCTTAATGGATTAGGAAAGTATTCGAATGTTCTTAAATTTTTGAAAAGTATCTACACTTTTGTATTAAATTTATTTGCGGTAGAATGATCTTGTTCAAGGATTCTTAAGGAAATATAAAGAACAATATAAAAAGCACTTTACTATTATCAGAAAACAACAAGCGTGACTTTTTCAACATATTTTTTTGGTTGAGATACGCTTTAGATAGCTTATTTCTACTGCATTGACAAGCAGAGAACAAGTTTTAAATTGAATCAATTTTAATCAATGAAATGGACTAGGACAAGGAGTATAAGGCATAGCACTATTTCTCTCATTAGAGCAATATAAACAACTCACAAAATGAAAGATGGTACCATTTGCTAATGTCCTGTTTTAGTTTAATGTATACATATGAAAACTTAATTTTCTATTTTAATTTTTCTACATTGAATTACATTCTTTTAACAAACCTGATAAAATAGCTCGTTTTAATTTGAAAGAAAAAAACTTTAAAACGTGAATTAATATGAAAGTCTGATGCTTAATTTTTAACTTGAGAGTGAAACCAATATTTGTAAAGGCATATAATTTTAAAAAAAGTCATTCAGTTTTAAAAAATAAATAACTTTATGCCCATTTCAATGTGTTACTTTATGCCCAATTCTGGTTAATTGAAACTATACTGAGCAAAAGTCAAAATCCAACTAGGTAAAAACCATATAATTAATAACATATTATCGTTTTTTGTTGTTGTTTAAATTCTGAAAATATGTTATTGAAATATAAAAAAAGAAATTTAAAAGTTGTAATTGCACCTTAAAAACCTTTTTCTTTCTTTCAAATTTCTACTAAAGTATTCACAGCATAATTACGCAACTGCACAAAAGTGTGCATCAGTGTTGCTAATCTACCATATCTTATATAAGAAATTTGATAAGTAAGTAAAAAAAGTTAATCAAGATGTCTACTTTTAAGTCACAGCCAAAAATAACTTCCTTCTTTATTGTTTTTCTTAAAGTCTCATTTTGTTTGATCTTGCCTAATTAAGTTTTGAATTTCTGTAGCTGATTACATAACAATTCAAACATTGACAAAGTTGTTCTTGCACTAAGCCATAATCAAAATAAAAAAAAGAGATTATATAGAACAATAAAGATAAAGTCAACAAAAAGATGAATAATTGATGATATTTTTTGTAAGTTTGCTTTAAAATTATAAAACAAAGTTAAAGGCTTAGTATACATTTATTTATGTGTATTACTTTAATAGTTCAAAATTTGCAACAAAAATTTAATTTTTTTAAGTTTTATAATCTGGTTCAGACAAATTAAATAAGTTCAATTAAATGAATAAAAATACAAATATTATTGTCAAAATGCACAATAATGAGGATAACAGATTTGTTGTCTTTTATAACAAATCAGAATGCTACACAGACAAAATATCTTTGAATAAATTAAAGAAAATAATAAAGAATATCAATTATTTAAATAATTAAATACTATTCCTGATTTTCTCAATGTATTTATCATTTGATTTAGTAATTATTTTGATTATTAATCCCTTAAAACTAGCACTAGTGTATTCAAACCAATCAAAAGATAATGTACTGTAGTTATTTTTTTACAAACCACCAAAAATAAAAATTTTAAATTATACACCGGAAATGTTTCCTGTGTTTTTAATAATGAAATTATTATTCTATAATACGTGAGGAAATAAGAAAGATTTAACATTCTTTTGATAAAAAGAAACTCCATATAATTTAGATTAATTGTTTTAAATTACATTTAATACTTTTCAAAATATAAAAAGAAATTAAAAATTAAACAAAAAAATTCACTTAATATTTTTTGATTATTATTAATAAAATCATTTGGAAAATCATTTGCAATGAAAAGTGAAGCTTAAGGTAAGATAAAATTTTACATCAATTATTGTATTCTTTCGGTAACTAAACATTTGTCTAATGGATTACCAACACCAGAAAGTTTTGCAAATTCGAGATTTATAAAGTGAGTAATATGAAGGTGATATGTACAGCTGTATGCTTGTTACTTTTTGAAATTTGCTGTAATAGTCATCTAACAGTTGAATGTTTAGTTCAACAAAAATTAATATATTTTGAATATTGAAATATCCAGAGAAGACACAACTAAAAGTGTGGTGAACAAATGCAAAATTAGTACTTTCTGTCCACCTAAGAAAGGTAGAATGACAAAATACGTATGCAAGTACTGCAACACTGTTATTCATGGAGAACACACTTTTAACATCTGCTAAGAATGCCAACAATAATTTTTATTGTATTTTAATTTTTTAATTGAAATATTATAATACTTTTTTGTAAGTTATGCTAATTTGTTTGAAATAAATGAAGGAAATATAAAAAATATACTTGTTTTTAATTCATTGTCTATTAGTCGAATGATTAGCTACAGATTAACACCAATTTAAGTTTGGTTATCTAGGATAAAATAAATTTAGAATATTTCTTTGTAAACCAAACTCCATTTTCCATTAAGACTTATACGATAAAAATAATAAAAAATAGAATACAAATAATGACATGTATTTTAGTAAATCTAAAATTCACTTCTCTAATAGTAAATTATTATTTTGGAATAAGATCTACTAAATCACATTGCTTTTTGCTTCAAAAAAAAGGGTATTAAAAAAAAAGCATTCAAATATACAAGTCTTTTGGTGATGATAAAATTAAAATTTAAAAAAAATTAAACTATAAGTTAATTAAAAAAAAAATAAAGCCTGAAAATGAAGAATAAAATTAAAAACACAGGAACTGAGTCAGATCTGTTAAATTTCTTCTATCACAAGAGGAATAAGCAACAAATTAAATAATTAAATTGCTTTTTGTTAAAAAAAGAGGGTTTATTTTTAAAAAAAATACAATAAAATATACAAGTCTTTTGGTGATGATAAAATTAAAAAAAATAAATATAAAACTATAAGTTAATTTTAAAAAAAAATAATAAAACCTGAAAATGAAGAATAAAATTAAAAACACAGTAACTGAGTCAGATCTATTGAATTACCTTCATCACATGAGGAAGAAGCACCCGATGAACTATCTGAATATTTATCAATGTGTTTTCCATAATTTTCAATATTTGAAGTTTCTTGGGGAACTTTAATATTACAACCTTGTGTTTCTTTAATATCTGTGTGTCCAGATTTGTTAGAAGTGCTAAAAGGGCATTGGGACAACACATCCTGATCAGTGATCAGAGGATTTTTAATAATAGCAGTTTGTAATTTCTTACTTTTAGGAAATACTTTTTGTTCATTTCCTCCGCCCATAGCACACTGTCCTAAAAAATTAGCCTCACAGCAATTGGTTTCATTTTGATTTTGCACCAATGGCACACTTATCTCAGACACAGAATTGGTCATTTTGGTCACCGGAGTGCAAAATTGCCGTTGGGGAAAGGAAGAAGTGTCCTGAGAGCTGACCTGTATAACACGAGAAGACTCGTCATCTTGTGCCAAAACTGAAGATGATTGAGGATTTTCCTGAGATCTACGTGAAGATAAATTAAAGTATTCAATGTTCTCATAAACATGTTCTTCATTTTCTTGAGCAATGTCATGTGTTAATTCAGGGGCACTCGGTAATCCCTCGAGCGAGTGGGACAACCGCTTCTGAAGTTTTAATTTTGGTTGAAAAACCAGGTTTTCATAGACTGGTTCACCTGACTGAGAGGTACCAGCATTCAACTCAGGCGTAGAAGCCCTATGTTTGAAATAAGACATCGGATTGCTAGATCTAGTTTTCTCTAAAGTATGACCTGCTTCGTATTTATTTTTTTCAGCATCCAAGTATTTAGATTTTGAGCTTTGTAGAATGTCTAATGAGCATCTTAAATTACTTTTGGCTCCATCGCCTTTCCAGTACTTTATCTGAGCCTTGTTATTGAAAGAATCTCTACAGTCAGGAGCCAGGTGTAAATCGATTTTGTTTACTTTTTTACCTATGTCTCCTTTGCATGATGAGATATTTGTGGCATACACGTTGTTTAAAACTGCAGCGTTCTTTTTCGGAGGACTAGCTTTATCATTTTGTGGCATGTCATTTTTCTTCAAAAATTGTAAATGACTAGGAAGGAAACCAATCCCATTGGCGAAGTACAAGTCAGAATAATAATAAGGAGCTGAATTTGGCGATTTAGTTGGGGACTCTTTATCGTTTGGCACTTTTTCCTGAACTTGAATTTCAGGAACAACATCAGGTCTATAGGACGGAACGGTTTGAGCTAAATTTATAGAACCAGATGGATTGACATCAAATCTAGAGACATAGGCAACATTCTCAGACAACGAGTCCCCATCGACAGGATAAGATTCTACAGAAATAGTATCGGCAGGTATGCTTACATTGACATCAAGCAGCTTAGGTGACTTAGTTGAATCTTTCCTTTCTAGAATTTTGCAAATTTCTGACTCTTCAAGATTGAATGGCACGGGAAATATTTTAGGTGCTTCAGGTTTTTTACCTTTTGTGTAAACACGCAATTTTTGAGTTTGATAAGTTTTTTCTAGATCACTAGGAATAATTTTATTGCTGTATTTATCATATTCAGATGAAGACAAAATGGAAGCGTTATCTGAAGTTGAACAAATGGCTGATAGTAATGGTTTCACCTCACTCACTTTAGATCTTGATTGGTGAAAATAATCAGGAATTTCATAATGATGAGAAGAATGAGAGTCAGTTAATCTAGGAAGATCTTCAAGATTGGCGGCAATTATTTCAGAATCAAATGATGAATTGCAATCTAGTTTTGCAGGTTTATGTTCACTGTTAGAAAAGTGATCTAATATAGAGGACTGATACCGAGCTCCACAAACAGAATCAAAATCTCTACTCGCTTCATCATCAGCATCAGAAGCATCACTATCTTTCATTTCTTGAAGCTGGAGAAGATCAGGTACAGAAACACTCAAAGTAGGTTGTTCATAATGGTGAGGTACTGACAAGGAATTAACATCTCTCTCCAGCAAATTGCTATCCATTTTAGACACATTACTTCGACCTACTGAGGTAACATTTGAGCAAGACAAACTGCTCATCAGAACAGAGTTTGTTTCTTGGACGGATCTGTGGGAAAATTCATTTCTCAAGCTTCGTACAGATCCAGAAGGAAAACGGTGGAAAGGTTTTTCATAAATGTTTTCTGTTAATGAATCCTCTGAACTGCTAGATTTCATTTGATACTGCATCTGCCTCATTTTTTGTTTCTCATAAACATCGTGAAGAAAGCTTGAAGGGGGTGCAAAAGGTTCATTATATAGATGCTCTTCTTCATGTAAGCTTTTTTTGAATTTTTCATTTGATAATGATGGTGGATATTTAAAACCACTCATTGTTACATATTCAGGCTCATCATTAGCAACATTTTTGTTGAAAGATTTTAGACCATCCATGGGCAAATATTCAACCTCATCTGAGTTTCTGACATTTGAGTCGGTAGAAGACTTAAAGATAGGTAATTCAATGGATTCATAAGAATGTTTTCTTTTAGAATTATTTAATTCTTTGGGAGTTTTAGAATTATTTTTGTTCTGACATTCTGATTCATTCAAGGAATGAAAATATTCTTTCATTGCACTAGATATAGGAGCTGTCTCTTTTGATGGAGCTTTAAAATGTTCCTTACCGGCTTCAGCAGTTTTTCTTAAGTCAGCAAGTACAGACGATAGTGGGGAAAGAAGAATAGGTGCTGACTTCATAGTCAAGTCATCAGAACTTTCATCAGTGTCACCGCGTACCATAGCTTCTGAATCACTATAAAGGATACGCCGATTGGTTTTTTGGCGGCTCGTTTTGTGCCGATTTCTCTTACCGACGCTTCTACAAGAAATCTTCTCTTTACGAGAATCAGAAATGGGCAACGAATTCGTTTTCTGCCCAAGTATGACATTTTTTTTAGAATAGTCCACAGTTTCAAACTTTTTTATGCGATCTTGAACAATGTTTGGAGGTGGAGCTTCTCTTTTTCGTAAAAGTTGTCCTCTCATTTCTTCATAGCTCATTTTTTTATCTGCTTCTTTTTTCAGGCTGTTATTCTGTGCATCATCAGCACCCAAAATACTTGTCTCAGACATTTCATGAGGTTGTCTTCCTATATTAAAAGATTCCCCCTCCATTGTTGCACTTATATGATTCATTTCTTTTTTAAAAGAATTGTCATATGAGATATATTTGTTGCTTTCAAGAATGTCTGGCTTTTTCTTTTGGGGAGATTTATTTGGAGTAACTTGAATAGGAATGCCGATATCTTTATCCAAATTCACAAAATTTGGCCCACTTTTATCCTCAATCGATACATTTGCATAAGCAGATTCTTTTTTAGATCTCTCAACACTAATTTTATTTGCTCTTGCTTTAAGTTTTGCACGTGTTGATGCATAAAATATTTGAGAAGCCCTATAATAATCTTCTCGCTTAATATCACACTCTAAATCACTGTCATATGTATCTTTGCTAGTTATGCTGGTTAAGGTTTGATTGTGAGCGCTGTCATCATCTATCCATTGCTCTTCAGAGGGATATCCTTTATAAAGATTTTCTGCAGCTTTAACTTTCCCAGATTCAATTTGATTCCCTTTAGATACATGTGGTGCATTTTTGCTAATTTTTGATGCTTGTTCTAATGGCTTTAATACGGCCCGATTGATTTCAAAAGATTCATTAAGAGGGACAGCTTCATGAACAAAGCTGGTATTTTGTTCATTATAAAACGGGCCAATATTAACATAATCTGGCGATGATGTTTGATATCTGTCAGCCAGGTTGTTTTCAGCAAAATTGTGAGATTCATTTTCAATAGTTTCAGTCCTCTCATCAGGATTCAAATGTTGTCCAACATCTTGGGATAAAATGAAAAAGGTATTTTAGATCGCAGAATTCAATTTAAAAGTTTTGTTTATACGTTTCATCCAACACCATATTTAATAAAATGACATGCCTTGGATAGAAATGTTGGAAAGAGCTTGAATTAATGAAGCTTTTTGTTAGTGAAACACAGTTAGTCAGCTGTTAAATCGACATGTTGCCTTTTATTTTTTAAATGACATTTTGTTTGCCATTTTAACATTTTGGCACAATATACCAGAGCTTGTACCAGCAGTTAGTAGGCATCACAACAATGGATTAAATAAAGTTTTATGATGAGGTTCTTTTAATATTATTTCAATTTCATGCACAGGGTATTAAATAATAAACTTTGAACTGTTAGAAATTATAGATTAAAAAATACACAGTTTTACAAAAAATTTATTGTTACTTGAAATAAAAATATCCATCACCAAAAAAAAGGAAAGGTTGAAAAGGGAACAAAAAGCACACACATTATTTGAAATACACATCAAAACTATATATTAAAACTTATATATTAGGCTACTTAAATATATTTAAAATAATAAATCAGGAATGCCAGAGCATTAAATGCAATGGATCTCCATATGACTTTCAGAAAAGTCAATTATATACTATATATTTTTTAAAAAATTTTTTTTTATCATACAGCTTTTGGTATTCTAATATTATTTAATCATAAATTAGAAAAATAAACAAAAATATTGACATTTAACATAAAGTAACTAAGACAAGAAACAATTTTCTCCTAAAATCTAATACAATATTAATTTATTTTTATATTAAAAACCTGTATATTACATGGTTTTTTTTACAGTTGAATTTTGTTTTAACTCATAATTTCTACATGCCATTGTCATTTATTTTTGCTGTTGTTTTAATGGCATATAATAAGTAATATTGCTTTAAATTTAAAAAAAAAAATATCATTAAAAATTATAAGTGTAACATTATAAAACATTGGACAAATTAAGAAACTTGCAAATGTAATTTAGTAGTAATTTAAAAAGGAAATTTTATTAAAAACTAGAGCAATAACTTTTGATGGATTTCTACTCTAGCAAACTAAATAAATCTAAGAGAACAAGTTGCATAATCTTTGCATGTTGTATCAAAACATCTTTTAAACAGATAAGTGCACAAAAGCATTCTTTTTTAATTAAATATAACTAATTTTAAAGAAAATGAAATAATGACTTAAAATTATAAAATTTTATTTTGGGAATAAAGAATGGGAATGTAATTTATTTACCTTCATCATCAGATGAATAAGTGGTTACTTTCTTTTTACAAATGGAAGGCTTAGATTCTAAAATAGATAAAATTAAATTTATTTACACAATGAATAAACATAAAGTTTTAAATCTGTTATTGTAAATTGTAAAGCTAAAACAAAGAAATATTGCTGACATCAGGGAAATTTTGAACACAGATTACTCTTAATTAAAAATCTTTTAAAGTCCTATATTTTTACAGAGAGTAAAATAAGATTTATAAAATAATAAGAACAACTGAAACAGAAAATATTTAATTTGCAAATGCTATAAAAGTAAAAGAAATTTCATTTTCTGCAGGTATACCAGGGGTGATTGTGAGTCCAACTCCAAAATCTGGAAAATTGGAGTAAAATCTTTAAAGATGCATAATGTCTTTATATTTTCAAAACATTGATATATAAATAAATTACATACAGCATAATTTAAATGAATAATTACGTATAAGTTTATTTTTATCTTTAATCATGTTTATTACTCTACCAGAAAAGATTATTTACAAATGAAAGATGCCAAGAGTTTTAATACATAAGTTTAGAAACAAGAAAAATTTAACAAGAATTTTTATACATAAATGTGATCGATGATTTCTTGAAACTTCTGGACCTAAGATTTCTGGAAACTTCTGGAGAGCAGTAAGGGAAAAATCCGGAATTTTTCCAGAGCATAATCACCTCTGGTATACTCAATAATGTCAAATATTTTTCCTCCCTCATACTTAAAATTTGTGAAAGGGTGTTAATGTTCACCACATTAATTTAATATATTGATTATATTTTACTAATAAAATACCTAATAAACAATGAGCTATTATCTCTCTTACCCAAATGTCATATGCATGTCATTCTGAGTAAATATTTCAGACAAAAATAGTTTTTTTTCTTTCCAAAAACTACCTCGTTTTTTTTTTTAAACAATGAAATAGTAACTCAAGAATTTTAATGAACATTAAAATTTTATACATGCTACAGCAATTCTATAAAAAAATGAACTTTTACAATTTAATGAACTATTACATTAGATTAAAAATAGCTTTTTTAAAAACACATTTAATAATTTCACCTTAACATTGTAACTCGTCTGTTGTTTCAGAATGTAATTCCTTATTAAATTCCCAAACGAAATCAAGAGCAAATCTGAAATTTTAAGATTCTCGTAAAATTTTAAACAGTTTAATTTTTCTTAATAAGAAGTCAATACAGTCAAATCGTGTTACATCGTTTTTGCATCTTTTGTTTTTCTGAATGTATTATCTTATTTTAACACCTCTGCCACAAAAACTATTATAAAGTTAATATAGTAATTTCCCAGAAAAACGCTGCCCTGAAAGTTTGTCAAAAAAGGGAAAGGCCACACCAAAATTTTACTGTGAGATCGATGGCGGAGTAAATGCATCTGTTTCAAATAACAAGTTATATAGAAAATAAATTATTAAACATTAAAATAATTACTGAATATACAATAAATAAATGTATACAAACTTACTTAAAACCAGAAATTATGTATTTCAATAATTTTCATCATAACTTTTTAAAATTGTATCGTGTACAATTGTGGGCAATTTAAATGCAACACAATGGTCAACACACTACATTATAAAAATATAAAATTAAAATACTCAACCTAAACCTAACCTAAACATAATAAAAATATCAAAATACATTAAAAATAATCTTACTAGAAGCATAATTGTACCATACAGAACAATTCCGATCGCATCTAGTATTTTTTATCGTAATTTGATTTGAAATAATTGAATATAATAAAATCAAAAGAATAAACAGCTAAAAATCCTAAAAATTACTTTTCATATATTTTCAACTCGTTATTTGATATTTTGATTCCCAGATTCATTGTTTTCATATCTATTGTTCTCAACAGAGTACTATGAGAAAAAATTACGTAGATTTAAGAATTTTTTTCTTCAAAATAATAATAATTTGTGAACAACCTGTCAGTTTACAGTTTAAAAAATTTTGGAATCATTGAATCATTAATTGGATTTTAATCAATTTAAATAAACTGTACAAATCAAACAATTAAAATTTATCGATCCAATATACAAGATTTAATTTCATCTTCTAAAAATTTTAAAGAAGCATAAGAATCCACATCCTCCCTTATAAATCATTATTTGGTTTAGAATCAATTAAAATAAACTATAGAAATAAATAAATTCACCATTCTCTCTTATAAAATTTTAACCAGATAAGAGAATTTAATTAAACTTTTTTTCTTTATAATATTATTCAAGAATTCTAAAAATTTTGAAATGGCAAATTTGATTTAATAAATAAGATATTTCAATCACTTTTGCATACTTTGTGGATGGTCAACCAATCCAACATATCATATTTTGCAATTCTTAATTAAGTCTTATAATGGTATTTAAGAAGAAAAAACGGCGATAAAGTAGCATGTTTGAATTAAAAACAATAGCTGTTAACAAACATCAATGAATTTAAAATATACATCAGGGATGCAAAACTTGATCCCCTTTGGTTTATAAGTAGCCCCCCCCCCTCGAACAGTTTTAAATATTAATAAAAATTTATAAAATCTTTATACAGTAGGTAACCGATTATCCGGAACGATTGGGACCATCGCTATTCCGGATAACTGATTTTTCCGGTTTTCTGAATCGCTACAAAAAGCCGTTTTTTTATTGTTAAACCCAACTAAAAAAAAATTTTTTTTAGAAATAATCTTAAAAAGAAGAAAAAATGATGAAGTAATACACGAATAATTATTTCCAAAATGATGGTAAGGTGAACATCTTTCAAAAAAGAAAGAAAAATCCTAAAATCTTATGAGGAAAAAAAAAAATGTTTTTTAAAAAATGGCGGGAAAATTTATTGAAGTTCGTTCCGGTTTTTTGGTTTTCTGATTTCCGGATAACGGGTTCTGTACTGTAATATAAAAAAATATACAGATGTAAAAATAAAGAGAGAGGTCTTTTCCCAGATACCACTGTATTAAAAAGACTCATTGTTTTAATGCAAGCCTAAACTTGATTGTAAGTCTTTTGAATTTGAAATTTTATTTATGATCATGACTTCAGTGCTTGCAGGAAATTGCAATTTCTTAAAAATTTTGCACACGTGTTCGTATATGCATGTTATTTTCAATGAGAATGCAAATACTCCTGCAATTTTTATGATTAATACCTCGTGTTGACCCCTAACATGGCATTTTTTAGTTTTTGTGGCCTTCTAAAAAAAAGTTTATGCATCCCTAATACACGTAAATAAAAAATAAACTAACCTTTTGATTCTGTTTTATATGATGCTTCAGAATACTTAATTTTTGAGGAATATTCATTGGAACATTGGAAATTGGACTCCTGACTTTCATTACCAATGCTGCTAACATTCGGAAGAGTACTAAAAGAATGCATTTGAGGTGGATAATGACAGGTTTGAAGGTTCTTAGAAATCTCATCATCATTAGGGGAATTATCATTGTAAGAAAACAGAATTTCATTGTTCTCAGAATCGACACAATAAAGAAGGTTTTCATTTCGCAGTTTCTGGGAAGACTCGGGGACACTTTGGGTGGGGGCCTGCTCGAAATGTTCAGAAAGTCGGGTATTGTTTTTGGTTGGATAGACGTCATTGTCATTATAGGGCTGCTGATATGAGTCGCCGTATTGTAACATATTCTGAGAATTGTATGAAGAATCAGGATTATGACTATAACTGTAATTAGGGGAATGATGAACGTGGGTTTCAGATTCAAGAACTACGGGATTTTGTAAGGGCTTTTTGACACTAGTTTCAACCTTGTATGTTTTCATGGGAGAAGACATCGGAGAGCTTGTTTCGGAAGAATTTGAATGCAAATAATTTCTTTTAGAGAGAGGAGATTGCAACATTCTCTGTTTCCATTCCATTAATCGTTGCATGGATTCTTGAGAATTTTTTGGCTTCTGTTCCTTTTCCATTGAATCAAAGTTTCCTTTTTGTGACATTGGTGCACTTTGATATTTGTCATATGAATTATTCTTTGACGTTGATGCATAACAAGGAGAAACAGAATCATTTGTTAAAAACCCAGAATTACTCACATAATGGATATTCAATTTTTGGTCATTGCCTTTTCTTTGCTTTGAGCCATAATGCTTGTTACTTTTGCTAAGATTTTTGTTCAGGTACAAATTATCAGCTTGCATTCTGACGGCCTCGCGATAATCATCGAAATTGCCCTCATCCGAATCCACATAATGATTATAGTACTCCAAGCTTGACTTAGGTCTTCGAGGTTGCGCATTCCCAGTGTATTGTGCAACATCTGGCATCATTTGGCATTCAGCCTCCCTCTCTAAGAAATCGGCCGATCGTGGCCTCGGTGGTTGGCTGTGATGAAGGTCTGATGTTTCAAGATGCATATTTTGGGGATGATTTTCAATGTATTGCATAGATTTCGGATCCTGCCTAGATGGATCATTTTCAATGTCGTGAAAGCTATTTTGGCTCGGAAAGTAGCCCATAGCCTGATGGTAATCGGAATGCACGCCCCCAGGATAATACATTGTAGTTGCAGGCATATAATTTTCATGGTCTCTTGAATCCGAATAATCATGAGGGTAAGGAGCAAAACTATCAGAATTAAGACGTCTAGGTTTAGGTGGAGCATTCGCGTACAGAGGTTGCCGTCTGGGAGGTTCGTCTTGTACGGAAGGTGTTTTGTATTGAACATTTTTATAAGTATCAGGATATTTATCATCGCTACTGAGATAAACTTCTCCCATTCGATCACCATAACTGTTGGATCTTTGTTTTAGTGGTTCAGAGTTAAAGTGTGAATCATGAGCTGTGGTTAATTTTTGGCTTGTGTATCTTCTAGAACGATGAGATTTGAAACCACAATCTTCATCATCATTACTTGCTGAACTAAATGTTGCATCATAATTTTCAGACCTGTAAATTTAAATTCAGAAACATTATTATTAAATAGAAGAATAGTTATAAGCAAATTAATAAAGTATAAGAATTTTATGAAATAAACATGAACGAACAAAAATTTTATCAGTAAAACTTAATTTAAACAAAAACTGAAAGATCTCTACTCTTCTAAATTGATGTAGAGCAGTGAAGAAATGAGTTCATGTAGGAAGATAAACTATCAGAGCATGCAGTAAAATATAATATATCTCTTTGAAATCCTAAAAGTAAGATATCAAAGAAGATAAAATACTAATAAGATGAATGACTCCTATGGAAGCTTAATTAACATCCGGGGTCTGTCCAAACATTTTCTGGAAGGTCCTGTTTTTGTAAAATAGTGAAAAAACTACTCATAAGTTGTGAATCTAAAATTAGTGTTAAGTCATGTTCTTTCAACCAAGGTCCTACTTAGGTGAATTTGTACAAATAGGTCCTGTGATTGTGAAAATTGTAAAAATCACTTTCAAGGAGTTATTTGAATTGTAAATAGGTACATGATTATACTTAACACTGCGAAATTATAATAATAATAATAAAATTAAAAAATAAATGCCAATCGCTGCTCTTAAATTAGAGATGCAACATACAAATATTTGGCATTCAGCCAATACTGCTGAAATGCCGAATATTCATTTTGGACGAATATTGAAAACAAAATCACTTACATTTTTAATAATTTAAATTTATACATTTTAAAAAACACAACTTATAGACTGCTTTAAATGTGTTACATATTAAGTAAATTTGTAATAACATTTCATTTTAAAAACATTGATATAAAATAATATTCCATTAATTAATTTTATGAATAAATATAAATTATTAAATTATTTATCGAAAAGAGAACAAAAATTATTACTTATTTAATATTAATAAGAATGCACAGAGTGAAAAAGAGAACCACTCTGAATATCTCTTGATGTAATGATCGGATATTTATATTCTATGACTCAATCTTAATGGCTCGAGGGGATGAATTCTAACATGCTAATTAATAAGAGCAGACAATATTTTAATTCCAGAAATCAGACAGAAAAATGTAAAATTAACATTAAGGGTTTTAATCTCCCCTGATCAAACTATTATTACCATATTTCAAGATTGTGGCTACCCCCTATTTTTTGGGGATCAGAAATCCAAATCCATCAAAAAGGAAAAAAAGAAAAAATGTTCATTAAGAGAAGGTACGATTTTGTGTCTGACTTGGTAACTTAAAATATCATCTGCACTTATTGATTAGTATATTTGAGGTTACCCCCCTTGAACCACTACGATTGAGTCCTAGAATGTAAAGATTCGATCACTAGATCAAAAGTTCTTCAGGGTGGTTCATTTTTTTTTTTTGTTGGCACACTGTCCACATATAATCTTGTAGAAATAGAAATAATTTCTAAGAATACTGCTTCTGGAATTTATAAATTTTATATTTGATTTTGAAAGGGTTAAGTTACAAAAAATAAATAAAATAATATCGAGATAGATAACTTTGCGAAATCAAGGGAATAAATAGAACACGACCGGTTTTTTCCTGTTTGCAGTGTATTCTATTTTCCTGCTACACGCAAAAGGAGGGCGAAGACTTCACAAAAACTTTTCAGTTCTTTTAGAATTGTTTTCCTTTTTTTTCTTCCTGGGAAAGGTTAATTGATTTACAAAACATTCATTATAAAGATAAACAAATTTGAGAACGGTCAAAATAAAAGATAAAATATTTTGTGAAAGCTCCGTTAATGGACCGGAATTTCCTCTAAACAGACCCATATCTAATCATATAATTCATTTATGTTGATGAAGAGTATTTTACTTTATGCTTTATGAAAATACATATTTAAATATAATATCACAACATCTCCTATTTAAGTTGTAAAGTACAGATAATTCTTATATTGCAATTAATAACAATCCTGATACTTTTTTTTTTAAAAAAAATTGAGAGACAAAAATAAGCAGATCTAATATTCATTATGTAATTTTAAAAGTTCAAATATAATATTTTTTTAAATTATAAAATGCATAACTAATGTTAAAAAACAACATTAAAATAAAAGTTTTGTGTAATTTCAAGATACAAAAGACAACATAAAAAAACAAACATTAACATGTGTTCATTAACGAATTTCTTAGTTTTTATTAACTATATCAGATATAAAATCAAGAATTGTAGTTCTTAAGAATTTTGTAAAAATAATTTTAAAAAATTATTAACATTTTATAACAGTTTATATTTGTAATATCAGTCATGTAAAAATTATAATTTTCACCATTTCCCACATTCTATATATATCATTTAATGTGTACTTTCAGTGGCCCCCGTTATTTTGAAGTTTTTTATTTTTTATAAATTTTTAAAAAAATAATCCCAATATTGCTTATAGATGAGGTAGAATTTCAAAATAAAAATATGATGATATGATGAAAAATATGATGATAATCTCTTTTCTATGTAATATCAGTATCTTTTTATAGTTTTATTCTAAATAAAATATATATAATTTTTATTTCTTTTTCCTATCTGCATAATATTATTAGTCTATTAAAAAAATACCACATAATTTATAAAAAGAAAATTAAATATATGTCAATGAAAAAAAGTTTAAAAATAAGTAAATCTATCAAAATGTAATATCATTCACCATGGAATCTCCCTTTTGGTCATTCTAGTGTTGAAAACATTTATGTCTCAACTCAGCTATGAAGTCAAAAGAAAAAAGAATGATTAAATTTCAATAGAGTAAAAATGATAAAATATCTTGCCTGACAAATTTTTGCATAATTGAAGCAAGCGATATAGCATTCATCCACCTTTTCATACTATCCATTTCCTCAGCAGCAAAATAATAGGTTTTCATATTTTGATGTTCTGCCTAGAAACAAGAAAATTATTGGTACGCATGCTAAAAAACTATTATTTTACGTGTTTCAACAATTGTTTTATGTGTTATCTAATTATTTCTTTAAAAAAAATTCAATATTTTTTTATAATGTCAAATCTGAACAAGGTCTGCAAAATCAATTTTGGATAAGGGGAAAAAATTGAAAAATATGTTAGGGTCTAACATTAACATAAACCTGTAATTTTAAAAAGGCAGGATACGTTAAGATTTTATCTGAGACTAAAATGAAGAGTCTGTAACTGAACTTTTCACTTGAATATGGATAATAAAAATTCAAATGCATAAAACATTCCTTTCTATACAGAAAATTCATAAGGGTTGCATCTCCGCCACTATTTTAAGTGTTCAACTTAATGTTAAATTTTAGTTTGCTACTTAAAAACTATAGCACTTGTATTATTAAGGTGTGTAGAAAAATGTACAAGAATAAGACCAAACATCTATAATCATTTAGTAGAATCATCAATAGTTAAACTTAAAACCTTATGTTAAACCAATTAGAAAAATTCAGTTTTCAAATGTCCCTTCTGAACAATTTAATTTAAATTTTTTAACCATTTTTAGAATCGGGGGTGGGGCCAAAATTCCTCCTTTTAAATATTTCAAAATTCTGGCAAATTAATTTCTTATTAAATTAGAGCTTGTTATAAGTGAGTACGACTGTATTTGTATTTAAAAAAAACTTAGAACTAAATTATTACAATTGGATTTATTAGTCTATTTTAGGCATTTAATAATAATTTACATACATTCCACTCTCATTAATTTTATAGAATGAAATCAGACTTTAAAAAATAAAAAAAGCATTCTTGGGAGTAAATTTATACCTAATAATGAAAATTATTTGACTTAAATAAATGACTTTAAAAAAAAAAAAAAACTATGTCATTTCTTCAACATTATCTCAAGATGTTTTAAATCATGCCAAACTCAACACAAATTCTTCCTTTCATAATTATTGATGTGATTAATAAAAGTGCATAGCAATACAAGACAAGTAATTTCATTAAAAACAGAAGTTTAAAAACAATTAAAATATTGCTTAAAATAAATAAAAGAAAACAAGCGGCTTTATAAAATATTACCTTAAAAGCAAATTTTTTTGACACTTTATCATCACTTGTACAAGGACTTATTTTATAGCTTGGTAACAATATTGAGGATGTCAGCTTGTCTTCACTTGGACCTAATTAAAAAATAAATAAAATAAGTAAATAGAAAATGACATAATTGAAATTATTAATTATTCGTGTGACAGATACTTTTTATCAATTATAATTCTACATATACTATTTTTTCTTCACAAACCCACAAATAAGAGGTTGCTAGCAGAACTAATTATGTAATAGAAATGTTGAGCATTTCTCCTGATTACTGACACTAAAGCAAATATAAACACTGAAACTTAAACAGAAACTCTTCTCACCAGGCATTGTCTATTTTAATTTGGATTAAAACTTTACCGACATACATAGAACCAAGACAGGATTTGAAATTAATACATGGTGCGTAGCTAAATTTTACAACAAAAAATAAGCACCTTTTAAGTACTTTTTAAGCACTCAAGAAATATTTTTAAGCACTATATGCATTAACAAAATACGAAAAAAATTTCATAGATTTTACGTGATCATGATAAAATAACTATACTTCCAGTTATAATTTCTGACAAAGAACTCTTTTCTTGATTATATTAGCCTTTATAAAATGATCAAGAGATTTTTCAGTTCGATAACAGAGGGTGGAAAATGAAGCCTGAAATTGACAATATCTTGCAAATTGCAGCAGAGTTGCATATGAGAGTGCAATAATCTTACCGAGCCCAGCTCAGTAGACGCACTTGCGGACTCACAAATATTTCCTTAAATAATTAAAGTTATTGGCACTTTTATATGCTATGAGCCGACAGTAAGCCGAAATAAATTGTGAAAACATTGAATAGAACAATGTGCAGGGATGAAAGTACCAGTTAGCAAAAAAAGCTGAATTCTACATAAACGCAATCAAACATTATGAAATTAATAAATGTATGGAGCTTAAAAAGCTTTGAAAAAAGCTGAATTCAGAGTAAAAGCTGAAAACTTTCATGCCTNACTTTCATATGCTATGGGCCAACAGTAAGCCAAAATGTGCAGGGATGAAAGTACCAGTTAGCAAAAAAAGCTGAATTCTACATAAACACAATCAAACATTACGAAATTAATAAATGTATGGAGCTTAAAAAGCTTTGAAAAAAGCTGAATTCAGAATAAAAGCTGAAAACTTTCATGCCTGAATGTGAAAACCATGCTTTTGCATAATAGGTGGCGAAAATCAACATAGTAACAAAAAAATATTTTCGAAAAGGGAAAATTAAACACTTTTTAAAAACACTCAATTAAAAAAACACCGTTAAGGGCTTTTAAAAAAAGAAAATAAGCACCTTTAAGTACTTTTTAAAAAAGCTGCGCACTATGTTATAGTTGTCCATAGTTCAAGAATTATTAAAACTTGACGTGAACTGCTATGAAATGAATTATCTATAGTCTCAAGGGCTAGCAAATGATGAAAACGAAGGTTAAACTGTTTTGGTCACAAAATAGCATTTTTCATCATAATGATAAACAGGACACAGTCTCTGTATTGTTATTTAATTCACTTTATTGACTTTTTAAAAATTGCAATTAAGACTTGTACATGGACCAGTAAAAATGTATACGACTAATATCTTTTAGTGACTGATCCTGTAGAACAGTGACTAAATTTTCTTAATTTCTACCCTTGAGAGAGGTAAATTCAGTTATTAGAAAGATAAGCATAAGTACCTTTATAAAAGAAAAGACAAAAATCTGCCAGCACACACCATCTCTGCTTAAATTGCTTCAAAGCCCCACCTTCAAGCTTATACAGCCACCCTTTCATTACAACTTGAGACTGAATATTACGTTTAACATGAGGAGACCTGTACAGAATTAAAATTATAACATTACATAAACTCAAATGTAAGCAACAGAACATCAAATAAACTATAAAATAACATACCTAATGCTCCCATGACTTTTCTTTCTCATTGGCTAAAAAAGATGTAAGAGCAAAACATTACTTGAAGAATTAATTTCAGATACATTTTGAATTAGAGAAATCGCAATTTTCCTTCCTTTATACAAATAAGTTTATTTCTAAAATTAATAATAATTCCAAATCAAACTGTCTTCCGAAACTCAGAAAAAGAAAGTATTTTCAAAATAATGAATAACTTGTGAAGGAACAAATGGTTTTGAATTAATATATGACAAAAAAGATGATTTATATTAATGTTTCTTTGGGTCAAGGATAGGACTGGGCTATAAATCGATGTATCGAGACATATCGATTTAACGCACATATCGGCAAGACGATACAGCGACTTTCATTCAAGGCGATGCATCAGAAATCAGATTTAAGCCGTCGAGTAAAGACAACGAGCGCAAAACGATATAGCGATATAAGACACGCAAGGATATAAGACTCTTCTCTTACGTTCCGATGTCGACTCGCGGTGTGGAAGACGATGTTCGTTTCGTTATGTTGAAATGGCCTTGATTGGTGAGCTGTAGAATCAGAATATCGCATGTTCCTTTTCGCACCTCTTAGCTTTTTTTTTTCTTTGTCGCGACTTTTCTTGTAGATTATTTTCAGTGGGACTAACTTCGTGATCGCCGATGTTACCTTGTTCTGAAGGCAATCTATTATTGAAAAGAATATATAAAGAAGAGTTTCTTCATTAATTAGATAAGTTTTTTTTTAAAAAAAACTTCTTTTTATTTTTAAATGTGAAAATTATCGGCAATCTAATTTAGGCGCCCATAAAGAATTGAATTTGTTAGGTTATTTTTTTACTTTCTTTTAATTTATTAAAAACTTTTTGTATGAAACTTCTAATAATTTAATGAGTTTTTATTACTGATTTTAAATTTATAAATCTTGTTTTTATTTTTAGAAATAAAGTTAAAACAAAATTTATTTTTGTCATTTGGATTTGGACATAAGTCAATCAACTTTGCTTTTACAAAAAAAATTTGACAGGTTTGCGTATTTTATTCATTTTTTTAAATCATTTAGCACTTCGTTTTATTAGAGAGTATAATAATTTTTTTAAAAAAATATTATTTTCATATTATTTGTTAATTAGCTAAATATATTATCGAATATCACAATTCTTTTGTTTTTATTTTTAAGAAATTAAACCTTACTTTGTTTTTCGGTCATTATTCAATTTAATGTAATTATTTATGTGAAATAATAATAATAAAAGTGATTTAAAAGCGCTTTATTATTATTATTTTTTTTTTGAAATTTATTTAGCACTTTGTTTTGAACATACAAATAATTTTTAACGAACTTATTTTTTAAATTTTCTTTCTATATTGTTAGGTAAATATATTGATAAATTTCTATTTTATTTATTTTTTTATTATTTATTTTTAAATTAAGAAATCTTTCGTTATTTGCGTGATCATTTTTAGAAAATATAACAAAACTTGCGTTTACTTTTTCATTTAGAATTTGAACATTACAATCGAACTTAATAATTATGTAATTATCAAAGTTATTTTTATATGGCTCATTTAGTAAAATTATTTTTTATGGCTTTAAACTTTTTTTTTTCAAAATTTCATTCGCTTAAACTAATTGATTTTCAAATAATTCATAAACCTATCGTTTTAAACTTTCTTTTATTTCTAGTTAAAAGCTTAGTAAAGTTACCTAATAATTACCTAAATTAATTAATAATTAATTAATAATTTAATTAATTAATAATTTAGGTAATTAGGTACTTAATTAGACTGCTAATACCTTACAAACGATAAAGATGTGCAAATATTCCATTCTGCATCTACACATTTTTTCAATAAATATTTTAAGTAAGTTTTGTGCATAGTAGTCAATTTATTTAATATCTTTCTTAAGCAAAACATATCTATCTTCAAATTTATAAATTGATTTAAATCAATCTGAGTATGAAGTTTTGATAGAAATCTGACTTTCTGTGCCTTATAAGTAAATGAAATTCAAAAATACTATTTCGCGATACATCGCTATATTGCGATGCAAAATTGACGATGCATCACGATACATAATTTCTAATATCGCCCAGTCCTAGTCAAGGATTAATTCAAAAAAAAGTTTTTTAAGACTTTCTAAAGTAAGACTTAAACTTTCTCATTGGCCAAAAAGATGTAAAAGTAAAGCATTAGTTGAAAAATAAATTACAAATGCATTTTAAATTTGAAGAATTGTAAATTTTCCTTAATAAATGCAAATAATTAAACTCTTAAAGTAAATATTTATTCTAAATTAAGTTGACCAAGAAAATAAAGTATTTTCCAAATTATGAATAGGTTGTGAAGGGTTGCAAGGCTTTGATCAAGAATAGATAAAAAACTGAAATTAAAATATGTGAAAAAGTTCGTTAACACTAGTGTTTCTTTCGGTCAATGATTTTCTCAAAAATATTTAAAGTTAAGATTAAAACAACACATTTTCAAAATGCAGAAGATCCATATAATGCAATTCTATAAAAATCACAATAGTTTTGTGGTACAAACAATGTAATTTGCAGTTAAGAAATATTTGTAACTAAGCAAGAACTTTTTATACTACTTGTTTAATTATTTGCTAAAAGGTTTTTTTTTATTTTTAATTACCTATGGCTAAGTAAAATGGCAAACTTTTATATGATTAACAAAGAACACAATAAGAGAAAAAAATCAATGTCCCATCAGCAGTTGTCAGGCGCTCCAATATCGCTTCACCCCACACAGCTGTGCATCGTGACAAATGGCTCCTGTCCATGATTTGCTAAAAGGTTGAAACTTAAAAAGCTAAGCAAAATAAAATCAATCTATTCTTTGTTACGATTTTGAATGATTCTTTAAATAATAAATACTTAAAAACATAGTTTGTGTTAAGCAATCGTATCTAAAAATTATTATATAGTCTGTTAGGATTGATCTATTTCCACAAGTTTGCAGCTATATATATATATACATTCCAATGTTTAAATTACAAGACAATTGAATAATGAGAATTTTTTATGTCTACATCTTACTTACTGAACCGAGCAGTTCATTAGTCACTTAATGTATAATTTCGGAGGGGGTTTTGTCCCCCAAACCCTCCCCAAAACTATGCCACTGGACATATTTATTCACTTGCAAAGGGTAACTACGATTTAATCTCCTTTGAACTTGTTCTCCTGTATGTCTATTTAGTTTCTCAAAAACTATTGACAGGTTGTCACCCAAAGTTAGCATCCTTTTAGGGGCAGGTCCGGGAAAGATTTTAGCATTGGTATTTGTACCAAAAAAATAATAATTGCAATTTCAGCAAAATACAGTCCCTGGCACATGAAAAATTTAAAAATAATAATTATAATAAAGTCTTAGAAAGGGACTAATAATTAATTACTTGTTTTTAAAATTTTTACGTTAAACTACTTTTTGGCACTTTTGCTACATACCTTCAGATATCATTACTAAAATCATCCAGGGATAGTTATTGGTACCTATTTATGCCAACTACTACAGCCAAGGGGCAAAATATATTCCAAACTTGCAATTTAAAAAAAAAATAAAGCGCTTGTCCAGGGGTGGCTTTAAATTACATTCTCCGAATTGGTCCCCTTCTATGATTTTTTTTCTTAGTTTCTCAAGTGTCGCTGCCCGGAAGTTACCAAGGCTTGGTGATTAGTCTGCCACAGATCACATACGTAAATCTTAAAAAGAAAATAGATGAAAAATCTCCAAGTTGTCTAAAAATTAGATTAATACTCAATTTAATTACAACTGCATGTGGCATCATCAAAATGAATTTTCTTTACTGAGAAGTCAGTTCAAGCATATATGTCCCTTCATAAAAAAAAATTATTCAAAATATTTAAAAAAAGGGGACGAATGACAAATACGCTTTATGACATGCAATAAAATTTTTTGGTTTTTGTTACTATGTAATCCATTTCTGGAACAAAGTTAATAATTAAGGAATACTTCTGTTCACATAATTCATAATTAACGAGTAACATTATATTTAGACCATTTTTTAACGTAGCTAAACTGTAAATGATTTTTTGCATACAATTTATAGGTGTGTACCTTGGCTAAATTATTTCATGGAAGATTTTCTTTAAATATACTTACAGCCATATTCTGCGATTTCAAAGTTTTGATAGTAAAATCTAATAATAGAGTAAGTGAATATTTTTGCGAGGCATTTCATGCAAATAAATATAACTTCTGAAATTTGGGAAATACATATTTAAATAGCGTCCGGATTGACAACACAAGTTTATTAACAAAAACAATAACAAACACAAATAACTCTTGTAATTGGCTATCTTGTATTGCCACACGATCACATTTTTTTAAAGTTGTTTTCTAAGGTCAACATTCCTGAGTTGCTATCCAATCACAAATTTAGTGCATACCTCATATGCAGAAACTAATTCTAATTGCTTTAGTAGAAGTTAGTCGGAAAAGTTAAAAGTTTCAATAGCGTGATCCAGAATAAATATCATAGAAAATTTAAGTTAAACTCAAATATTGAAATTTATTTTATTTAAGTAACTTCAAAACCACCCAAACAAATCTTTAATCTAAAATATTATTTTGACCACCCAAATAATGTTATAATTTTAAAATTATTATTTTAGTGCTGAATATTCTACTGCTGTGTCTCAACTCTATCTAAATATCAAATACTACTGTCAATTAGCAAGCCGTTTCTTTGCTTAAAAAATATTAAGTAAGTCTTTAGTACAAATTTTTTATTTATATTTCTGTTTCAATGCAGAATTTTTATTTGGTTATTCATTTTAATAGTCTAGAAACACTTTTACTTCCATGCAAAAAAAATACATTTATAAATTAATGGTATAAAGGACGTGATGATATACTCCATGATTCAGCCATTGGATTAATAATAGTTTTGTTTGTTGAGAAAAATTTATAAGTAATTGCATTGTAATATCGCATCAATATCATTTTTATATCATTCATTAAGTTATATATTGTATTTAAATGAATTATTTTGTGTTTACTCGAGAGGTATTTCGTAACCGGCTTTTTTAATCTGTATACAACGTACATATATTGATGTATGCTGATTGTTATCAGTGCGTATTTATTAAATATTGTTTTTCCATATATAAATCAATAATAATACTTTGTTTTTTAATAGTTGTTCAAATTTATAACAAATGCACAAATTTTAATTATGTTATGGATTTTAAGTGTTAGTGCATTTGGTTGTAGTGTGTTACTATTGTTTTGAAATGTGTGTTTAGCATGTGAACAGTATGTATGTCTATGAGCTATTGTCAAACTTAACAGTTAAGTCAAAATTTGACGCAATTCTAATTGTTTAAATAATTTCAGAATCAATTATGAAGCTTGAACCAGATGATCTTGATGAAACTGTAGTAGCTTTAGATCCTTGTAAGTATCTTTTGAGAATAATGTTAAAGAGGGCATTCGAACTGTATATTTTTAATAAGAATAAGAGTGCTGTTAATACCTGAGATTTATTATTTTTCAACTGACTAGTAAATTAACAAATATCTTGTAGCAAAGTTGGTGTTTTACTTCAGTAAATTATTTTCTTTTTGTGTGTGTTCTGTATATTTCAGTTAGCCAGGTGCTAGTAATACCTAGTCAAATGATGTCGATCTCCTTCGACTTTTATATAAACCTTAAGGGAATCTTTTACTGCCATTTTTTGCATTCTTTCAAAACAATTTTATCGTTGGGGAAATTTGGTTTTAGAAACGTTGGGAGTTATCACAATATTTAGAAGTCTCTCTTTTTTTTAAAAAAAAAAAGTATTGGCAACAATTCAACATGCATTCAAAATTATAAAATGATACTTGATTTTAATGATACTACAAGAAAACAGGAAAAAAAAATTTAATTCTAAATAGATAAAACTTCTTTGGAGAAAAAAAATGCGCTAAAAAGCAGCAGAAATTTAAAAAACAGTAGCAATGAAGGAAATAAAAATATGACCACCAAAGCAGACGTCTTCAGGGGGTACCGGCCCCGGTAGCCATAAAACAAAACTATTTCTATAAAGGGAGAAGCAAATGCCTAAATTAACTCCCTTAGTACCCCGATGGTTTTGTATAGAAGTCCAGGAAAAAACATGAAATACAAATAACCAATTTAGAAAAGAAACAAACGAAATCAGAATTTAGGTTTTTAATTTTCCTGGTGCTTTTGATTCAAAATGTAGGAATTAAAGAGGAGGTGGAAAAGGTAAAGTTATTGAATTTGATGAATTTTTGTAACTTATTTTTCTTCTTTTAACAGGGTGCAATTCAAGTCTTAACTGAGCAGCCCCAGTTAAGCATTCTATTAATTTGTTACGTATTTTTTTGTTTCTATCTGTGCAGTGTAATAGTGGGCATTGTTTTCTTTAGTTTTTAGTGTTTCCTTTTCATTCGGTCTGCTTGTGAAATCGATGTTTGACTTGGTTAAGTGAGTTTTTATTTTCTGATGATTTTGTTTGAGTTTCTTTTCTAAATTGGTTATTTGTATTTCATGTTTTTTCCTGGACTTCTATACAAAACCATCAGGGTACTGAGGGATTTAATTTATTATATTTTTTAAGTTTAAGAATATTGTTAATATTGATTACAAAGATAAATATGACCTGTCACTAGCATGTGCATCAATCAATTTTTATGCAGGAGTGCTTTCATCATTTAAGTTTAGAACGGAGGCTATTGGAAAATTACATGCAATTTTTTTAATTTAGGAGGTAGCATTAAATAAATCTAGGAAATAATAGAAACCACAAGTATCAGGAAGGAAAAAATTTTCAGTAGTAAGAATCTATTTAGTACCATCACAGTGAAAATTTGAAAATATCCCATTTGTTGTTGTATTTTAACTCTATCATTGTCAAAAAGCAAAGGACAAGGAAGAATGTAACACAACCCGAACACAATCATCTTATCAAAGAGAAAGTCTTCATTTAAATACTTTCTTTATTGCCTGATATTTCAAAAGAAAAAAAGTGTAAGGCTGTAAGCAGTTCAAGGACGAATTTCAGAAACGTGAATCACGAAGCAGGATTCATCCATCAAAAAGTCTTGACCCTCCTTGCCCACCTAGAAAGATAAACACCCCTTTTAACCACAACTTGAAGTAAAAAGGGGAAAGCATACCTTTTGTCTGACCCTCGACATTTTAGGTAGCATCTTTTGAAATGTGTTTTAGAGAAGGGAGTTGCCAGAAATGAGTTTAAATATTTCTTTTTTTGTTTAAATTCTTTTTGTTTACTTATAAACACTTTTCTGTTTCTTGTTTTGACTTTGTTTTAGTTGATGGTCATTTGTTTTGATCACTTGCCATTTCAGTAATGTTGCTACCATAATATTGGCAAGATATTTCCCTATCTGGCCGAAAAATAGCAGTTTCACTAAGTGAAATTATGAAATTTCCTGAAATTATTAAGAATTAATGCTACACATTAAACAAAATTTTTTGTAAACACTTTTTTAAAAATTTTCTATTGTGTGCTTAAGAAATTTTATATAGTCTTACTTTAAGAAATGAAAATAAATCTAATAACTTTTTTTATGTTTTAAGGATGTATGTAACAAAGATTAAAATGTCCTTTTTCCTATTTGTTTTGTAATTTTGATATTTAGGGCAAGTTTAGCAAGATTTAAATGACAATTTTTTTTTTAAATCATTGATTTGATTCAAAAATATTTTTTATACAGTTTGATATATGTAGTGTTAAGGCTGTGAATTAATTTAAGTCTTGATTAGTTTTACTATTAATTAAGGTTTTATCCAGAATGGAGAGGAATGTATACATACATTATTTCTGTAAATTATTAATTGACATCCCAAATAAACTTATTAAAAAAGTGACATTTAAAAAATAAACTTATATATAATTAAGTTATGGAAAACTTTCAATTCATAATCTGTATAAAAACGATTTGCTGTTAAATAAATATATTTTTATTATACTTACTTATTACCTTACTCATTCTGGCTTATTCTTTTAAATATTTATTTCTTTTTTACCAATTTATCACATTATAAAAAAAATTTAATGTTGAGCTCCATTGCGTTTAAGATTGAAACTACAAATTTTGAGCTAAATATTGTTGATTAAAATGTGTTTGATAGCATTATCAAACACACTCTTTTAATTGATTTATTTAAAAATGTAATTTTTTTTTATAGAGAGATTTTATAAAAGAATATAAAATTTTGGGGGGCAATTTTAAGGCATAAACTAAGTTAAAGTGAAGGGTATTTTAGCATTAATTACTCTATTTAAAATTTGTTCACAGGCAATAAATGTTGACAATCAGAGTATTTAAAAAAAAAAAAAGAAGAAAAAAAATATATCCTTGTTTTATCAATAAACTACAACTTTTAATCTGCCATCTCCCTTTTTTAATAAAATGTGCAGTTTCTAGTTTGTTTTTTTAAATCATGATTTTTATGAACCCTGGTTTAGGGTTTTGAATTCATTCTTACTTCACTTACCTTCTCTTTTAAAAAAAACAAGTATTGCTAAGCTGAATGAATTTAGCAATGACTTAATAAATTGTTCTAGACAAACTTGCATATATATGATTATGATGTATTTTTTTTTTTTTAATTTTGAGAAAATTCAAATATATTGTTTGTTAATATCTTTTTAACCTGATTAAATAAATGAAAAAAAAAATATTTTTATCATATTTTCCGTATTGTTTGAAATGTATTGAGATATTTAAAAACCATGTGAAAACCAATAACTACCAAAATTACAATTGAAACATGGCATCGATTTTACGATACTATCTGCGTAAATTAAGAGCGCCAAAAAGTGATTATATGAATGCATGATTCCAATTTTACGTGTAGATTTCTGTGGACAAGGCAACTAAATATTTTTACTTTTCCAAGGAAAAATCTTTCTGCAAGAACTCTATAACGTTCAGCAACAATGTTGCTGTGATTCTGCCACTGGAAAATTAAATATATTTCAATAGAATTAATTGTTGGTTACTAGGACCAGTGTAGATATAAGTAATCTGTTTATATATTAATGCATTCATCTGTAATATATTAATACACAGGGGTCACATTCCCCCTAAAATTCATAAAATTCCTAAAACTATGTGCAAACCCTAAAATTCCTAAAAATCTGATAAAATTTTGTTGGTGTTCCTAAAAATTTAGAGTTATAGGCTGAATATAAATAAAAAAGCAATAATCTAAAATATAAGAATTTAACTACATTAATTAAAACTGTTTTAATTTTGCCACATGGGAATTCTGATCCTGAGAGAGGTTTTTCGATAAATAAAGCAATGCTTAATGTGAGTCACCATGAGAATACTATTATGTCTCTTAGACTAATCAAAGATACCATTCGAAATTATGGAGGAGTGTTGAAGATCACCACAACACTATTGAGGGCAGTAAAAGAATCTCACAAATCATATCAAGAATATATTAGAAAAATGATCATGATTAATTTGTTTTTCTCTAACTTCTAATATAAATTGCTGATTTGAAATCTAATAATATCACACAATAGTTTTTCTTAATAAAGTAAGGTAAAGGGTAATAATAAAGTTTTGATTAAGAAGGTAAAAATTAAATAAAAATCCAAGTTGGTGTCAATTTATTTTTTCTTTTGATTTATTCTCACTTTTGCCTGTTCCTGAATTATGCACTTAATTTCTGATAGGTAATATGTAAAGTTGAAATTTCATTTTTACACTTCAGAGATTTCGTTCTTGACTTAATAAATTTCAGAGCTTTATTTTATGACTTGCAATTATTTATGATATGTGTGGATGAATTGTAATAATCTTCTGTTATGTAATAAGCTACTGTGTGATCTGTTTTTTTTTATCCTAGCAAAATCATATATTACCCCTAAAATTTACCTAAAATTTTTTGAAAAAAGTTCCTAAAATTACCCTAAAATTTTAAAAAACTTTGCTGCTACCCCTGTAATACATTTTATTGTTGAAATATATTAATGCCATACGGTATTTTTTAAAAAAAGTGTATAGCTTCGAAAAGTCCAAAAAAAAAGAAGTAAAATTTGATCTTTAAAAATTATGGAAATAAGCATTTCTTCTTTTTTTGGCAGATAACTCTGACTTGAATCTAGTTTTGAATGCTTCACGTTCTGGCGCTCAACCACTCACAAATGAAGGTTTTGCTTTTATGTGGGCTGGAGTTCGTGCTACTCATGGATTCTCCAAAGGAAAAGTTTGCTACGAAGTGAAGGTTGGTTTTCTATCTTTTTGTTTTGTACTATTACTTTATTTAGCTTAGCCTGAATAGTTGTTAAAAATGAAGATGGAATAATTTAGTATTTTTAAATAGGAAAACTGCTACCTTTAAAGTTTAAGAACTTTCCAATGAAGTAAATTCAGCTATTTAATTTAATTATTTAAATTTTTTTTCCCTTAAAAAAATATTTGTTGTTGATGAATGTAGCAGTTGAATTTATTTGCTCCTTTTGACTTTGCATTGGCAACTTAATCGCCTGCACTAGTGAAATGGAAAAGTAAATAGGTTTATGTTTAACCTTATTATATATTCTTACACAACGTTAAATGGAAAAGTAAATAGGTTTATGTTTAACTAAATTATGTATTCTTACACAACGTTAAACATAAACCTATTTACTTTTCCATTTCACTAGTGCAGGCGACTAAGTTGCCAATGTAAAGTCAAAAGGAGCAAATAAATTCAACTGCTATATTCTTGCACAAGTATATTAGATTTACAAATAGATTTTACGTTTTTAAGACAGTATTTTTTTTTCCAATTAATACCTACCTACGTATGATATTTAAAATAAAATTAAAGATAATGATGAAGTATTTTCTAGATCTGTTACCTTTTTAGTTATTTTTTTATTGAAAGTGAATTCATTTATTTTTTCTGTATATATATATACAGTCAAACCCCGCTATAGTCAACACGGTTTATAGTGAACTCCCGGATATAGTGAACGAAATGTTCGGTCCCGTGCCTTGCTATATACGGATAATGTTATTTTTTGTGGATATAGTGAACCAAAAAAGTGAGGAAGTTGGATATAATGAACTTTTATGAACTTTTTTCTGTCTTCGACTGATTTTTAAAAAAAATTTGTTGTAATAATTTTGTAATTTCTACTTCAAATTAAATACGTATACCGATTTTCAAAACCATCTATAGAGGGGAATGTAGCGATATGCATTTTTTCTTGTTTGCTTCTCTTATCTCACTTTCCCATCCCTAAACAAACCAAGCAGATGTTTCCAACCCAGGCAGACGATGCACCTGTAAGGTGTCAGTGGGATGAATATGCATTTTCTATCAGAGGAAATGTGTAATTATTCAATATTGGTCAAAGGGTTGGACACTAATATGTGTTGATAAGGTTCTCATTTCAACTCCTTTTTGTTCTCAGTAGAAGAGTAATGAAAAATAACACATTTTTTGCTGTTACATAATATTTTTCAGTCATTTATTTGAATAATGTGTAATAAAAGGGAGGAACTTGGAAACCTAGTTAAATATTTTTGAGGAACGGATATAGTGAACTCCCGGTTATAGTGAACCAAAATTTCGGTCCCTTGAAGGTTCACTATAGCGAGATTTGACTGTATATATATATTTTTTCATAATTTGTTTTTTAGTAATAAAAATTTCTTTTTATTAGATTGTAGAACATATGAATGTTTCACATCTCCCAGAAGATGAACCAAATCCTCATGTTGTCAGAGTTGGTTTTTCAGTTGAAAGCTCCACATTACAATTAGGTAAGAATATACTTATTTAATTATTAAATTTTTTTTATCTTACAAAATTTTATTTCGTATTATCTACTTATTCTGTTAGCGTTTTTTTTAGATTATTACTATTTGCTTGTTTCTTCTGTTCTAATCAAAAATTCTTTAATTATTTGTTTCAAAATAGTTCTTATAAATAAAAGTTTTTTTCTCCATTCATTTCGGTTGTAGCTTAAATATAACTAAATGTGAAAATGGTTTAAAATTGAAATTGAATTTCTAAAATGTCTACATGAAATTCAGTAAACGTTTGTCTGAAAGGAATATATTTGCCTGATTACGTGATATCTTTTGTGGTTATATTTTTTATATATTGTGGGTATAACTAACTAATAATGTAGGTCTAATTAATAAGAGGAACAAATTTTTAAAATAGTGCAAAATATTAATGAGAAATGTTCATAGTTAATGTCAAAATGTATTAATCTCATGTTGAGTAGGAAATTTATATGTACTTTTTTTTTAATTATGCTTCAGAAATTATTAACTATTTATTATTAAACTTTTTTATCTCTCTCTTAAATTATAAATTTACATTTCTTTATGTTCAGTGTGCAAAAAAGGACCGCTCTGAATAATTTTTGATTTAATGATCGGATCTTCTAAGACTCATTCTTAATAGTTTGAGGGGGTGACCTCAAATGTACAAATTAATTAGTACAGACGATATTTTAAGTCAAGAAGTCAAATACAAAAATCTGAATAAACATATCTTTTTTACAACAGATTCGGGTTCCACATTTCCCAGAGATCCCCAAAATATGGGGGTATCTCTGGGAAATGTGGTTCCATTAGTTTGGTCAGAAGAGGAACCCCAAGTTTGAACCCCTTATTGATAATTTTATTATTTGCGTATTTCCTCATAACTTAAAACTTCTTAACTGAATTGAGAATTCTTTACACACAGTTGTCCAAACTATGGATCGCTCTTCTGAGCAATCTATGGGGACCATATTTCCCAGATTACGGAACCCCTATAGTATAGGGGTCAGAAACTGAAATCCGCTTCAAGAAATTATGTTTAGTTAGAGAAAGTACGTTTTTTTTTATCTAGTTTTATAACTTAAAGTATCGTCTGCACTAATTGAATAATATATTTAAGGTCACCCCCTTGAACTATTAAGAACCGATCATTAGATCACAAGTTATTCAGGGTGGTTTGTTTTTTATTTTGTTCAGTGTAACCTTAGCATTAGCCTTTAAAACCCAAAGTTTTTGAAGATCAGTTTTTATGGTTTACATAAGTATTTTCTGACCTCAGATTTGTTTCTGCTCTGTACCAAATTTGGTTAAAAAAATAGACCAACATGCCAAACACTACATCATTAAATAAAGATTAGAGAAATAAAAAAATAGTGAAATTAAAATCTCCCAAGTTCTAAAAATGACTCACCTAAAAAACATTTTTATCTTGAACAATATAAAGTGCAGATTTAAACCAAAACGAGCCCTACAATTTTCACAATTCATCTTGCTTTTTAAGGATCCAAATTTTATGAGTAATCCAATCTTACATTCAGTAACTTAAAATAAGACACAATTGAACTTATTGCAACATATTATTAAATTGTAATATTTTTTATTTCTTTTTAAAAAAAGGTGAGGACCCATTGTCCTATGGCTATGGAGGAACAGGAAAAATATCTACAAATTGTCAATTTAGGGATTTTGGAGGTCCTTTCATGGCTGATGATGTTATCTTAGCTGTTTTGGTATGACTGATTTTGCTCATATTTTATATAATTAAGCTCATATTTTATTTATATCAATTTTACATGTTTATAAAAATTCTCTATTTTGAATCTGTATGTAATTTAAACAAATTTTAGATATCAAATTAAAATTTCAGTAGACACCGAGGATTATTCTTTTCACCTGCTCGGTTGTGTTTAATTGAAAATAGCATAAATATGAAATCCAATGGTATATTCAGCTAATTTGTTATGATGCGTTTATAGTTTGAAGTTTCCCCCCATTATAACTCTAATTTTTATTTAAACTGCCAAGTAAAAATCATGAAATTTTATTCAAGCTACTGAAATTTAATTTGACAGATAGTTGTGTAACTGCGCATATAAGGAAAGTGCATTTGCTAATCTTCCAGTGATCTATTGATGATTAGTGTGAAGGAGGAACAAAACATTAAAGTAAAAAAATTGTTTTGATCACCATATATTACTGAAAGTTGATATCAATTTGTAACTTTAACAAAGGTATTAACTTATAACTAATATTTGTGGAGATGTAATTTTTCTTTTTAATAAGGCTTGTTTTTCCTTGCGAATTTCTTACTTACAACTAGTTTTTAGATAAGTTGTGTAATACGCAATTAGTTACTAACTGAGTTTTATTTATTTAAAAAAAAATTCTTTATTTAACAGACATGTGCCAATAAGTTATATAATTTTTCCACTTTTATCTCACCCATTTTTAGCTCAGTTAATCTGAAACTTAAATTACAATTTTGGTGTTATGCTTATAAAATGTTCTATAAATATAAATCATCCTATGAACAGAAATCAGTGGAAGAACAAATAAGCTCTCGTTAACATGCTTAATTCAAGCAAACCTGCTTAAGTAAAAAAGCAAGTAAACATGCTTAGTTCAAGTTATAAACAGTGATGGCCCAGTGGTTAAATCACTGAACNAATTATTATACATTAATTAAAGAAACAATATCTGTCGAACTGTAGATGTTTTTCTTTTTTGGGAAAAAGTTCTATTAATTATTTTTTAAATTTAAAAATATCGTCAATATTGATTACCAAGATAAATATGACCTGTCACTAACATATGCATCAATCAATTTTGATGTGGAGTTGCTTTCCCCATTTGATTTTGGAAAGGAGGCTATTGAAAAATTACATGCATTTTTTTTAACTTAGGAGGTAGCATTAAATATATCTAGGAAATAATAGAAACCACAAGTATCAGGAAGGAAAAATTATCAATAGTAAGAATATATTTAGTACCATCACAGTGAAAATTTGAAAATATCCCTTTTGTTGTATTTTAACTCTATCATTGCCAAAAAGCAAAGGACAGGGAAGAATGTAACACAACCCGAACACAATCATCTTATCAGAGAGAAAGTCTTTTTTATTTAAATACTTTTTTTATTGCCTGATATTTCAGAAAAAAAGTGTAAGGCTGTACACAGTTTAAGGACGAATTTCAGAAAAGTGAATCACGAGACAGGATTCATCCATCGAAAAGTCTTGACCCTCCTTGCCCACCTAGAAAGATATACACCCCTTTTAAAAACAAATTGCAGCAAAAAGGGGAAAGCATACCTTTTGTCTGACCCTCGACATTTTAGGTAGCATCTTTTGAAATGTTTTCTAGAGAATGGAGATACCAGAAATGAGTTTAAATATTACTTTCTTTGTTTAAATATTTTTTGTTTACTTATAAACTCTTTTCTGTTTCTTATTTTGACTTTGTTTTAGTTGATGGTCATTTTGTTTTGATCACTTGTCATTTCGGTAATGTTGCTACCATAATATTGGCAAGATATTTCCCTGGCTGGCGGAAAAATAGCAGTTTCACTAAGTTAAATTATGAAATTTCCTGAAATAATTAAAAATTAATGCTACACATTAAACTAAATTTTTTGTGAGCACTTTTTCAAAAATTTTCTATTAATGTGTGCTTAAAAATTTTTCTATAGTCGTAAGTTAAGAAATGAAAATGAATCTAATAACTTTTTTATATTTTAGGGATGTATGTAACAATGGTTAAAATGTCCATTTTCCCATTTGTTTTGTAATTTTGATTTTTAGGGCAAGATTAGCATGATTTAAATGACAATTTTTTTTTTAAGTCATTGATTTGATTCAAAAATATTTTTATGCAGTTTGATATTTATAGTTTTAAGGTTGTAAATTAATTTAAATCTTGATTTTACTAATAATTAAGGTTTTATCCAGAGAAATTAGAGGGGAATGTATACATATATTATTTCTGTAAATTATTAATTGACGTCCCAAATAAACTTAGTAATAAAAGTGACGGATTTAAAAAATAAACTTATGATATATAATTAAGTTATGGGAAACTTTCAGTTTTCATAAACTGTATAAAAATAATTTGCTGTTAAATAAATATATTTTTATTTTATTGACCTATTACCTTACTCATTCTTTCTTATTCTTTATATTTATTTCTTTTTTACCAATAGTTATTTATCACTTTTTTAAATAAATTTAATGTTGAGCTCCAATGCTATTTAAGACTGAAACTACAAATTTCGAACTAAATATTGCTAATTTAGCCAAGAATTATCAAACACATTCTTTTAATTGATTTATTTAAAAATTTAATTTTGCAGAAAAATGAAATAAATAATTATAAAAAGTTTTTTTTATATAGAGAGGTTTGATAAAAGAATATAAAATTTTTGGGGGCTGATCAAAACAGTTTTAAGGGGTATGTTAAGGTGAAAAGTATTGTAACATTAATTACTCTATTTAAAATACTCTATTTTGTTCACAGACAATGAATGTTGACAATCAGACTAAAAAAAAAAAAAATTCTATCCTTGTTTTATCAATAAACTACAACTTTTAATCCGCCATCTCTCTTTTTTTATAAAATGTGCAACTTCTAGTTTTTTTTTTTTTTTTTTAAATCATGATTTTTGTGAACCCTGGTTTGGGGTTCTGAATTCATTCTTTCTTGACTTATCTTCTCTTTTAAAAAAAATAAGTATTGCTAGGCTAAATGAATTTACAATGACATAATAAATTATTGCACAAGACAAACTTTCATTTATGATTTTGATGTACAGTCGGAGTCGTACCTCTATTTAAAATTTTTTTTTTATTTCCTCGCCATTTATTAAATGCAAATTAGTTCCATTGCAAAGAAAAGAAAAAAAGTTCTCCACGAAGGCAAATTTCTCTCAATACTTGATCCATGAGTTTCTTTGTCTTCTGGATTGGGTTCAAAATTACGAGGCTACAGAGTTGAACATTAGTCGGCAGTTCAACGATGGTTATAAAATATTTTGGTATAATTAATTGTTGGTTACCAGGGCCAGTGCAGATATAAGTAATCTTGTTGTAATAGATTAATGCCATACGGAATTCTCTATCGTAATATAAGTTTAAAAACAACATTTTTATCCTTGAAATATCAAAAGAAAGTAAAATTTAAACTTTAAAAATTATGGAAATAAGCATATATTCTTTTCTTTTGGCAGATAACTCTGACTTGAATCTAGTTTTGAATGCTTCACGTTCTGGCGCTCAACCACTCACAAATGAAGGTTTTGCATTTATGTGGGCTGGAGTTCGTGCTACTCATGGATTCTCCAAAGGAAAAGTTTGCTACGAAGTGAAGGTTGGTTTTCTATCTTTTTGTTTTGTACTTTTACTTTTTTTAGTTTAGCCTGAATAGTTGTTAAAAATGAAGATGAATAATTTAGTATTTTTAAATGGGAAAACTGCTACCTTTAAAGTTTTAGAACTTGCCAATGAAGTAAATTCAGCTATTTAATATAATTATTTAAATTTTTTTTCCCCTTAAAAAAAGATTTGTTGTTGATGAATGTAGCAGTTGAATTTATTTGTTCATTTTGACTTTACATTGGCAACTTTGTTGTCTGCACTAGTGAAATGGAAAAGTAAATAGGTTTATGTTTAACTAAATTATATATTCTTACATAACGTTAAACATAAACCTATTTACATTGGCAATTTAGTCGCCTGCACTAGTGAAATGGAAAAGTAAATAGGCAACTTTGACTTTACATTGGCAACTTAGTCGCCTGCACTAGTGAAATGGAAAAGTAAATAGGCAACTTTGACTTTACATTGGCAACTTAGTCGCCTGCACTAGTGAAATGGAAAAGTAAATAGNTAAAAACCGTCAAAAACCTACTGTTTTCTTTAATTTATGGCTTATAGGACAATATGTTATTTTCACTCAATTGCCTTTATAAATGAATGCTGTAAATGATTGCTATTGATTTTGCAACTATATACATGTATTCTTATAGAAGGATATACATTCATACAGAAATATTGTAACATACTTATTGAAAATAGTGATACTTAACTTTTATCATTATAGCTTGATTTGCGAAGGATTCAAAATTTTACACATCTTAATTGTTAGAAATAAACAAAAAAACTTGAAACTATTAATAAATTCAAGAACTAAAAAGAAAAATTTAAAATTTGGCGTTTATTAAATATTAGAAATAAGCTAAACAAAACTTTCAAAGCTTGTAACTACTAACAAATTCTAAGTCAGGAATGACTAGACATTCTTCAGTAATGTATTATGCCAAACAAAATGATGCTTGGAAATGTTAAAAATTTTGTTTAGTATCCTAATATTTTACTTCAAATAGTATGATTTAATATAATCATGTTGGGAAAATGCAAAAATCTGTTCTTAAATATCTTTTAGCAACTTTTTTTCTAATTTTATTGCCCAAAAATGAATTAATTTTAAATCATAAGCAGTTGAACTCAAATTAAAATACAGTTTTAACAAAACTAGGGATTTTTGACAGAGGGGTTTTTGACATGACGGTAAAAACCATGGTATAAACCGGTAAAAACCGTCATGTGTCAAAAACTTGCCAACCCTGATTTATCTGAAAAGAATATATTTGCCTGATTAAGTGATATCTTTTGTGGTTATATTTTTTATATATTGTGGGTATCACTAACTAATAATGTAATTCTAATTAATAAGAGAAACAGATTTTTAAAATAGTGCTAAATATAAATGAGAAATGTTCATACTTATTGTCAAAATGTATTTATCGCGTGTTGGGTGAGAAATTTATATGTACTTTTTTTAATTATGCTTCAGACAATTATTAACTATTTGTTATTAAATTTTTTTTATCTCTCTCTTAAATTATAAATTTACATTCCTTCATGTACAGTGCTCAAAAAAAGGACCACTCTGAATAATTTTTGATTTAATGTTCGGATCTTCTTATTCTAAGACTCGTTCTTAATGTTTTGAGGGAGTGACCTTAAACACAAAAATCTGAATAAACAAATCTTTTTTACAACAGATTCAGGTTTCTAACACCTCCAAAATATGAGAGGATCTCTGGGAAATGTGGTTCCATTAGTTTGGTCAAAAGAGGAATCCCAAGTTTGAACCCCTTAATGATAATTTTATTATTTGCGTATTTCCTCATAACTTGAAAACTTCTTAACTGAATTGAAAATTCTTTACACACAGTTGTCCAAATTATGGATCGCTCTTCTGAGCAAACTATGGAGACCATATTTCCTAGATTACGGCAACCCCTATACTATAGGGGTCGGAAACTGAAATCCACTATAAGAAATTGTTTATTTAGAGAAAGTATTTTTGATCTAATTTTATAACTTAAAGTATCGTCTGCACTAATTAAATAATATATTTAAGGTCACCCCCTTGAACTATTAAGAACAGGAAGATCCGATCATTAGATCGCAAGTTATTCAGGGTGGTTTGTTTTTTATTTTGCTCACTGTAACCTTAGCATTAGCCTTTAAAACCCAAAGTTTTTGAAGATCAGTTTTATGGTTTACATCATTAAGTATTTTCTGACATCAGATTTGTTTCTGCTCTGTACCAAATTTGATTTTAAAAAAAATAGACCAACATGCCAAAAACTACATCATTAAATAGATATTAAAGAAATAAAAAAAATAGTGAAATTAAAATCTCCCGAGCTCTAAAAATGACTCACCTAAAAAACATTTTTATCTTGAACAATATAAAGTGCAGATTTAAACCAAAACGAGCCCTACAATTTTCACAATTCATCTTGCTTTTTAAGGATCCAAATTTTATGAGTAATCCAATCTTACATTCAGTAACTTAAAATAAGACACAATTGAACTTATTGCAACATATTATTAAATTGTAATATTTTTTATTTCTTTTTGAAAAAAGGTGAGGACCCATTGTCCTATGGCTATGGAGGAACAGGAAAAATATCTACAAATTGTCAATTTAGGGATTTTGGAGGTCCTTTCATGGCTGATGATGTTATCTTAGCTGTTTTGGTATGACTGATTTTGCTCATATTTTATATAATTAAGCTCATATTTTATTTATATCAATTTTACATGTTTATAAAAATTCTCTATTTTGAATCTGTATGTAATTTAAACAAATTTTAGATATCAAATTAAAATTTCAGTAGACACCGAGGATTATTCTTTTCACCTGCTCGGTTGTGTTTAATTGAAAATAGCATAAATATGAAATCCAATGGTATATTCAGCTAATTTGTTATGATGCGTTTATAGTTTGAAGTTTCCCCCCATTATAACTCTAATTTTTATTTAAACTGCCAAGTAAAAATCATGAAATTTTATTCAAGCTACTGAAATTTAATTTGACAGATAGTTGTGTAACTGCGCATATAAGGAAAGTGCATTTGCTAATCTTCCAGTGATCTATTGATGATTAGTGTGAAGGAGGAACAAAACATTAAAGTAAAAAAATTGTTTTGATCACCATATATTACTGAAAGTTGATATCAATTTGTAACTTTAACAAAGGTATTAACTTATAACTAATATTTGTGGAGATGTAATTTTTCTTTTTAATAAGGCTTGTTTTTCCTTGCGAATTTCTTACTTACAACTAGTTTTTAGATAAGTTGTGTAATACGCAATTAGTTACTAACTGAGTTTTATTTATTTAAAAAAAAATTCTTTATTTAACAGACATGTGCCAATAAGTTATATAATTTTTCCACTTTTATCTCACCCATTTTTAGCTCAGTTAATCTGAAACTTAAATTACAATTTTGGTGTTATGCTTATAAAATGTTCTATAAATATAAATCATCCTATGAACAGAAATCAGTGGAAGAACAAATAAGCTCTCGTTAACATGCTTAATTCAAGCAAACCTGCTTAAGTAAAAAAGCAAGTAAACATGCTTAGTTCAAGTTATAAACAGTGATGGCCCAGTGGTTAAATCACTGAACTATCATGGGGAAAAATTTAGGTTCGCACCCCAGTGGTAACTTGAAGCTCTCCCTACATCAAATCGATGGCTACTAGCTTGTCTGGGAAGTAAAGGTTACCTCTGCAATGGTGACCACATTACCACCATCATGATGTTTGTTTTGAATTTGAGGAGCCTTATCCTCCATGACCTTGATAGTTGGGGGAGAGCTTTTTAAATAAACGTTTTAAAGTTGCAGATTGATTCAAACTATCAATAATACGAGATTGAATTTGCAAATTTTTTTTGCTGTTGCTTAATTGCACTTTTGATACTTCATTGAAAAATAGATATAAATGCATGTACATTCTGCAATAGTTTGCTTAAAAACCTGTTGTTTTTTAATCTGTTTCATGTAATATTAGTGATTTATATGTTTTTATTTTATTAGAACATGGACACTGATCCAGTACAGATTGGATATGCAAAGAATGGAAGGTTTTTAGGCTGGGCCTATAAAGTAAAAAAGCAAGAACTTGATGGACAGGCTCTTTTTCCTCATATTTTAACGAAAAATACTTCATTTGAAGTAAATTTTGGACAAAAGGTATCTATTTTGGGATCAATTTTGCTTTATTTCTATATAATGAAGCTAATTTTCTCTCTGTTTATGTAAAACCATAGTTATATAAATTTTTCAGAATAGTGCATATAAATTTTGTAATCAAATATAGATCTCTTCAATATATTCTGACTTGTCAAACAATTCCTAATGATGAAGAGATTATATATTTTTTTATCTGGATTTTTATTTTATTTTAAAAAAAAAAAATTATTATTTTTCATTATTCTGTAATTTTTTCCATGTTTTCTCTACATTTTTAACTTTTATAAGTATACACATACGCACCAAGGGTTTGTTTAGAAGAAATTTGGGTCCGTTAATGGACCCTTCACATAATATCTTTTCATAAAAACGTACCCTTTACAAAATAATTTATCTTTTAATCGGACCCTTCACAAATTTGTTTATCTTCATTATCGTCTTGTTAATCGAATAAACCCTTCCGAGGGAGGGGGGACAGTTCAAGGCAAACTAAGTTTCCCTGAGTTTAAATTCCAAATGTAATATTCTAAGAAAATATTTCTACTTATGTGCGCATTCTTATTAATATTATATTATATTTTTTTTTCCGTAAATAAATAATGGATCAATTTGTATTTATTCATAAAATTAATCAATTGAATATTATGTAAATAAAAATTAATTTCTGGCAATTTTTTAAATACAATATTATAAATTTAAGAATTTTTTAAGTTTACTTCATCCCTAACACATTAAAAGTGATACATTACTAAGTTGTGTTATTTAAAATATGTCAATTGAAATTATTAAAAATGTGAGTGATTTTGTTTCCATTATTCGTCTGAAATGAATATTCTGTGTTGAGCAGTAAAGACTTTAGTACCAAATATTTGTATGTTGCATCTCTAATTTAGTAACAGCAATTGTTGAGAAGAATCTTGTATCTATTTGCAATTTAAAAACTTCTTGAAAAGGTTTTTAGCAATTTTTGCTATAACAGGGCCCTATTTGCACAAATTCACAAAAGCAGAACCCTGGTTGAAAGAATGTGACTTAAAGCTTATCTTATATTCACAAATTATGATTAGTTTTTTCTCAATTTTACAAAAACAGGACCTTTCACAAAATGTCTGGACAGACCCCTGCACACACAGTCTGTGCTCTTTTGTAAGACCCTCCCATTCTTACGAATGATACATAAAAGTTCCTTTTGCTATTTCTTAGACGCAATGTTACTTTAAAATCCATTGAAACATCTGCACTGAGCTACTAATATCACAACATTCTAATATAACAACCCAAATTTAGTCATTTGATTTAAAAAGAGTTTAAAGCATAGTATGTAAACAAACCATTATTCCTTTTCAGGGTTCGTTGATTTAAATCAACTGATGTATATCAATTTTAAAATCAATATATATATATATTGATTTTAAAAGTTAAAAAACAGTGTTTTAAATTATTGATACTTTTATTATTTTCTTTTCTTAGTTTTAAAATTTATTTTAAATAAATTGCTGTGTTATTTAATTTTAGTTAACGAAATTACTTTCTTTTTTGGCGTGTGTTAAATTCCAACGCATTTGAAATTACATTTAAAAAATCTTTTGAATCTTGAGATTGAAAGTACACATTTAATGCTGTCTTATTATGGATTTACATAGCTGTAGAAAGTAATTAATAGACATGAATTTCAAAAAAAAATGAAAANGAAAAAAAATGCAAATAATCTTAATTAAAATTCTACCTTTTGATTGAAGCAGCATGGAATTAAAATCTACATTATATTTCATTGGTGGAAAATGTATATTTCTAAAGCTTGAGGTTATATTAAAAAGAAATTACCNAATTAAAATTCTACCTTTTGATTGAAACAACATGGAATTAAAATCTACATTATATTTCATTGGTGAAAAATGTATATTTCTAAAGCTTGAGGTTATATTAAAAAGAAATTACCCTAATATGTCAAAAATAGAAGGAAGAAAAAAAGGCTAATAAATTCAGATATTTTTTCCTGATATAGTGTCATTCTTCCCTTTTAAACTCTTTCTAAGTCTATTTGAAGCAGTAGGGTTATTAACTGATATTTTTTCCTCATAATATGTTTACAGTATCTTTGACATCTGATTTTCTATTAAGAAATTTTGTGAAAAAAAATTCCTGAGTACATAGATTTAAGAAGAAAAAAAAATTTTTTTTTAGCTTAACTTATCTATTTTATATAGAATTAAAAATAAAAATGTATCGATTAAATATTTATTTATTTTTTGATGAATGACTACATTTATAAATACAATCTGTTACATTTATTTTGTCATATCAATTAAGAGAAAGAAAAAAAAGAAATTTTAAATTAAAATTATGGTTTGCTAATTGAAACTTTGTTTTAATAGCTAAAGTACAAGGGTCTGTCCGAGTGAAATTTACTACCGTTTACCGGTACCTTCACAAATTTAACTTGAAGAAAAATGGTAGAATAATTTCACAAAATACTTTTTTCTTAAAATTTTATTTTTGTGTCTTGTAAGAAACTATAAATCCAAATTTTTGACATATTTGTGTTGATTTTTTAATATAATTTTTAATTTTCAAAAATTATGAGGCAGTAGAGTTATTAACTGATAACTGGTATTTTTTTTTCTCATAATATGTTTACAGTATCTTTGACATTATCAGATTTTCTATTAATAAATTTCGTGAAAAAAAATTCCAATGACTGCATAGATTTTTTAAAATTTTTTTTTAGCTGATCTATTTTGATATGGAATTAAAAATGAATATTTTCATATAAAAATAAATGGATTAAATATTTATTTATTTTTTGATGAATGACTACATTTATAAACACAATCTGTTACATTTATTTTGTCATATTAAAAATCAAGAGAAAAAAAACAAAACAATTTTAAATTAAAATTATGGTTTGCTAATTGAAACTTTAATTTAATAGTTAGAGTCTGACCAAACCAAATTTGTTACTGCTTAGGGTACCTTCACAAATTCAACTTTGGAAATTAATAAAGGCAAAACAATAATTTCACAAAAAACTTTTTTTTTTCTTAAATTTTATTTTTGTATTTCGTAAGAATATTTTTGTGTTGATTTTTTAATATTTTTAATTTTCACAAATTATGTCTAAATTTTCACAAAATAAATACCTCTCAGAAAAACCTAGACAGTCCACTTTCATTAAATTCTCTATTTCATCTAGTCTTCAAATTTCAATTATGCATTTGTTTCAAAATGGTTGCTATGCATTCAAAGCTATGTATTGTAATGAAAAATTATATTAGTAAGTTAGAGCTTCTAAAATATTGTTTTAATATTAATTTAATTTTGATTAAACATTTATAAAGTATTTTTAATCAAAAATTAAAGTTCTTACAATGTGTTTGAATAAAAATTAAAAAAAATCTGATTTAAATACATAAAAATCCGACTTAAATCAAAAAAATCTGATTTTTAAAAATTTTTTTCTTCTTAAAAATGAAAAAAAATCACGAACACTGTTCCTTTTAATGTTAATTAGTTGAAATAAATGAAAAATACCTTGTGTCCCTTTAAACAGAAAAGAGAAGCCAGACCCCTAAAATATTTGTTCTAGGTCTTAGGTGACCCTAAATTATGTTTATTTATGTTCTGTGTGCTACTTTCTTTTTTAAGGATGCAATAATTTTATAAATTATACTTTTCTTGTTTGAAAATTGTATTCACTTTTTTTGTGAAATGCCATTCTATTTTTTGGTTTATTTTTATTTAAAAGATTTGGTTTTCGTAGTTACATTATTGAAAGTAATGGCCCCCAAACAGCCTATTATGTTTAATGAATTTTTCAATTATGAAGTATTTTTTTGAAAGATACGTGTATATAAATTTTTTTAGACAAGTGCTTTATTTCCAATTTTTCTGTTAATTACTAAATTCTAATATTAATTGAAGTAAATCATTGTTTTGTTCTAATAACTATAAGGTAATATTTACAGTATTTTTGTGCACTCTTAATGTAACGACCTCATATTCCTCAAGTGTTGTTGTATCGAGTGGATAGAGTTCTATTTAATCTTCAATTCCTCCCTGTTTTTAGGATAAGCCTTATTTTCCGTTACCTGATAGTGTGAAAGATTTTACTTTTGTAAACTGTACACCCATGGATCAAAGAATCAATGGAGCAAGGGCACCAAAGAAACAAGATTGTGAAGTAAGTGATTTTTTTTTCTTATGTTGTATAACTGGAAAAATACATTGGCTTCAAAAAATTTCTATCCTTTAATTTAATAAAATGTCATAACTTCGGCTGATTCCCTAAAATCTGAGAGTATTGCATAAATTTTGACTCATTCTTGAGTTTGGTAGATTCAGGGTATCTAGCACATTGAAAGTTTTGAAATTAGGTATTGAACAAAATCTCTCATGATTTCTATTAAAAAAAAAAATAGGGAATGTCGTGGATATTGGTCGTCAAAAAATCTAATTTTTAAATGGAATCCCCCCCCCCCATTTCACGGTGTTCCGAATATCTGAATTTCTAACAAAATCCCCACTCACAGTCATATTTTATTAAAATTTCAAATGTTTTCATCGTGTTCTTTAAGAATTATGGAGTTCTTTCAAAAAATGAAAGAAAAAACATCATTTCTAGAGCGAATTAACTTCCTTTCCGATGAAAAAGAAAAAATTCTTTGCTTTCGTATTTTTTTCAGCTATTTTATTGCTTCAACTCTTTTTTTGCTCTGTTTTTTAAATTTAAAATCTATAAATATGAAGGTACAGAGTATAACAGTTTTCGTTATACCTGTCATTTCAATTAATGTTATTTTTAATTTATTGTTGTTTTTGTCAGAGAAAATAGTAACTTCATTAAGTCATGAAAAATTCTTGGAATTAGTCATGAAAAGTCACGGATTTGAAAATCCAAAATGTAGCAGATACCCTGCAGATTCTTTCAATTTTTTCTAGGAGATGACAGTTTCAGATTGGTTTTTAAAACTTGTTTTATTTTCACAAGAAAAGTTTTTTACACCATTTTAATCGTTATGAAAGTAAAGTGCAACAAAAAATTCTATTGATTTTTTTCTAGATTTGTAATACTTCGNTTTCCCCCCCCCCCCATTTCATGGTGTTCCGAATATCTGAATTTCTAACAAAATCCCCACTCACAGTCATATTTTATAAAATTTCAAATGTTTTCATTGTGTTCTTTAAGAATTATGGAGTTCTTTCAAAAAATGAAAGAAAAAACATTTCTAGAGCGAATTAACTTCCTTTCCGATGAAAAAGAAAAAATTCTTTGCTTTCTTATTTTTTTCAGCTATTTTATTGCTTCAACTCTTTTTTTTGCTCTGTTTTTTAAATTTAAAATCTATAAGTATGAAGGTACAGACTATAACAGTTTTCGTTATACCTGTCATTTCAATCAATGTTATTTTTAATTTATTGTTGTTTTTGTCAGAGAAAATAGTAACTTCATTAAGTCATGAAAAATTCTTGGAATTAGTCATGAAAAGTCACGGATTTGAAAATCCAAAATGTAGCGGATACCCTGCAGATTCTTCTAATTTTTTCTAGGAGATGACAGTTTCGGATTGGTTTTTAAAACTTGTTTTATTTTCACAAGAAAAGTTTTTTTACACCATTTTAATCGTTATGAAAGTAAAGTGCAACAAAAAATTCTATTGATTTTTTTCTAGATTTGTAATACTTCGAGAAATTTTTTTCCCATCATGTCTAAAGTTGTTTTTATTTTAATTTTTAAATAAACCTAAATTGTCATTTTTAAATACTGTAATTTCTGGTGGTTAGGCTTATTTATATTTAAAATTCTTTTTTTACTCCTTAATTTTTTCGTTATTACTTTTTTATTGATAATTAATATTAGTTTCATTCCTTTTAGATGATAATGATGTGTGGACTTCCTGGATCCGGTAAATCTGTTTGGGCTGCTGATTATTCCTCCAAAAATCCAGAAAAGAAATATAATATTTTAGGAACAAATAACATTATTGATAAAATGAAAGTAAGTCTATTTTAGTGTTTAAAAAGATAGCTCTGTGTTTGGTTAGTTCATAATTTTGTAAATGCTTAGTCTGCATAGTAAATATTAGTTAAAGCGTCTTGCACTTCATAATTTACAAAGTTCAAATTTAATTACATATCGATTGAGCAAATGCAAATTATATTTGTGTTAAATATACAATCAACATAGGGCTTTTAACTTAATTTTTTAATTTGGAAAATTTTGTGAGTTTTCTTGTTAAAATCTTGGTATTTTTAGAAAAAGGTATATCACTTTATCAGTTTTGTTAGCGCTACTTTTAGCCAAGAATATGGGATGGAATATGCATTAAAATTATGCTAAGAGGAAGTTTTTAATTTTAACTTAGTTTTTAATTTGCCTTCTTAAGAGAGCCTTTACCATTTTTGATTTTCATATTTTTATTCTGAAAATATACTAAATAGAAATTTTTTCCCTTCAAGTTTTTTTTCCACATACATTTTTACCTTTTACCAATTCTATGTCTTTCAAAATAAAAAAATTTAATATTGTATGAAAATGTTTATGTAACCTATTTTCTTTAGGTAATGGGCCTTCCCCGTAAAAGAAATTATCATGGACGATGGGATGTTTTGATAAAAATGGCCACAAACTGTTTGAACAAAATGTTCGAAATAGGATCCAAATTGAGAAGAAATTATATTTTAGATCAGGTGAGATATTAATATGAAAATTGTTTGGTTTTATATTGTTCATTATTTGTTAAGTTTTATAATTCTTCCTTCAAATACCAAACATTTTTTGTTTCAAATTTAAGCTTCTTTACTGCAGTGGGAAATCCCTTTTCTGGACATCTGCGCTTTTGAATCTTCTTCTGGTTACTTTAATGAATCTATTTACTTAAAAATGTCCTTTTTTTTTATTTTTGCTTGGAGTCTGTTATAAAATCTTGTATATAAGGCCCTTTTGCTACCAACTTTCAGTTCAAATAATTTAGGATACATACTACACAGAGTGACATTTTTTAACACAAAATTTTAATGTTTGAAATTTTTTTATGTGGGTTGCTATTTGTGTTGGTTTTAAGAGGCTGGAAATAAAGTCTCCTTTGAGAGTAAATAATCTTCCTCATTAAAAGTTTATGAAACATAACAGTTAAAAGGTGGCTTACTTTAGGTCTAGAACAGACGTATGGTGCATGTAATTATTTTCTGCAACATATTTCTTTAAAAAAGTCTGATTTAATTCTAAGTTGTTCATGCAGAAATGTAGTAAGTCCTCTAAAACTACCAACCATAAAGGCAGAACTCAGTTTCATAGCCACTTCGGCTAAACTGTTCACAAAGACATTCTTAAGTGAAGTTATTTAGTGAAAATAAAACTGCAATGGCAGAAAAATATTTTAATGCAGTTGACCGTAAAATATGCTTTGAAAGACTACTTAACTCTCCTCATCTTGTATTGATGACTTATAAATTAATTAAATATGAATTACAAGCTCATAAAGAATATGCAACCTGCAGAAAAAAGTACATAAATAAAAAGCTTGAAGAGAAAAAGAAAAGAGGCAGAAAAATAGTAAAGAGACTTTAAGAAGTGGGGAAACTGTAAACCCAATGGAGACAGAAAGTTATTGAAGAAAAATAAACCTAGATGCAATATAATCAAAGAAGCAGTTGAAAATTTTCTGAAAAGAGTCACCAATCGACTTAAAAAAGTTTTAAAAAATTGAGTTGAAAGGACAGAAACTAGCTAGTTATGTGCAAATAAGTGACAAAAATGATAGCTGGGAGAATAGCTAGAAAAATGAATGAAATAAAAAGGAGTCTTGAAAAGAAAAAATCATTACTTAAAAACAAAAATCATCAATCATTACATAATTTTTTCTGAAGAAAAATTTAAAAGAAGAAATATAGCACAAATATAACTGCCATAGTCCATTCAGCGTAATTGATCTTAAATGGTTTATTTTAGTTGGAAATGCCTAACAAAACATTAGTTTTTATTTTCTTTCTACATAAATTTCTAGCATTATAATTTGATGTTTTAGCTGTAGGAAACCTGAAAAAGAAAAAAACTACCTATTGACCCTTTTTTATTTGAAAAGTGGGTCACCTTTTTGGAAGTTTTCTTGTGTTTTCTACCCTGAATTAATATCATTCTGTCGATTCTTTCCTTTTTTCACCCTACGGACAGTTTTGTCACTTTTCAAGCCCCCATTTTGTAGGGTATGCTATGTCAAAAAAGAGCACCCATAACTGATTTGTGCTTACAGATTAAAACAAATCTCACACCTTATTGACACAGAAAAAAGTTTCTAATGTTCTGTCTAAAAAAAAAATTTATAACTCGTGCATTTTGGCTGACTAAACATTTAGGCAGCTTCAATGAGCACAGAATTGAAAAGACACAGGGTAAAAAAAAAACTTGGAGAAATTAGTATTTGAAATAAACACCAGCAAGTAAAGATTTTCATTTTTGAATCATGTTCGTTATTTAATATAATTTTTAATAATATTTAATAGATTGACTTTTCGAATTTGAAGCTTGTTTTTAAATGTTATTTTTTCCTAAATATTTGCTCTGTTAATTCTTCACATCAAATTTTTAAAAAAAGAAAAAGAATGTGTTGTTATTTGTGCAAAAGAAAGTTTGACTTTTTTCGGTGATGCTTATTTTATCATTTTAAACCTTCTTTCGTTTATCTAATGTCACTTAATCAGTGCAAAAGATGTTAATGTATAATAATTGACATTATTTATAATTTTTTTATTTTATAGAAAAGCTAATATTTTAATCATAGTTTACCTTAAAGATCTATTTGGAAAATATATTTTCCACACTTGTCATAGTCCCATAATTCTAGGTACGAGACTTTCTACTGTGTTGGAATGAATGTTTGATTTCATACAAAGATGGATAAAGAAAGAATATTTACAAAATAAATTTGTTTTTGGTTTAAAAATTGTGAAAAATAACATGTCTTCAAAATAATAAAGAAGAGTCTCCTGCTAGGAGGCCTCGTGGCGACATTGTTGCAGAATGTTATAGAGTTCTGGCAGAATGATTTTTCCTTTACGAAGTAAAAAATTTTGGTTTTCTTTTCTTTAGAAATTTTTGTTCTATTTTTTTTTATTTGGTTATTACCATTGATTTCCACATACTTTTTAAAGTCCTATATTTTTAATTTGATATTTATTACAACAACTGAATCTCGAAATAAAAACATGCATTTAGTGAGTCGGATCCACACGATTTCTCCTGCAGTCTTTTTTTCGGTAGTTACTGCTACAGATTTCACGATTTTTTTTATTATTATTATTTTTAATGTGGTGAAGATTTACAAAACGCGAATATTGTCCATTATATTAGAATTTAAAAAAATTTACATATTTGATTAAATATGTTATATTTTATTTTAACCAAAAAGTTTTTTTGAATTAAATTGACGTTTTTGTTACTATAAATTAATTAGTAACATGTATATTTGTTATTTTTAAAAGTATCTTGCAGAAAGATACTAGTATTAGAGGGGCATGTCGTAGAAGGCTAGAAAAAGTTCTGCCACAGGGCTGGGAGGAGAGAAATACTTTTAAAGGTTTGACATGTGGTAGTGTAATTAACAGCTATATCAGCCATTTATATTGAATGAGTTGCATGGGAACATTAGTTTAAGCATTGAGTTGACATTGAAAAGGTGGCAGCCTGAAGTAGCTCTGAAATTATTTAATATTGTGAATTATTTTCGTTAAAATATTTTGATTGATTCTATTCTTTTTTTTCTCTCCAGTATTATAATGTGTAGTTTCATTGCAATGAATTGGTAATGATATCCTTATTTTTAATGAATGATCTCCTTATGCAATTGCAGACAAATGTTTATCCCACTGCACAGCGTAGAAAGATGAGAAATTTTGAAGGCTTCAGACGTATTGCTTATGTTGTTGTACCCACTGATGCAGAATGGAAAAGGAGATGTGATAAGAGAGACAGAGAAGAGGGAAAAGAAATTCCAGATTCTGCAGTCAATGAGATGAAAGGTAATTCAAGTGTTGCCTTGACTGATTTGCTGCATTAAGTTTAAAACCTACAAAGAGACAATAGTATAGGGAGAAGTCCGGGAATTTTATGAATCTATATAGTTAAAATACTCTGACAATTTAATTAAAATACTCAAATTTATAATTTGAGTTAGAAGTAACTAGAAAATTTGATTTTTTTTCTTCCTGAGTTTAAGTGGCTACTTCATTTTAAAGCTTGTGAAATTTGTTGATTTTATTTCTAATTTTTATAAATTTTATGTCTGTCGCAGATAGCTCGAAAAAAAAGTCTGCCTCAGGGTTCATGGTTATGGTAAAATGTTATTTTGTGACAATTATACAGACTAAAATTCAAAACCTAAAATCAAAAGACTAAAAATCCATATACACATCACTTGCTTGCTGTCACATTTGTATTATGTAGTGATTATAAATATCCAAAATTTCTGTCAAATCCTAAGTATTGCTTTCTGCAGAAAAAAAACTAATTTGTTTTCAATCGCTAAAAAAAAGAAGGAAAGGCTTAGCTATTTATCTTTAAATTTAGTGTTAACAAAATTTCATTTTTAAACATTCCTTTCTTTTTTTTTTTAATCCAATGTTTTTATGTGGCATTTAAGGAACTTTTTTTCTCCTTTATTCTACTAGCTAACTTCAAGCTTCCTGAGAAAAGTGACATATTTGATGAAATTAATTTTACTGAGTGCCAAAGGGAAGAAGCTGAAAAATTGGTTAAAATGTATAATGACGAAGGCAGAGCTGTTACTGGACCTCCTCGTAAACAGTTTCGTTCAAATGAACCCTCAGGATTTGGTATGTCTGAAAATAACTAAAATTATGTGCTCAAATCTGATAACATTGTAGTCTAATGTTTTGCTTCTTCAACTGCTTAGCTTCAAAATTTGTATTACATTTCTAATCTCTTTTAACTGATATTCTCAGATGAATTTGTTCATATATATATCTTTTATATGGTTTTCATTACATTTAAACCTATTTATTGTTTCTCTTGTATTAATAAAATAATATTGATAATTTGATGAAAAAAAAGCTTAAAAATTAAGCTTTAAGGCACAGAGACATAGTGACCTTTATAAACATGTAATCTGTTACTTTGCTCCCCCTCCCTAAAAAAATTTAAAACTAATTTACTCCCCTAAAATTTTTTACAGGTCCATGGCAAATAGTTTTTTGTATAAATAGACTTTTCAAAAAGTTGACGACTTCTTTAAATCACAGTTTTAACTCGTTGAAAAACAGGGTTCGTGTGTTTCTTCGCAAAGAAAAAAAGAATTTTATTTCCTTATATTTACAGAAAGCAACTTCCTTATAGGAAAAATTCTATTTCAGTTCAATTTTAGTTTTTTGAAAATAATGAGTCAATTTTTCATACTTTCATGAAAACAGGGCAGTTCATAAAATATCTGGAATGGTCCTCTTTAATCGATATCCATATTCAGGAGAAGCCAGAATTAGAGAAATAAAGGAATTTTTTTTACCTACAGAATCGAGGGAAAATTTATAAAATTATCTCAAGAAATTGAAAATCATTTCTACTTCATTTAATNCGTGTGTTTCTTCGCAAAGATAAAAAAGAATTTTATTTCCTTATATTTACAGAAAGCAACTTCCTTATAGGAAAAATTCTATTTCAGTTCAATTTTAGTTTTTTGAAAATAATGAGTCAATTTTTCATACTTTCATGAAAACAGTGCAGTTCATAAAATATCTGGAATGGTCCTCTTTAATCGATATCCATATTCAGGAGAAGCCAGAATTAGAGAAATAAAGGAATTTTTTTTACCTACAGAATCGAGGGAAAATTTATAAAATTATCTCAAGAAATTGAAAATCATTTCTACTTCATTTAATCTTATTAATCATTTGAACTATCATTTCACTAATTTGAAACCTGTCTCTAAAAAAGCAACCCACCTGGAAGTGGGAAGAAGTTTCAATTGTGACCTGAGTTTTTTTGGGGTCGTTTTCGCGGATGCTGCTGTGGGAATAAAAATAAACAGTAATTTGTGTGGATAAAAAAAAATTACTGTATCGTAACATTCTGATACTGTGCTAAGAGCACTAGTATTTAAACTGCTTTTGAAGTTTTGTGTAAAGTTGGTAAATTTCTATTGCTGATGGGTCAAGATTTCCAGTAATTATTACGAATTAGGAAGAACGTGATACTATAATAGTGTACTTATAACTATTTTTTATTTTATTTCTAATGGCAAGGCAAAAATAAAAATAAATGAACAGGAACAGAAGTAACAATGACACAACAATAAATTGACTGAAGTCATAAGTTCTTTGACCTTCCAATAAAGCCCAGTCTCGGAGTCGCCCCTAAGGACTGCACAGTAGTGGAGGTGGTGTCTATTCATAGGGATATTAGAGTTACAGAGGGGGCCGTAAGGGCTTGAGAAGATCCGAATACGGCGAAGGTGATCTGCAAGGCAATCATGTCCGGTTAGTAGACGGAATTGGGCCACTGCGTGCCGACATGGACTGCCAGGAACCCTCAAAAGATCTTCAGCTTCTTATGATAACTATAGATTGTTAGAATTAAACTTTTTATATCCTTATGATAACTATAGATTTAAAAAGTTTAAAAAACAAAAAAAAACAAATTCAAGCAACTCTGTTCAGCATGAAAATGCCTTTTAGAGGAAAATATTTCCTCCTTCTTTTGTACTTACTTATTCTTGATTGAAAGTGATGATTCCGTAATTATTATTTATGCCACAGCATCTGCAAATTTCAGCTTTGCGACTTTTTAATGGTGCATTTTAACATGTAAAGGACCAACTTGGCCACAAAGACATTAATCAACCTTCCTGTAGTTTTGAGACTAGGTGCGTTAGAAATTGAGGTGTTCGAGAATTCACTAGAAGATTGTACACTTCCCTCCTACGAAAATGATGCGTGAGGGACTGTTTTAGTTTTGATATACGAATCATGTACCTTTTGTTTGTTTGGAAACAAAACGCGATTTCATCTAAAGGACAGTTGTTCAAATTTACCATACAATGCAAGTACAAGCATTGTATGTTACCTACTTACAATGATTTATAATAGATGGAAGACTAGGTTAGCAGAATCTTCCTCAGATCCACAATTTTCCCCTTTTGCATATTTCTATGTTTGAAAACATGATAAGAAATAATCTGGAATGAAAAAAATTTGAATCTCTTTAAGTGTTGCCACAGAAATTGATTCACTCTCTTGAAATTGTTACTTATGTTACCTTTCTCTTTTTTGAGGTTTAACACTTGTTTTATTTTACAATTTCTTTATCTGCTTTTGTGATGAATTAAATTATATGTTCTTTGTTATTTACCTCCCTTAAAATATGTCGCTACTTGCTTAAAAATTGAGCTTACTCTTCTGAATTTTCCTCTTATTTGTATTTCGTCTGCTTTCACCCTCCAAATCAGTAGCCACTGTTGTTCAGTTGTGAAATGTTGCAAGTCCAGTGAAATGTTGTGAGCTTAGTCAGGAAATTTGTTCACAATTTCTATTGCCACCCTGTATTTAGTAGGAGGACATACATAGTGTTCTTTTTAAGGATTCCCAGTTGCTGCTGCTCAGGCATGTAATTACCAGCAGAGTACTACTGCCACTCCCCAGTGGTCTGAGCCACAAGCTGTTTCAACCAGTACTGCTACTGATCAGTCAGAAGGGTCTCAATACTCTCAACAGCAAGCTTCTCAACCCAACCAGTACTATAGTCACCATTATTGACAACTATCTTGGATACTGAACTGCAGATAACAGCTGAAACCGGACATTCTTCAATTTCTTGAACAAATATTATCATTGACCTCTGTTGAAGCCTACGGAAAGAAAGAAAAGAAAAAATTTCCATGATTTCTTGAATCACATTAGATCTACTATTTTGTAAATCAAAAATATGTTTGGAAATTCCCTTACAAAACATATTTTTTATTTAAAAAAAAGAAAAAAATTATTCAAATAGCTAATTGAAATGTCATTCAACAGTTATGCTTGGAAAATGTATCTCTTAATCATAGTTATCTGCATGACTTTAATAAATCTTATGCAGTTCCATTTCTTCTTGAGAAATTGTGTTTTTTTTTTAATTATTACAGTGCTGTTAATTATTTTATTGGGTTAAAAAATACATAACTTTTTCAGAAAATTCAATTGAATAATAATGCTTTTTTTAACCTAAAAATTAGTCGAATTTTGCTACTAACCTAAAAAACAACAAATCTTACAATTTGTAGCGCAAAAGGTTCAAAGTAAATAAGTTTTAGACTGTTATTTCTTGCAAAAATTCTGCTGCAACATGGTTTAGCTCTCTTTGATTTATTTGAATTTAAAAATTAAATTAGATATTTAAATTTAGCAATTTATTGTTTAAAATTTTTCTTCAATATAATCGTATCTACAATTCAGTAGACGACCAAAAAAAAATATGTTATTTAAAAAATTAAGCTTTCTGTTTAATTTAATTTTGATAGAAGAAAAATTAGGCCATTAACAGACTTGTCATTAAAATTTTACTGTTAAAGCTTATCTCAAAATACTGTATCATGGTAAAAAAAAAATCCTTCACAAAAATATTTTATCTTAACTAATATTTCAAATATTTTTTCCTTTTAAACGACCAGGGTTAAGAATCTGTTGATAAGCATGTTTGAAAGTGTTCAATAGGGTACAAATTAACCACCTAATCTTCCCCTAGGGTAAAATATACTTGTTATCTATTTTTTGTTTTTTTAAAGAAAACATAAATTTTAAATTGAAGAAAACAATATATAGTTATCACCCTTTTTTGAAAAATAAAATTCGAAATAAAATTTAACCACAGCTGGTATATGATCTCTGAACTGGTATATGATCTATGATCTCTGGTTGTAGGCAGACAGCCAAACTGTTACACCATGAATACATATAAATTGGGAAGATTTTGTAAGTTTAAAAGTAAATGAACTGGGGCTTGAATGGGGCAGATTAGGCACCCTACTTTATCCAAGGTTTGCAAGCATACTCTTCAATTTAAGCATAATTTTGTTTTCATAGGTATTTTCAAGATGCCTAGATTAGTTTAAATCAACAAAAAACATGCAAATATCATGAAACAAATATCAAAAAACATGCAAATATAAAAAAAAAAGTTCGAAAGATTTCTTTAAATTTAGAGAAAAAAAATGTCTCAATTCTAAAGCCAAATATCGTCAAGCTCAACAGCGACCCTCTTGGAAATAGGTAGAGGAACTAAACTTCAATAATAACCTGAATCATTGATTCGATTGGATTAATTTTTGTTCTTTGCTGATGTTGTAGTGAGAGAATGACAAAGAAGTAAAGCACATAATTGTTTTATACATAAAATAAAAATTACATTAACATGATATTCTGCCATTGTGCATTAAACTGCTTCAAAGTTTTATGTAAATTTATTGATTATCTGTCAATGATTTATTTAGATTTTCTGTATATTATTTTTATATTTAATGTGGTGGCGAAATTTATAAAATCACATTAAATAAATACGGTTTAAAATGATTTTGACTACCATTACATTTGAATAATTTAAAGGTATAATTAAATAGGCTTGCTCGCTCTGATTGGTGGCGAAATTTTTACGAAACACCAACATACAATCTCAATTTTATTGACTTTACTCTACCTTTAGTAATTCTATTTTGGGAAAAGGGTATTGGTTGGAAGATATGTAATTATTAACAAATTATAAATCAGAAGTATGTTGTAAGTTAAGAGAGATAATGTTTTTCCAAATTACTGTTGCTGCAGTGTATTTGATGTAACAAGAGAAATACCACTAGGTAAAATATCTAATTAAAATAATCAAATTCTAATCAGGTTCAAATTTTGTCTTATTTCTTACATTTGTGAAACTTATTTTTACTTTTCCAGTGTTTTCATTTAATTTATTCTTACAGGAAATCGAGGATTTGATTCAAACAAAGGTGACTTCAACCCGAATAGCCCTGGACGTGGTGGATATGGAGGTCGTGGTGGTTATGGAAATAATTCTCCTGGACCAGATAGTCCAGGAAGATTCGGAGGAGGTCGTGGTGGTTACGGTGGTAACCGAAATGAATTCGATGGAAATCGTGGAGGCAATGACAGTCCAGGTGGTTATGGCGGAAGTAGAGGTTTCGGTCGAGGCGGATCTGATGGTGGTCGAGGAAACCGTGGGGGGTTTGGTGGTAATCGTGGTGGCTATGATAGCAACCGAGGTGGATTTGGAGGAAATAGAGGTGGTTATGATGGTGGTCGTGGGGGATATGATCGAGGAGGCTATGGTGGTGATCGTGGAGGATATGATGGTGGACGTAGTGGCTATAACGGTGGCCGTGGCGGATACGATGGAGGTCGAGGTGGTTATGATAGAAATCGTGGTGACTATGATAGGTATGATGGGGGGCGTGGCTATGATGATAATTATGGTGACTATAATGGACAAAGAGGATTTGATAACAATCGTGGAGGATTTCAATCTGGGCGTGGTGGATACGATGAAGGTCGTGGCAGGAAAAGAGGTTATGATGATGGAAGATTCGATCACTCTCCCAGTGGAAGTGGTAGTCCTGGTGGCTATGGCAGTAACTCACAAGGTAGTTATGGTAGCTTTGGCGGTGATTCTTCTGGTTATGGTAGCAATAGAGGATTTGGTTCTTCCAGGGGTGGCAGAGGAGGTGGAGATTTTGGATCTCGATCATTTGGTGGTCAGGGAGGTAACAATTATCAAAGTAATACTTCATCTGACCAATATTCTGGCAGATACAATCAAGATGACAATTCCAGCTCCTATGATAAAGGAAATTCATATGGAGGTGGGCAGCGTGGCAGAGGAGGACAAAATCGTGGTGCCCCAAGAGGTGGTGGTCCATCACGAGGTGGGAACTCCTCAAGAGGTGGGTATGGTGGTGGTCGAGGCGGGTATGGCAACAGTGATTATGCTCAAGAGTCATCGAGCAGTTATAGTAGTGGTTATGGAGACTATCAAAATGAATATTCCAGTCAGCCACAAAGTGGGTATAGGTCGAGTTCTGACACATATCCTAAAAGGGATGCAGGATATGGCAGTGCACCCCAAAGTGGCTTCAAGAAAGAGCCTGGCACAGAAAGTGGAGGTTACGACAGTGGGTCTAGACTTAATCAAGGCACTACTCGAGCAAGTGGCAGGACTAGTAGATGGTCTGCTGCAGAACCAGCACAAACTCCGAGCTATCCAACTCCACCTGCTCAAGACAGTGTAAGCTTTTTTCGTCATTTTACCATAAAATAAAAAATTTTCATGCTACACAATTATCCTATTTTTTCTTTCAGTGTTTCCCAATTTAAACTTGTAAAAATCAATAGATATAAAAAGTTAAGAATACCAAATGCTACTCTTATTTGTTATGTTAACAGAGATTTCTTAGTCAAAGATTACAGTCCAGTAATGTGATAAAAGTGATGTGTTTGAGAATTTCTGTTATAATCTGTTTTAAGATAATTTTTCTCCCTTTAACTACCAAGAGTTACGAAGTTTTCTTGTTTGTGATTAACCCATAATAATTTTTTTTCTACTCTTATAACAGTCCTAAAAACAATAAATAAACAAAAACTATTTGATAAAAATAATTAGATGCTGAAACTCAATCTTTTCTCGACAGAAAATCAAAAACACAAATACAAATCTGAAATGCTCTAAGAAAAAATGTTAGTAGCTGAAGCACAGGATGATAAAAAAAAAAAGTAATGAAGTATGTTAAGTTATTAATTTTGTGATTTAAACAGGAGTGTTTTATCTAGGATGCAGAAAATTCTCAGAGCCTAACATTTCTTCAGAATGCAATTTCTTTCCTTAGAAATTTCCCCCTAACTTGCAGTCTATCAACTGCATCTGCGCCATTAAAAATATCTATTTGCTGAAAATATTTATTCATTACAAATTATAATTCAGTATTTTATTTGAAAATTTTCAAAATTAGAAAAAAATCAGAATCTTGCGTCTAACTTTCCTAATTCGCACAAATCTTAAGAATTTTTTTTTAAATTTTAGAATTTTAAAATCGTAAGGATTGTTTCTATTGAACAATCCTTAAGATGAATCTATTAATGAAGAACAAAAAAATGGTCAATTTTGTGTTATTAGAAATTATGTCAGAAAGAGAATAACTTTAGTGCAAATGAAAAGGAAGCACCTATAAACTTATATTATAGTGTACAAAGTAATATTTGCGGCATTTTGCTAAAAAGGAACTTAGCTTGAATTTTGATGTGATCCTGTATAGTGTTTAGTTAATCTATGATTTCATTAATAATTAATGTTCATTGTTAATTAATGATTTCAGACACCATCATACCCCAAGTATGGAGGATCACAAGTGAAAACTGAGCCCACAAGTACTGCTGGATATGATAGTTATTCTGGTCAAGCTTCCAGTTATACAAGTTATGGACAAACTCCAACAGCTGCTACATCAGGTATGTCTCTTCAAAAGTATCTAGAAAATGTTTTCTTGTCATGTATATGCTTGTCTTTTCATGATAAATAAGAGGGGTGGTTTTGTTCCAGTATTATACTGGGATTCCTGCATTTATTTCTTTTCCAATACCTAAAATCCGGTAATTTCTGCTAGAATAATCTTGTTTTTTTTTTTCTTTTTTCTTTCATTTTTAATGAAAATTAAATTAGCTTTATTTGACAGTCGAAATAGTCCCAAAAATGTCAGTGTAACTAAATATTAACTTTCCTTGAAAAGGGAAGTTTGCATGGTAAACTATTTATTCAGAGACTTATTAAACTAACAGACTGAGCATTTGGGCAAACCGAGAAGCAAAACAACAACGAAAAGTAAAAATATAACATTTTTCAACTGTAACTTAAGTACTCTCACAGATAAGGGATGACGTCATTAGTCAACTGACAGCGAATGAAAAAAGACTGTTCGAACACTCTTAGACCGTGATGTCACCGACGTAAGTTGGCATTGCCAAAAATGGGTTTCACAAAACTGAAGACGATCTTCACTTTATTACAATCGATCAAACAAAGAAAAAACCCTTTTTAGTATTTATTTATCTCTGACATTATTGAAAAAAGTAGCGCTTTTTCTTATCTTCAGTAACTTAATTTATTGGCTGCTTGGGGGAATAAATAAGAAAGGAAAGGCTATTTTTTCCTCTTAGAGTTTGCAAAATACCGACGGTCTCCGATTGAAATGTTTTCGTTAGTTCGTTAGCAGATTTCATTTTTGCTCGATGTGTAATCATTTTTTTGCATTTTAAATTCTTCTGTTGTTGGAAATTTGTACCCTTATTACTTAATTATTCGTTATTTTAATTATATAGATGGTTACAATTTTTTATAGTTTCTGTTTAATTTTCTGCATGATTATATCACTAATAGGCGATTGTGACTTACGAGACGAGATCATGCAATGTAGATAACTAATAATTTAGCTATCTACATTTCTATTAAACAAGTATTTCTTCATTAAATTTAAATATTTTGCAAAAATAACAATGTATTTATTAAATTGACATTTATTTAATATTGCTAATTATTTATTAATTTATTTAATATTGCTAAGAAAATTTCTAAATTTATACAATTTTCTAAAATCTCAGGGAATTGGGGTTTGTCTGGAAATTTGCCATCTTGGAATACTTCTTTGTAAAACTTAATAGATTTTTGTATTTATTAATAAGGTATGTTTATTCCATTCATACAATTTATTAATATGCATAATATTCTTTTTAAGCATACCCAGCTGCTGCTCAGACTTATAATTATCAGCAGAGCACTGTAACTCCCCAGTGGTCAGCACCCCAAGCTGTCACACCCAGCACTCCAGCAGCACAAACCACTACTACTGATCAGTCACAGTGGTCTCAATACTACCAACAGCAAGCTTCTCAACCTAACCAGTACTATAGTCAGTACTATGGACAACCAGCTGCAGGAACCAATCCTGGTTACTGAATTAGCTGAAACCACAACTTACTGACATCTTTATGACGGACATTATTTCATTCCTTGAACAGACGTTTATCATTACTTTTCATTGACCTCTGTACATTAAAATTTTCAGTAAAAAAAAAAAACCTTTTTTGTTGCATTGTTTCATGTCGATCACATTAGAGCAAACATTTTGTAAGCCATTAGAATATGTTTGGAAAACCCCATGTCCCAAAAGAGGTATATTTTTTATAAAATAAATTATTCAAACAGGACGGCTAGCAAATTGAAATGTGTCATTCAACAATTGTGCTCGAAAAATGTATCTTTTAATCATAGTTATTCATGTGACTTTAATAAATCTTATGTTGTTATTTTTCAAGTTTACTTCTTTTCGCAAAATCGTCTTGTTTAATTCTTACTCCAGTGCTGCTTGCTACAAAACAGGTAATTATTGTATTTCTGCTGTGTACAGAAATTTTAAAGATTGCTATTACAATGCTTAAAATTGTATTTTATTATTAGTAGTGGCTTGTGTATTACCGAGCATAATATGAATTTATGGTAAAAAATCTTTTGATTACTTAATGAATGGAATTTTTTCGACTGTTTCAATATTAAGATAGCTCTCACCAGGGGTGATTGTATTCTAGGGGTACCCTGAAATTCCGGGGTTTTTTTTGTATCATTCATCTGGGACTAAAAAACAGGGTATGTGAATTTTCTGTGAATATCGCAGAATTCTGCATATCTCAAGGCATTGCAGACTTTCGCAAAGGAAAAACTTATAATCCGACGAAATTCTGAAGTTTTTGTTGAATCCCGTTTACGAGATGTTTATATACATTCTTCCGCCAATTACGTGAAGAATTGTCTTAAACTTGATTCATTTGGACTGGCTGAATTTCGTCTTTTGCAATTGCTCCCAAATCTATCAAGACCGTATTTACCCGATTTAAAAGCTACGTGTTGCAACTTGTGTTCTTGCGATTTAAAAAGCGTACATCGCAACTCCTATTCACATGATTTAAAAATCCAATATCGCGATTTGTATTTACTCATTTTTAAAGCCTAACATCCCAATACATGTATTCATGCAAGCTTAAAATCTGATGCCACGGTTCGTATTCACGCATTAGTAATATCAAACAAAGATTTTCGCATTTATATGTATTTGAAAACTGCGCATTGTGATTCGTATTCATACTATCTAAAAATTTATGCACAGTGATTCATATTTACACAATTTAAAAATTCAATATCTCAATTTGTATTCTCAAGTTTTTAAAATCCAATGTCGCGATTCATATTTACATGATTTTAAAATCCCCTAATGTGATTCTTATGAGAAGTAAGTTTTTTATAAAGGTGTGATGTTCTGCATTAGTTGATTATTTAAGTATAAATGTTAGCTCAAATAATTGTTAAATATGAAACATGTATGGTCTATAAATTGATATTGATTGCGTACACATAAACTTTCAGGGTTTTTAACTTGATGCCACAATCACCCCCGTATCACAAATTCGATGCAATATTAATTTCTAGAAAATTACAATAACTGTCTTCCTTCTCGATCTCTGCACTCTTTGTTTTTTCTTTTCCCTAAATACTAAAAAAATTTTCAAATAAGCATTAAAAAAAAATTTAGATATTAATATTTATTTTTACCTAGCATTTAAAGAATAACAAGCTTTTTCAAGTATTAGTTTATTTTCAACTGTGATCAATAAGCTGTTTTTTTTTTCTTTTCAAATTTCTGTTTAATATATAAACTAAAGAAATATTCATGTAAAAATATTTGTCCACAGATGAAATTATTTTTCCTAGTAAAAAAAAAAAAACGTTAACATCAATAACATTTTGTTATTTTCTTTACTAAAACACTCTTATAAGCAGTTTTTATTTCAAAACAAAAGTCAAATTTAAAAATTAAATAACTAAAAGAATTCAAGATAATAAAAAAAATTATATCATTGATTTTTAAAATTATATCCATTATTTTAGGAATCTCAAGATTGAAAGCTTTTTCTTTTTGCGGAAAAACTGTTGAATTTTGAAATGTGCAACTTCCTTTGGGATGTGACCTTTTTTCTTGTTTCAATAATTTAATTAATCAACCTGGTTTTCCAAGCACTCTTTATAAAGATTCTATATGTATTACTGTAGGATTTGTAGCTGTCCTGGTATTCCTAAAAAAAAAGATTTTGTCTTGATATTTCTGATTTTTGTGTGTTCAGAGCATCCCATTTTCTTAGAACACAAATGTGGTTTTTTAATAAATAGATTTGAAGAATTAAAAAGTTTGTATTTTTGATCCATCTTCTTTTTTTTTTAAATAATATGATTTGTAGTGATTGGCTCACCGCTAGAGGGCGAGTTAATCACTAACCCAATTCAAGATTTAAGATAGAGGAGGTTAAGAGGAGCCGGAGCGTAGGCCGGTCTTTCCTCGATAAGAGAATATTTCTGTAATTCTATTTTGGCCGCAGAGGGCCCTCCCTNAGCATCCCATTTTCTTAGAACACAAATGTGGTTTTTTAATAAATAGATTTGAAGAAGTGAAAAGTTTGTATTTTTGATCCATCTTTTTTCTTTTTTTTAAAAAAATAATATTATTAAAATTCGGAGTTTACAGTTTTTGTAGGGACAGTCTACTAATTATATACAGAAGAACCCAGATTTAACGACTTTTGTTAGACTGGGCAAAAATGTAAGAAACGGAATATTGGGTAGTGAAAGTTCCCATGAAAAAAATTAAAATGCATTCAAATGTAATAACATTTTGTTAAGTACCTAAATACTATCAGAAACTGTAATCTATTTAGTAAAGAAAAAAGCTAGTAGTATTTTAATGAAAAGAAAATTTAAGATATTTGTTTCCTCTTTTTCTTTTATTGTTTTCAAATACACAATGAATTTTCAAATAATTCTCAGGCATCATTTCTCTCTTTCGTTCTTGATTTTTTTTAAAAATTGTTGATTTAGGAGATGCAACAAGACCTAACTGAAATTACTTTAAAAGCTAAAAAAATCATTATTCACGGTTGACGTTAAATCCGAATTATACTGTACATAGTTCAGGCTCAGGAATAGAATTTGAGATAAAAACAATTGGTCTATTTATCACCAATATTTCTAACTCACTTGATTACTTTACAATAAGGTAAGGTATATTGATTTTAAAGCTATATGAATAATGATAGAGGGGTATTATTTAAAATAAGTATGAAAGTGAAGTGACTGAAAATTTCTATGAGAAATACTTTTTTAACTTTGTTAGCAGTTATAATTACTAAATTATTGCATTAGGAAAACAATAAACGTTAAATTTAAAATACTGTAAAAAGAATATTTTTCTGATGCTATTTCAAACGCCATCTATTTAAGTACTTTTGACCATCGCAGGGTTTTGGTTTACTTTTTTCAGATAGATACGATCGAGTCCTACAAACCCGAGTAACATGAGCTACTTTTTTTTTTTTTTGCTTGATTTTTTTATTATTTTAACACTGAACTTACTTTTTAACTCCGACTAATTTCTTTTCTTTGAGTATGTAATGAAAGTTGCGTTTAGAACAGTACAGACACTTTCACCTCTGGTGATAGTTTCACCTATAGTTTCTCCTTACAGTTAGCCAAAGCATGATTTTCGTAATCTAAATATCAGAGTATGAAAATCTTACGAAAATTTTCGAGAGGATGAATATATTGTGGGTTTCAGATCTGCATATTTCTCTCCTTATTTTATAAATAAATATTTAATTTGTCCCAAAAAACATAATTTTCTGAAAGAGTAATACTAATGAATAATTGTTTTAAAATTTAAAAAATTCAATTAAAAAAAATTTTTTTTTGTGTTTAAGTTATAAGTTTTTAATATAAATTAAAAATCGATGTTTTATAAAAGGTGTTTATTTCGAACAATGTTTTTCAATTTCTTTTATCTCTGTTTTTTTTCTTCCTTTCCTCTATTTTTCTTAATATGACTATCTTATTAGAAATATGAAGGGGAAAAAAATAATCGCTTGCGACCAATTAAATCTTTCCTTACAATCAATCTTCAAATCAAAATCCAACATTCAAGTTCAAATTTAAAGGCTTAAAATGTTTCATACATTTTATGTAAAAGTATTTAACTCGGAGCAGATTTTCAGTTGTCAATCTGCAACTTTGTTAAATTGTTGTATGTTTATATCGATCGAAACAAATTTGTTTCATTTTCTTAATCATATGTTTAAAGTTACTGCTTTTGCAAAATTTAAGAAATAAATAGGCATTTGAAATCCGATCAAATTTTAACCTTTACATGCACCACTTAATAAGTTAACCTTCAAATTAATAAAATTCTTCGAGGGTGTTTTTAAAATGATTAAAAAACTCCATTTAAAAGAAATAGATTGATCACTTTCACATCTTAAGTGTCACCAGTCAAATGTAGGTGTGGAAATTATTAATAAAAATTGAATAAAATGTTAATGAAAGGTAAATGTGATAATGTATGAAAAAAAAAAAAATATTCAACTAAATTGAATTTTTAAAAAATATACTATAAGTTCTGAAGGCAGCCAGGCCAGTAAGATTGAACAAAACTTGAGAATTTTAAGATCGCCTTTTTTTACTTTAAACTTTTTTTTAATAAAAACTAAATGAAGCAGAAATTTTTTTTGAAAATAATATATATATATTTTTTTTAAATTAGTAATTTGCGAAAATATTAAAAATTGCTATTTACAGTGGGGGGGGGGTATTTGAACCCCCTTAACCCCTCCCTTTACTTACGTCCTTGTCCTTTAATGATAATGATAATCAAGTGCATGCCGAAATTAATATTTTTTGGAGGTTGAAATCATTCATGAATGGTATAAACGCGTGAGCTTGGTAAACTTATTTTATTGGTTTTTAGATTTAACTACACCACTTGAAGTGTAACAGAACACATAAGTTGGTATTATTTGAAATAATATTTATCTCCAAAAATAAAAAAAATCACATTTTCCCCATTAATGTTTATTTTTTTTTTTTACTTTCCGCGTAAATTATATCTAAAAGTTATTTTGAAATAATTGTAGTAAGAAAAAAATATTTATAACTGAATGTAAAATTAATAAAGATGAAACAGTGAAAAATAGGAAATTTTTGTTTTACCAAAGCAATTAAAAATAAAAGAAGATTATGAAAATAGAACTAGCAATACAGAATAAATGATCACAGTCATTGATAACTTTATTCATTGAGAGAGAAAGTAATCATTATCTTTAGAGACATAAAAATGTGACGTAATAATTCGAAAGTAAAACTAATTTGAAGTATAGTAGTGCCACATTTGGCGACTTTCAGGTGAGTTGAAAGACGAAGATGATTAAAAACATGGAAC